CAATTATCTGGAAAAAGACATCACGATAAAGTAGGAAAATAAATACAAATCTTACCCCATCAATTGATGCTGATCATGCTGACTTGCTTAGCGGTTTATCGAGCCCGAAAAACTAAAAAAAATTTCTACTTTAGGACACTTAAAAAAAATAAACATGCTAACCTTTCATTCTGCTTATGAGCAAAACTTGGTAGTGCCGACCACCTTACCCAAATAACGTCAACCGCGATCTCCATTTTGAATATTATAGATATCTTCTTGAAGCGATCTCAAAAAACTCTTATCTCTCATATTAGTGGGGTGAACCCGCTGTGCTAAATCGGGTGAAACTCGGATAAACCTGTAGTAAATTTAGGACGGCGCGTTAAACCGCTTCTTCAGTACCGTTCACCCGCTGGCCTTTTTTGCATCGCCGTTCACCCGATGAAGCCGCGCCGTTCAACGGCTGCTTCTATTTTTTATTTGTTTTGGTTTTCGGGTGAACGGCGCAGCAAAAGCGGTTTAACGCACCAAGCTAAATCGGGTGAATTACAGGTTTATCCGAGTTTCACCCGAACTAGCACAGCGAGTTCACCCCCACCAATAAGGGAGATGGTAATTTTAGAACAGAAGGAGACACTTACTGACAAGGAGTCATACATTTGAGGTTGGCAAGATGTATACTGCACATTAACGATAGTTTAATTACTATTATAAAAAAAAATAATAAGATAAAACTGAAAAACTAAAACTAATTGGAAAATAGAAACGAATTTTTCAAAACATGTCCATTTCAAATTTTAACAATCGCCCCGGTATCAATTTGGTGAAAAAAACTATTAATTATAATATACTCGTATCTTGAAAAAAATAGTTAAGTTGAACATCTTTTTGATAAATTACAAGGAATAAATACTCTTTCGGAAAAAAATGGTTTCTAAATAGTACGGATTAGCAGGATTCAGTGGAGAACGTATTAAAAACATAAATCGTAGCCGAAGTCAAAAACAAAAGCAAAATCGAAATGAAAACAAAAAAATGAAAAATAAAATGACTCAGGCACTGGTGCGCGCACGCGCGAGGGGTACTGATTCTTTTTTCGCCTTTTCCACTGAAATACGGTTTTGAAATATATTTTTTATATTTTTTTGTGATACTACCCAGTGCTCCTGCTCACGTTTTAAAATTGTTCCGAGCACTTTCAAACAAATTTATGAAAGAAAATTGCCGAGTGAAAATTTGATATTTCAAATTTTTGTGCAATCTAATTGTTATAAACTTGTGCAGAGCAATGTTAAGAGATAAACAGACATGAAAAATATTAAATTTATAACTTTTTCAATTAGTTAAAAAGCTAAAAAACAAAAGAGACACCCCGCGCGTGCGCGCAGCAGGCGGCGCGCATGCGCACTTTTGGCAACAAACACGCGCCGTCAGTGCCTGAGGAAAGTCCCAAAAATTTTCGAATATGAAGAATTTACGGTGGGAGGGCAAGTTCGCTATTTCGCGCAATTCTCACAAACCGCTTTCAAGGCGCCTGAAATTTTAGAGGGCGCTTAGTGGCGACACAGCCGATAGTGGGCGCTTAGTCGCCTTTCAGCATAGAGGCGTCTTTCCATTGCCAAAAATAAGCTTTTGGCGTGTTTTTTTTTTCTGCTCTTCTTTGCTTTTATCATTTTTACTTTTTACATTATGGGTTTTTTTCTTTCTACAGTGAAATTACTTAAAAATTATCGACGCTGAATCTCAATTTTAAAAAAATCTAGCCTAAAAATTTGGATGATTTAGCTTTGTATTTTATATATTTTTTTTATTCAGATATTCTAACCACTGATGTTCTACAATGAGAAAAAAATTGATGTTTTAAAATTTTTATCAAAGTTTTTTTTTTCACTTGTTCCCAAAAAAAATATTTTAGGCCCAAAAGTTAAATTTTTCGCATCAATTTTTCATGTCAATCAAGCTTTTTCAAAGTTTGAATAATCATATCGGGAAAAAGGAGTGTCGTGTCTTTATACCGCTTTCGAAGTGATTCCAGCGAAAAAGACCGTCAAAAAAGACGAAGGTTTTGGAGAGCCAGAGATCTTTTTGAAATGTTTTTTTATTCGGAGGATTTTTATCGCACTTCTTGTCACTCGTTCTCAAGACTGAAGAAAAATTATATCAATGGTTTTTCGAGAAAGCTTTCAGAGTCTTTGGGACCTCCTCAGACCCTTTAATACAGTCTTTTTTTTTCCTTTTTCGTTTTTTAAAAACCTCGATCTCTTAGTGCTTCAGTTTTTCAATGTTAATCGGAAGTTCTCAATTGATAAAGTCAATGAGCTTGGGCTTTGATTTTTTTTTTTTCGTTTCGCATGTTTCGGATGAAACTACTGAAGTTCGAAAGAAAACAGCTTGATGGGTTCTCGGATGGGTGAATTCTGCTTGAGTGTCCTCTTCCGCGTGACCGTTTGCAAATACTGTTTCGCAACACACTCTGTACTCTTAATGTATTTCGAAGTGGTTCTTAGACTGTGTAACCATCTGAAAAAGATAAGATTTCTTCTGGAGACGCGTTTTGAATTATTGGAAAATTTAAAATAAAAAAAAAGGAAATCAATACTAACAAGTCGTTAGTAGATTTTCTTACATTCTGAATAATTCTATTTATGCAACGACTGAGAATTAGTATTAGTCAAGCTCATTTATTAGGTAAATCTCGCAGAGCTATTCTTAAATCATTATCACCCGCGCTAATGCGAAACCTGTTCAGAAATTGACAGTAGAAAAATATCTAACAATTCACAGAAAAAAAAAAACTTGGCGATTATGGTGAAAAGTTCCAGCCAGAAAAAACCTGAGATTAATCTACAAGTTATAAGTTTGGGATTTGACCTAGAACACGATCTCCATGCTTGTTTCAAAAAGTGAGCTCGTCATAGCGCAACTGGATGAACTGTGCTCAGAAGAAGGACCGTCAGACAATGCTTTCAACTATTTGGACGGGCAAAGCTGAAAGTCGGCTATGGGTAGGGACCGCAGACGAATTTTCAAAAATTTTTTTTCAGCATTGAGCTTTGTATGGTTCGATAGCTGTTTCGATTCATAACTCAGAACCGTTTAGTTTTTCAAAAAAGGTTAAGGATGAAAAAAGTTATGACGAAAAATGTGGGGCGCCGCGCACCATTTTTTTAGTACTGAAATTTTGGTATTATGCATTTTAGACATTTTTCTCGATTTTTCTTCTAGAACAAGTTTTGATACTGGACTATTATGATGTAAAAAATCATAATAGAGTGCTAAAATGATGCTCATCAGCTAGTTTGCCGAAAAAGTCGGTATTTTCCAGAAAACAAAAAACTGGCGCTTGCGGGCATCGAACTCGCGACCTCAAAATAAAATTTCGCAGTGCACGCGCTGCGCCAAGCTGTTGGGTCTAGCGAGGGGAGCTTCCATCCGCCATATCCTTGAGCCGTTTGAATTGCACAGATTGCCTATTTCAAAAAGAAAAACTTGAAGTAATTAAGCTGTTTTTATCAGAATATGATCGCAAATCTTTACTCAAACTTTCCGTGGAAATTCACTTTGAAAAAACTGTTTTTTTAGTGCTTTTTGCCTCGTTTAATGATCGCTGCATTAAAACGGCCCCGTAAATTTTTTTGGCAAAGACGAATTTTTTTATTTTATTATTTTAATTGAAAGATTTCTTACTAATAAATGTATATAATCGTTTAAAAAAACCAGCGTTCGACCGCTTTCTGTGTGATAAACGCCGCTAATTTTATCCTCTAGTTTCAAGAGCATTTTTTTGCGTATTAAACAACTTTTTTTCAAGCAAAGATGCTGTAGAGAAATATTTAAGTAAGCTCATGATCTAAATTTTGAAAAAAACAAAAAAACTCGATTATATTCGCTTATTAACGATATTTTGAATTATGACTTTCGGCACTTCCTAAAAATTTTTGGCAGAGACGAATTTTTTTATTTTATTGTTTTTAAAGTTACCGTTACTTGAATCAAAATCATTATTTAAAAAAAGAAAGAGTGCGTTCGACCTGAAAAACACATGAAAAAAAGCAAAAAAATGACAAAAATTTTTTTAGTTCCATTCACGTTTTTTTGTACGACATTCCGCGCCATCAAAAAAAGCGTGAAATATTTTTTAAACGAAAGAGGAAGCTTTTTTTTACTGTGTGTCAAAATTTATTATCCAGTTCCACATATTTTGCAACTACAGCAAAATTAAAGTTGAAAACCAAAAAAAAGCCACTTTTTCTATCGCGAAAAGGGGCGTGGCTTTGCGGTCCCTAGCTATGGGCGAAAAGAATCAAAAAAAAAATTGATTGGAAATAAGCTCATTTGAAGAAACAAAAACCCGTGGTTTGTTCCTAATGAGCCGTTCGCAGATTCCTATACGAAAAAAACGAAGAACCAACATGCATCTCCGGTTGAAAGAAGCCTCTAATTTTTTTGCTTAAATATTATCGAGAACTATTTTCCTTAGCTTTTTTTGGAAATTGACATTAAAAAAATTCCGCTCAATTTTTTTGAACTCGAGAGAAGTCCCTCCTAATGAGCCGTTCGCAGTTTTTCATGCAATGGAACAAAATGCATAGTCTTTTCTCTCTAAAATAGGTTTTCAATGCTAAACATCATACTGTAAAAAAACAGGTTCAGAGATGCAGGGAAAAAAATTTGATTCAAAAAAGAAACGAGCGAAAAAAATAAGACCCGAATTTTTTTAAAAAAGAATCTAGCTATATTTTTTTAAGGATATGGGTGCGGAAAAATCATTTGGGTGCGGGTGTATACGTGGGTGTGGGAATTCGTATTTGGGTGTGGAAAATTGGGAGCGAAAAATCATGGGTGCGGCTTGGGTGCGGCTAAATCATGGGTGCGGAAAATTGTCGGCCAAATGACGCAATCAAAATAAACTTCAAATCGCCAACAAATAATTTCAAAATATTCGACGTGTGACTTCCTACGTGAACTTCAGATGTGGCTCCGGCATTTGATCACGTTCACTTCTCCTGGAGTGGACGATGAAAATGAAGCCTCCGAAGCTCCGCTCAGGTATGATTCCAATTTTCGAGTTGCTCCTGGTAGTGTTCTTTTTTCGCATTTCATAAGGTAATGTGCCGCGGGATTAGACAATAGCTTCGAAAATGCATCGTCTCTGATTTCATTATTGCTTCCGATAGGGAAAGTTACTCATATTAGGCTTCTAAATGTTTTGTTAACATCCCGAACAACTTATTTTTTTTCTATTGACGGTGTCCTTGTTTTCAGTCTGAATTTCAGTTCATTTTATTAGTTTTTGATTCAAATAGTGTTTCATATAACTCATAAAGTCAAGCGAATAGATTTTCAGTAACGTGTATAACGAAATTCTGTGAAATATTGAATGGAAAACCAAAAAAAAAAAGAAACGATTTTTGCGGAATATTTTGAAAATGAGTCTGCGACGTGGCCACGTTTCACGCGTGGTAAAAGCTTTTTTCGTTTCTCCACTTGTAATTTTAAATAGAGTCTCAGCGACTAGTTTAAGAACAGTAAAGACACAAAGACTGTGTAGAGTATAGTCTGTTCAGATTTTAATTGTCAAGCAGTTAGCTCCGCCCCTGATGCCATAGTACCTTTTCGCGTCGATGTTTTATCGCGCGGGATGATTTCTGAACTTTTTTTGATCTAAAAAAATAGAAAAAAATAAGTTTAAAAAAAGACAGCCATATTATAGCTGATTCACGGCTGGCTTAAACCATCGAGAAAAGGGCCCTGCCACGAAAAGAAAAGAGACAGTGCCTGGTTGGTGGAGAGCGCAGACAAGCCACGCCTTCTAGCGTCTCAAGTTAGCCATGAATCGGCTGTAAAGTTTCTTCCTCGGGCAAAGTCGGAATGGTGAAAATAGTTCTTTTATCGAGCCTTTCATTTTTTTGGGGATTGAAAGGCTCGAGAAATGGTGGAGAAAGAAAGAGGCAGCAAAAATGGTGCATAAAGGCTGAGAAAATGGAGCAAAAAGGCAGCATAAAAAAGAGTTTTTTACACCTAGGGTCCGCAAGCCATTTCTTCAAAACGATCCAAAAAATATGTTTTTTACACTGTTCGATAGAGGAGACTGTCCATTTTCATAATCCGTTTAGTTTTAGAAAAAAGCTCCACTAAGAAAAAAGTTATGGCCAAAAAACTAGCGCGCGCGGCGTTCAACTGGAGGCAAAATCTCACGGTTTACCCGCTGCCGCACGCTTTCTTTTTAAATGTTTCTGCGCATTTCTGAACCGTTTTTAAATCGGTTATCTGTTCTGAGAGGTTGTCAGAACTGAGCCTCATGTTTTGGTATGAATCTTTTGTACAATCCTTATAAGAATTTTTGATAAAATATCAAAAAACTACTTAGAAAAAAGGTCAGAAGAAATTTTCAGCTTATTTTTCTTTTTTCTAATCAGAAAAATTATTATCATTTAGTTTGGAAAAAAGAAAAAATGAAAAATAATGTTATTTCGAAATAAAACAGGAAAAATGTGCATTTTGACTCCAAAAAAACGGCTCCTGCAACATTTAAAAAGTGCGCATCGGTGTGTTTGACGCAAACACAGCTACGAATGTTTGCACGAATTCTTCCAAAATTTCGAAAAAAATTGCCATTTTTTTCGAGGTTTTTCAAAAGCCGTTTTTTTTCGCGTCGTTTGATTTTTTTCATAATTTTTTTCATTGATAGAGTTTTGAACGCTTAATAACATAATCAAAAAGTATAGACGCGATCCTATTCTCTCATGCGACAACGAGGCAGGCGAAAAAAGGAGGTTTTGGTAAAATTCAAATATAATTTGATTCGCTGTCCCAATAATTATTTTCATTTTGAACTTTTGTTTGTGAGCACATTGTGAGTTTTTAAATCAAATAAAAAGTATACCATGTCGCTGAAAAATTTTTTTCGCTTTTTCAGCTTCAAAGTTTGGTGTCACTTTACAAGCTTCGATTTTTCGCGTCGTTAGATTTTTTTAAAAATTTTTTTATTCAAAAAAATAAAGAAAGTGTTAATGTATAACATAATCAAAATTCGGAAGCGTTCCTCACTTGGTTTTCAGAAACGCCACGATTTTGTGAAACTCGTCAGTTTTTTTCGTGTTAAATCTTACTTTTTCGTTGATTTTTGAAAAATACATAGTTTAAAAGTTTTTCAGTCTTGTAGAGCGTTGTCGATTACATAGATTAACAGAAACAATTTATTTTTAAAGTTGAACTTTAGCTAGTATAAACGCATCAAAACCGTTTTTGCAACAAAAAAATCGTCATTTTGGTGGCGTGAAGAGGCGGGGCTTTGCGCCCCCTATTTACACCCTAAAAGTAACATTTCTATGGTCCTTTATGGATCCTCGGAGTGTCCTTCCGACTTTGCCTATGCATGCTCAAATTATGAATAATTGAACTTTTTTCAGATATTTTGCGGCTTTTTGATCTATCTTTTTTTGGGGAACCGTGGTGATTCACTCGCATGCTGAGCAGGGTCTCGCATGCTGAGCAGGTGTCTCAACGGGTGTACCCGTATTAAACCCGTGTTTCTGAGGTTATTTTAGTCTCAGTTGGGCTAAAACGGGGGAACAACGGGTGTAAAAAAAATATGTAACCCAGCTGGGCTAAAGCGGGGTCTCAGTTGGGCTAAAAAGTGCCAAAAGTTCTATCAGCTGGGCTTATACGGGTTTAATACAGGGGGCACCCGCGGGAGCCCCGTGTTAGCACGGCAGGGGTTACCCTGCTCAGCATGCGAGGTAACCCCGCCGTGCTAACACGGGGTCTCCGCGGGTGCCCCCGTATTAAACCCGTATAAGCCCAGCTGATAGAACTTTTGGCATTTTTTAGCCCAACTGAGACCCCGCCTTAGCCCAGCTGGGTTACCTATTTTTTCTTACACCCGTTGTTCCCCCGTTTTAGCCCAACTGAGAAAATAACCTCAGAAACACGGGTTTAATACGGGTACACCCGTTGAGACACCTGATCAGCATGCGAGCTTTTAACGTTCAAAGATTTTTCAACCTGTTATGTGAAACTTTTCTCTGGAAAAAAAAGGAAAAAACTGCGGAACTTAACCTTTTCCGAATGTTTCGATAAGAAAAGCTCATCGGCCAAAAGATTTTCAATTTAACTTATATCGTTTTTCAGTCGCAGTTTGCTTGTTCTTCGTCGTCTCTCTCGAATCTTCTTCCGTCTTGGTATCTGCTAGAAAAGAGTTGAAAGCCGCGAGTATTAAAAGAGGTCGGTTTTTTTTTTCGTCTCTTCTAATTATATTATTTTTCAGTGTTTTGTACTAAACCTGTCTTTGGCATTGTCGACGAAACTTGTGGATTAGAATTTTGCAATTGCTTGAGAGATGAGATCGTCCTAAAAAATCATCCTGGTGGCGGCGCCAATAAAGGAGCTGCTCTCGCAGTAACATTGCTTACTTCCTCTAGAATCGTACTAGAAGACAACAGGGACGTTATCAATTTTGAGCAGTTAGAAGAAATTTCGTTCAACGCATCAGATTCTCAGGAATTTCCAGGTTTTTTTTAATCGCGAATTCGTTTTTTTTTTCAGTGGTTAATGTTACCGATTGGAAAAAGTAACCACACTATGATCAGTTTGGATCTTAAGGAAGGCTTATTTAAGCGTGAAAACTTTCTGACAGTAATTAATTTTTGGCCGGTGAGCCGTGTGCGTTCGCAGTTCTTGGCACGTGTTCAATTCAACCGCCATCTACTCTTTGAAAATCCCGTTTTTCGCTTTTTCCATTCCTTTTTCAGTTATTCATTAATTATGTTCATGTGTGCATCAAAAAATGATAGAAAACATTGAAAAAGAGCGGTTGCCTAGTTTTTTAAATAGTCGGCGACAATTGAATTGAATTCGTGCCAAGAACCGCGAACGCACACGCTACGCGTAACGCCCTTGCCCCGCCTCCTTCGCCTTTCAAGTCGGGAAACATTGACTATAAAAAGTTAGGATTTTCTAATAATCGAGGTTATTTGTATTTTCATGTTAGATAGCTTTTTCTTACTTTCTCGATTAGCTCTTTTTTATAGCTAAAAAAATTTTTTTCATCACGAGCTAATTACAGAGGCTCTAATTCGCATCAGACGTTCTAATGTCACCGAATGGTCGTTTAAAGCGGTGAAGTTCATCAAGATCAGTCCGTTGAAGCCGTACTGTATAAAAGGAACCATCTTCGATATAGACTATATGCACCCCAAACCGTTGAAAGTTTTGCAAGACCTCGAAAAGGTTTGAAGACTTCAAGGAAGGTTCCATCTCTCGAATTTGCATTTTCAGAAGGTGTTGGAGCCTTGCGCTGCTTTGATGGCGACACCACCTCCACCGACTCCTCCGCCTTGCCCTGCACCGCCTCCTTGTCCGACTTGTAATGGACCGTCATCCGCACCGCGGCCAGGACCCAACGGCACGATCGTTCAGGGAGCGCCTTTGTCGTCTCATTACAGCGAGACGGACGAGTCGGAAAAAGAGTGTAATTGCACTTGTAAGAATTTTTCTTATTTGAAAGATGATTTCGAACAGACCAAGTAGACTAAAAAAAAGCAGGCATCAAATTTTAATATGTTGGAGGAAATTTTTTTAGGTTTTTACTTATACTGTGAAAGATATTTCTGTAAGTATTTATAAGATTTTTTTGAATTTTTCTGATTATATTCTCAAGCAATAAAGTTCAAAAAAAGATTTTTTTCAAAAATATTGAGAGATGCTTTAAAAAAAGTTACCCAAGTTTCGCAAAAAAATTCAGTTATATTGGTTGTAAAAATTGACACTAAAAAGAAAAATAAATTCACTTATCGATTTTAAGCCAATAAAAAGAATTCTTATAAGGGTAATAAAAAAATTTAGTTCGTAAGTTGTGCTGACGAATTCATATTTTCAATCTGGAACATTAAAAAAAGTTTTTCAATTCAGTACATCTAGTTAAACTACTGGATATCTGAAGTCAAAAGCTTCATACCAAAAAAAAATTCCTGCTGAAATTAGGCTAGCTTCTACTGAGTTTATATTTTGATAACTGTGACATTTTCTTGTTAGACTCATTTCAGTTCAATTTCTCGGTGAGCTAGGGATGAATTTACTGAATTTCGTCCTAAGAATATTGTAAACGTTGCAGCTTCTCTCGTCAAGGGGGCCTTGATCGCCTCAGGCGTGTGGGTCTTGCTCATAAGCCTGGTTATACTCTTCCTGTTGCTTATAAGAGGGCCAAAAAGAGAAGAAAATGGAGAAGAAATGAAGAAAGCCGAAACGGTGGGTTTTCTCAGAATTTTGGGAGCGAATACTATGTTATTGTGAAAATTCAGTATCTACCTTTCGGCAAGTTATTATTTTATTATTTCTTTTTCAGTCTATTTTAGTGATTTTTCATTTGTTTGCAAGGTTTTCTTCTCGGTAGAGAAAGTAATGATATTAATTTGTTTACTGGTTCCTTCCACTGATTAACTAAGTTCGGACATTTGCAAGAAGTGATATTTTAAATTTTGTAGTGACGAGTTTATAATCGCTGATAATAACCTGATTAAATTTAGAAAAGTTAAAAATCTAAAGTTTTTTTCCTTTCCGTGTAGCAAAGTTTTCTCTTCGACCACCTTTCCAATTTTTTTTTAGGTTTCTGGACCGCAGTCTAGCGCTCCGAAAGTGGTTGGCGGGGGGTTAGTCGATAAGGAGCTCACGGAAATTGCCGATGCCTGTGAGTTCTTTCTTTCATGAAAGAAGAACGGACCTTTTTTTAAACATTTTGGAGTGTCTAGAAAAATCATTTTTCTTATGAGATGATGCTTCAAATAATAATAATAAGTCTCATCTTTTTTTTTTAAAGAAACTTTCTATTTTTATTTTTATTTTTTGAAACTTTGGAAAAGACACTTCCGAGTAAACAACTTTGAGAACTCTTCTAGTTTTTCGTTTCAATTTTCAAATCCTCATATTTTCAAATGAACAAAAGTTTCGAGTTTCACGAATCATTTTTTCCATTTCCAGGTGAGTACATCACCTACATAGTCCACCAAGTTGTTAACAATTTTATCAAGGATCACGCGAAATTCCGTATGTTTTCAAGTTTTTTTTTCCGGTTTTTTGAAAAAGTTTTTGTTCAGTTACGGATTTGAGCGACATGGAAAAATTCTACGATCAACTTGAAGGTTGGATTTTTCTCGTTCCGTTCCGGACAGAACACAGAACGCTCGTGACTTCGATTAGCCGAAGAAAATTTGAAAAAATAGCCTTATCATGTCTAAAATAGTTGTTCTTTTTCAAAGAAAGTTTCGAACAAAGAGAAAGTTCAGTCAAACTTCAAGGTCGAACTAACAGTCGTTCTCAACGAAAGCTTTAGGATCTTTACCGAACGGAGAATTTAGAAAAATTGCTCTATTCTTGTTGTTTCTGGTTTACTAAAAACTTCAAAAAATAAAACATGTGATTTGTTTGTAAGTTTTGAAATTTTCAGCGCAAACTTGGCGTGAAGAAAACTATAAACCTTTTGGGAGAAGACAAAAGCTGTTGGACGAAGGCCTGAGTCTTGAACTAATGGACATCAAAGATTTGGATACCTACCAGCCGTACACGGAATATTTTCTTCACGTGGAAGACTTCGAGCAGTTGCATTGGCCGTTGGATTACTTCGACGACATCGCAGTGAAGAAAAGCGACACGGTCACGATTCTCGAGCCACACAAAGGATCCGCGCCGAAGGAAAAGAAGGCCAAAAGCGGGGCCAACGAAGGCAGAAAGACGGCTGGGAAGGATGTCAAGAAGGCGTCGAAAGAGAAGACGAAGAGCGCTGGAGCAAAGCCCGGAGCAAAGCCCGGAGCAAAGCCCGAATCAAAGCCCGGAGCAAAGCCCGAATCAAAGCCCGGAGCAAAGCCCGAATCAAAGCCCGGAGCAAAGCCCGAATCAAAGCCCGGAGCAAAGCCCGGAGCAAAGCCCGAATCAAAGCCCGGAGCAAAGCCCGAATCAAAGCCCGGAGCAGAGGCCGAAGCAGAGGCCGAAGCAAAGCCCGGATCAAAGCTCTACGTAGCTCCGCTCCCTTTGGAGCTGAGAAAGTATCGCTCCTTCTCGATGGGCATTTTGTGTATTAAAATGGACGAGCCAATGGCGATAAAAGCCCGTGACGAGCGCTACGAAATTACGCGTAATATGCAAGAGAATTACAGTAAATGGAAAGACGCAAGCCCTAAACCAGAAGAAGAGAAAATTGCCAAAGCTTGTGAGTTTCCTCTTTGGGAAGAACTTTGAACTTGATCTATGTCTCAAAGAAATTGCAAAAATAATCCTTTATTTTTTTATAAGACAAACATTTTTTTCAGTAGTTTGAGGAACGTCTTGCAATATCTAGATTAACATTCGGAAAGTTCAACCCGCACAAATTCCTAATTGCTTAGAGAAGGATTCAAAACTAAAAAATTATAGTTTTCTTGTATAAATACAAAAGTGCATTATTCCTTACGGAAATGGCTCTAGTTGAAAACGGACAAAAGAATTATCAACATAAAAGTTTTTTTAGCTTTTATTTTATTTTCTTATTCAAAAAATTTGAGGAAACACTTTTTTTGATGTTTTAATGTTTTAGAGGAAAAAATCGGAGTTGGTTCGGAGAAGTTTGACCTGGGTTTTTCAGGGTTAATGTTGGGAGTAGTCGATCGCCTCATGACCAAGACCACCGAGATCACAAAAAAAATGCGGAATAGTGAGTTACAGTTTTCCTTTTGAAACAATTTCATTCTCCATTCGCCACAACTTGAATAAGTTAAAAGTCTCGGCGAAGGTCTGATATTTTCATATTTTTTCCTGTTCATGGACGAGAACTTTCGAAACCGCCATCCTAAGGCTAAAATCGAAGTGAAAGCTGGATTTCCACACGGCCAGTTGCGCGCGAAAATGAAATGAAATAGGTCGCGCTTTTTGAAAAGTAGGTCTTAGGGGTGGACCCATCCAGCAGAAGTAGCTTTAATAAATAGTTTTTCAAAATATTTGTGAGTCGAATCCTTCTCCCGCCGATGAGAGAGAAGAGACAGGTCAGATCATTCTAAGTCGTGGCGAAAAATACGAGCTTCAGGCTACGTATATTGCGATGATCCGTTTTTCATTAGATTCCGAATTTCAGATTTCCAAAAAATCGTCTTCGCAGTGTGTCGAGAGAGTATGGCTGAAATCAAGGAAAAAGATCAGGTGAACAACCTTGCGGCCTACTCGAAAGGCAATGACGCTGCCGGAACTCTCAAGGATTTGCACTGTGAGCGGCTCATTTTTTTTTATCTTTTGAAGACTTTCATTTCAATAGAGAGTATAAAAAAAGACAGACCTCAGCCTAATTATAGTCTAGACATTTAGGGGCGATTTGAAATATAAATTCAATTTGAATGAGAAGCTAGTTTTCCAAGATAATATTTAGTTGAATGCGTAGAATAGCCTTTAATGAAAGAAAAATATTTAAAAGGAAAAATAAAAAAACAGAAAAAAAAGGGACATGGCTTTATGACCTTCGTGTTTTCGCATCTTCGCTCCAAGACCTGTGTTATGGAAGTATACGGTATTTTGGCTAAAATAAAAACATGAACCCGGGAATATTCTTGAAAATGATCACCATCTCAAAATTTTTTTGATGTTTTCCTAAGATCCTCCAAACCCGAACGAGTTTACTCATTCCGATTTAACATATTTTTAATCATAAAGCTTCTTTCTTGAAGAAACCCGAACCACTCCTTACATAATAATAATAATAATAATAATAATAATAATAATAATAATAATAATAATAATAATAATATTATTTATTTACAGGCAGAACAAAAATACATGAAAATTAATTTTCAAGTTTAGCGCATTTCACTACGACTTGAAAAAAAGTGTAACCTATCTATTCCCTCTTTTCGCTCACTGGTGAGGTATAAGGAGCATTTAAAAGCCAGAGAGTCATCGAGAATTAGAATTTTTCAAGTTTTTATTGAATATCCAAGTCCTCCGAAAGCTAAAAAAGCACTGATCATCTAAAAATAATATAAGTTAGGCGTTGAAAGTGATTAATTGGAAAGAAACCAACGAATACCTTTCATTTCAGGTTTCGTTGGCATCTTCGATATCCTTATGTCCGAGTCCCAGACGGATGAAAAAGACTCCGAACTCAAAACGTATCTCCTTCAGAACGAATACGAACGCTACCTCGAGTTGCTTTATATGGGCCTGGATTACAAAAAAATGAAAGGACGTGAGTGGTTCTTGGAAACAATTTGATAAGAGTTCAATGAGCCTCGGTGAACTTGACTTGCGAAAACTTTCAAAATTAGACCTTAAACTAGACGTTTCAACCTCGGGGAGGTTGTTTTAAAAGAAGAAAGTTTGATTTAAAGCTTAGCAAGATGGAGGGTTTGAGGTATTTGTACATAGATCTTTCAAAAAGGTCAGTACTCTATACTGGTCCGAGTTCTGACCCCGGTGATCATGCTTTTTTTTGAAATAATCTTTCTTGTTTATTATTCTTCCGTAATGGAAGTTTTAATTTCCATGAGAGATTCCATGAGTCCAAAAAGTTAAAAAAATTTGATAAAAATTTAAGAGAAAAAAACAAAAATATGAATTTAAATCATTCAATTTTTTTGATTCATAATTTTTGTAAATTTCGAAGTAGATCGTTAGAGTTGCAGCTCTGCAAGATGGCCTTTATAGTTGTTAACTACATTTTTCAAAAACTTAACAAAAAAGATTTATCTCAGATTTAATTTACACCAAGCCGACGCCGAAGAGATGGGAAAGAGTTTTGGACACGTGTTTCCGTATGAACGGTAAGCTTTTTTTTCTCGTCTTACAAGGCACCTTGGTTGAATCTTTGGTCGAACTTTGCTGAAGTGTACAAGAGGGATTCTCGAAAAAGTTGAAAATTACTCGCAATGAATCTTGATATCTTTTGAAGTTCGCAAAGTTAAAAAAATCATGAGAAAGGCAGTATTTGAGAATTTCGAAGCTTGATATAGTCTTTTCAGATTTTGAATGTCAAGCTGTTGCTCAAGCTCTGCCCCTAATGGTGCGATAAACCAATCAGAGAGCGAGCCAACCACAGAGTGTTTTTGAGTGACGTCATTGCCCTTGACATTAAAAATCTGAACAGACTATAACTTGCGAGAATTTCCAAACTATGTCCAACAAGATTCCCTTGCCAGTCTTATTTGTAGAGAGTGGAATAATTTTGCTCGATGAAATAGCTGATTCACGGCTGGCTTGAGCCATCGAAAAAAGGGTCCTGACACGGTAACGCACGAGATAGCGCCTGGCTCGTGGAGAGCGCAGACAAGACACGCCCCCTTAGTGTCCCAAGCTAGCCGTGAATCAGCTATAGAGCTCTCCAAAATGCCCAGACGTGTTGAATATTCTGACCTTCATCTCGTTTAGCGATCTTGAAATGACCTTTCGCTAAAAGTAAATCGGTTCGTCGTTCGAACGGTCATTTTGGAGAAACGATGCTACTAGATGTCGTCAAAAAAATTGATTTTTCCCCTCTTTCAGATCTTGAGTTGAAGTACGACTACGTGGCGTCTATGGTGGACGAGTTCATCAAGCGCAGAAAGTTGAAAGTGGTCCGCAAGAAGGTCGTACCTAAGGCAATAAAGCCGAAACCCACACCTCCCAACGAGATGCTTTCATTAGGAAGGCTTGTTTTCCCGAAGATGCCATTTGGAGTGAGTTTTGTGACCAAGACTTTTCTCGTTCTGAAACATGCTCCGTTTCTCAGAAAATATTCGAAATAAAAATTCAACTAAAAATCAAAATGCTCGGGCCTTGGTAATGCAAACCGGACGCGCCCTAGCGGCGTCAGCACTCTCAAGTGAACCCCAGAAATGCTCAGAGCCGTTCAGGGCGCGTCCATTTTCTGTTATCGAGGTCCGAGAAGTCTACCATTTGTCCGTGGAGCACACAATTCCACTAAATTATAAATACGACAGAGTTATTCAGGAACCTATTAAAAAGCCCACTAAAGAGGAATACGAACAGCTGAAACTGCGACCAGTACCCATCACCAGCATGATAAATGAACGTCCCGAAATGGTAAGCATACTTTTTTATTTTATTTTTTTCGAATGACAACTAAATATTAATGAAAAGTTGAAAGGCTATACCACCTTTAAATGTTTTTCATCCGTACTCAGGCGAATCCTGGGAAGGTAACCAGCAGGAGTTTGGAAGGTGTATGGAAGCTAGAAGGCCTTAGAAAAGCCTTTCGAAGGTGTTCGGAAGGTAGATGGAAGGTGAAAATGGAAAATGCCTGCGTGCTGGAAAGCTTCGGGAAGGCATCCGGCAGGCTTTTTTTTTCTAAAGAGAGCTGTTTGGAAGCTATGTGGAAGGCGTTCTACAACTTGCTGAAAAGCTTCCAAACGCCTTGCGAGGAACCGAAAGCAGATCTTCTCAACTTTTACCTGATTATCTCAACCCGAAAGTCTATTTTGGTCTGACGTTTTTTAGATCAAAGGAACCTCTTTTTTTCAAACTTAAGCGCGTGTAGAAGTCCCTAGAAAATCTTCACATATTTAATTTTTATCCTCTTCCAAACACGAGTGGTTGCACCAATCGTTTGAAAAAAAACGAGATCTCTGAAATTTTAACAGACAAAAAAAAGTTTTTTTTTTCAGTTTAAAAACAAGAAGAAGGCGCCCAAGCCGAGTGAACCCAAGACTTCTGGCGAGACATCTTCTACGAGCGATGCGAACAATGTGAAAACCCCTGGAAAGACCCTCAGCCATCCATTCGATTGCTCGGGTCTGAAAGATCTCATAAAAAAGACGCCTGAATGTGAGAACAAGTCGGTCATCGACTCCAAGGAGGACAAACCCTGAAATCATCCTTTTTCTTTTTCTTTTGTCTACTTGTGAATAAAGTTTCGTTGATTGGAAGTCTTGTTTCGTTTGACGATTATTTCTCTCTTCCGTACTTCTTCTCGATGTTGGTTCTTCCTGTCGTTTTCATTAAATTTTTGCTTTCGAGTTCGAACTTTTTTCAAAAATGTATAAGAAAATGAGAACGTAAAAGCCTTTCTAAGTGATTGGCCCTAGGTTATGTACTATTTTTGCTTCCTAAAACGCATTAACCAAAATTTTCCATTATTTTGAGTTTCAGTCAAAATTTTGCTTCATCGAAAGACCATCATGGTTCTCGTTAACGCAAACCGGAAAAAGAATGATTCTGGGCGATTATAGGGATCACTTAAGAGGGCTGACGCTACTAAAGTGGTCACTAGAAATGCACAAAAACGTCCGTTTTGCGTTACCAACGTCCGAACCTTGTTAACGCAAACCGGACGTTTCTGAGAATTTCTAGTGATACCTTTAGCGGCGTCAGTACTCTTAAGTGATTACTAAAAATGTTCTTTTGGAACACGGATCAAAATGGTTTTGAACCGACCGACTCAACTGAAGTCTATCATATTTCAATTGTATTTTTGAGCTTTCGTTTGACTTTTAAATATTTATCTCGAATAAAAAAATGTGTCTCAAAAGTTGAGAGGCGAAAAAATACTCGTACGTCGTAGTTTGTCAAAAAAAATAATTCATTTCATTTCAAAACTTGCCTTCCTCATCGAGATGAAGCGTAATAGCGACTGTGTTGCCCAAACAGGAGGTTTATCAAGCAAATTTAATCATTTTCCCTCATTTGAGCTTTTTCTTTAAACCGAAAAAAAAGGTTAAGAACCCGGTCCGACCTATGAAACCCCGGAAAAGCATCAAAATCTGAACAATGCCTTGGAGCGACTCGACAGCTTGTCTTTCACCGAAGAAAGGTTTTTTTTTTCCCATTTCAATGAATTATAAAGTTTTTTTTTTCAAAGAGGAAGCTTCATTTTTGAAGAAAGAAAGTTAATTGTTAAAGCTATGACTCTAAGAAAATTCAAAATCGTGAAAAAGACTCTTTTTAAGATTCGTTCACAAACTTCCTAAAAATAATGTACCGAGCCGGAAAAATTCCTTTTTTAAATTCGATGAGGTTTCGAAAAAAAAAAGAAATAAGTAAGTAGGTGTATTGCGGATTAATAAGAGGGAATAAAAAAATAAAATTCAGTGAAGCTGAGGACAATGGTTGGTCTACAGTTGAAGAATTGGTCCGCAAATCTGGGGAAGATTTGGTAGAACCTTTTTCGAAATCAAAAAATTTTTCATCTCAATTAAGAACGATAAGCGTCTGATAAGCAGTACGGAAGAGACTTGGGTCAACTTGCAGCAGTATTTCGAGCGTTATGGACCGATACCCTTGTCGGACCATATCACTGCAATGATTATTCGAGGTAAAATCTGGATGCATCTAGAATGGCTCGGTGCGTTGCACACGCGACGCGTTTCAAACTAAAGTTTTGGTCATCGAAACTTCCTGAGGGGCTTTTTCTAGGAGGAAAAGACCACCAGAACCTTTTTTAACGTTTATTTCAATTACGTGTCCGATAAATGACACGAATGTCTTTGAAAAAAGTTTTTGCCGCCAAAAGTTGAACAGAAATCCTGATTAAACATTAAAGGGTGCCTTTTTGAGTGTGTCAATCATTTTATGCAAACTCTAAAAAATAATTTTGTTCATAGTTTCTCCAAAAAAAAGCGATTTCGGTAGACCACCAGGTTTGCTTCATCTTCAATAATTTTTTTCAGCCGAAAAGAAGACTTAGTTTCATATAGAACTCTCACTGTAAATTGAGACCAATTTACGAGAAAACCGTTATGCCGACCGCAACGCATCGAACCATTCCCCGTGCGACCAAAACTTTCTTGATGGGTAAATTTTTAAGACGCTGCTTTGGGACTGGCTCAACTTCATTCGCGTCAAATTTTGCATGGTGCCGTTCTACCGGAAAATGTCTACATTATGAAAAAAATCGTCAACAGGTTTTCCTTGTTTCTTTTTAACAAGAAAGAAAATTTTAATGTTGAGATTTTTCTGAACAAAAAGTCAAAAATCATCTTTCTTTCACTGGATGGAAAAATTGAACTTGCCAGCTTCTCTAGTTTACGAGAATTGAAGGCGAAAATTGTAAAAATGGCCGACTTTTAAAGATTTTGATGATTTTTTGAGTCGTGCCTTGAAAACTAGGGAGATGTGCAGGTGTGAACTTTCCGGATCTTCGTCAAGAAAAATACTGCTTCAGTTTCAGAAATTTCCAGAGTGCAAACTTAAAATACCTTATTTGTTGATAGAGATTTTTTCAGCCTCTTCAAAAAATACTATAATATTTTTCAGGTTTGCTTACTCGTTGACAAGGCAACAACTCGAAAATCGAACTTGGCTCTATTGTGAGTCAGAAACGAGAAGAAAAGTAAAGAAAAGACGAGTGTTTTAGTTTTGAATGTGCGGCCGATGACGTGTTCCAGCTGGGCGCCCTTTTTCATCGTTGTATTGCTGGCGTTCCACCGACTTTTGACGTTTCATTCAGTTTTTGTACAATCGAAAACCCTTGCTGGGTTGCTTAAACGAACATGAACTGATTTGAAAGGTCTCAAAGCGAAAAGTCGTTTCCAGTGTTAGTTGAGGCCATGCAGTTGAACTTCCAACATCCCAGCAAGGATGTTTGAACAGACTACAAGCTTTTTTTGAAGCTTTTTGTATTATTATAACGAAAAATTTTATTTTTCAAAAAAATAGGAAAAATTTTTTTTAATGCTACCTGTAAACTGAACTTTGACTGAAGTCTTGAAAAACTTCACAAAAAAAGCTATATAACTTTCCTTTTTCCAACACTTTGACCTTTTTTTCTTTTTCATGATTGTCAGAATCAACTTGAACTTTTGAATTCAACCAAGCCAGAATTGATTTTCAAAAAGATTTTCTGAAAAAGAAAAAGTTTTTTTTGTTCATGTTTTTTTATTCGAAAACTGAGCAGGAACTAAGAAAAAAAGCTTTGTGTTTTTTTGAGGAACTATTAGAAAAAGGCAATTTTTTTAAAAAATATATGTCTTAAACTTTTTGAAAAAAAGGTTCAGCAAAAAAACGGGCGATTTGATTTTTTTCTGGACCGAAATTTCCGGACTTGCCCACAGGCTATTGACTTGGCTAAAAGTTTATTGACACCGGGAAAAAGGTTTTCACCAGTGCTATTATTTTCATTTATAAATGAGAATTACCCAGATACCGACCTTTGGCGAGGAGCATTTTCGAAAATCCTTGGCTGAAAAAACTGGATGAAAGCGACGAGCCACGGTTCCTCAACGTTTTCTGAGAGTCGAATGAAGATTATTACAACTATCGAGCGTTTTTTTCACAATTAATGTGGTTGGCTGGCTAAAAAGTGGACAGCTGACTAGCTGTCCAGCAGCTTTTTCCAAAAATTGCAGCTCTGCAGAGAACAACTGTCCTGCGAACGCTTTCAGTTTTCAAATTGGAAGACTGCTACTCACTGCTCCTTGTTGAAATTTTTTTACGCAAATCACCGTTTTGAAATTATCTAGAATGTAAGATAATAATTATTATTTTAAAGTTAACAAAAATATTTTTGGAGAAAAAAATAAATAAAGTTTTTCAGCCTTGTTTGCTCTATAGATAATGATTTATTCAAAGCGAAAAAGCTGAAAAAAATATCTCAATTACGGTAGTGCTTTATTTTTCTGTTTTTTTTTACTCTTTTTATATTTTTCATTTTTTTTTTGATTCATAGCTGCTTTAAGAATCTTTGCTAGAAGTTTCAAAGATGTAGAATTCTTGAGATTCTAATGAATACTCTAAATGGGCAGTTTATTGAACTTTTTTTCACTCTTTTTTTTTGTCGCGTATACAAAAACCACTAGGCTTGCCATAATTTTATCGAAAATTGAAAGTTTATTGTTTATCAGTTTTCTAATGTGACGTTTTTAAGGCGTGACTATATTCATTGTCAAAGGTCTATCGAACAAACGTGACCGTCTATTTTCGCGCATTCCCTCGAGTTTTTTCTAAACCGAGCTTGTACATAACTTGAATGTATTTGTTCAGAACGGAAGATGAGCCATGTGTTGTTTGTTTTGAAAGGCTACTGAACATTGGTCTTTACTTGTTCTCTAGAAAACATCATCGGGAATCTCCTCTCAAAGCGTTTCTCTTGGAAAGCATTCGAAATTTCTCATGTTTGATATCAAATTTGATTAGGGACGACGTGAGAAGAATTATCGCCTGTTTCCCTTTTATCAGTCACGCCTCGTTGTGAGATAAGCGTCGGAAAAATCTCATTTCCGCGCACTTTTTCTCGAGGCAATTGAAATATAAACCGCCGAGATCCGACGCCATTTCGAAATGGAGCCGACCCTCGTGAGCACCAATTTTTTTCTCCAGCTTCTCCATGTTGTGAGCAAACAACTCCGAGCCCCTTGCGCGCACTTTTTTCGTCCCCTAACTCGACTCCGCCTACATTTTCGTGGGCTCTCTGCTAGATGGTCACACACGCCGCACTTATTTTTAGAAAATGAACTTTTAGTCCTAATTTTCAGTTTTTATATTCTATCTTTTAAAACTTCTGAATTTTAGCGATTTCAATTGGATTGTTTTGAATTTATAGATATATTCTTAAAAAAACTTTTCAACTTACCTCTCACATTTATTGGTCAATTTTGACCCTAAAATTTTTTGCGAGCTCAAACATTTTTAGGCTTCTGTTTTTTCTAAACGTCTTCAATGAACGAGTTTTTTATGTGGAATTATTTGAAGAAAAGAATTTGCTGTTTTTGAGCCACCTCTTCATGTAAAATTGAATCCTTGACCAGTTCAGGTCTCTTCATTAAACATTTTATTAGATTTGCTGTTTTTTTAATTTCAGTTTATATTGTGTGAACTGCATTAAAAACTTGAAATGTTCTAGGAATTTAGCAAGAAGGAGGGAGATAAGAAAGCTCGAAATAGTTCGAAAATATCTTGTCAGGGAAAGCTAGAAAGGAATTTAGTTTTAAACAAAAGTATTTTGATTTTCTATGTGTTAAAAAATTAAAGTCCTGAATTTATCCATTATTCGTTATTTAACAACTTGCTGAGACATTCAAAGAAGCCGAGGTCGTTTTCAGAGTTTTTGGTGGCGACAAGCCATTTTTTTAGTTAGTGATATTGATAAAAAAACTTTGATTTTTGTTTCTTTGGACAACATAATGAAAGTTTCCAATGGACAAAAAGTACTCGTTCGCGGACAATCTCTGATTAATTGGCTGGGTTTTTCAATTTGAACTTCTCATAGCGATTCTTTATGGGCAAAAAACATTTAGAGAAAAAAAACATTCTATAAGTCGTCGCAAATTCAGACAGCTTCTTCCAACCAAGCTTCTTTTTCTCATTATTTCCTGGAATAAATTTATTTTTTTTTGTCTTTCGGCTTGCTTCGAAAAAAATTTATCGCTTCCTTTTTTAGCATTTTCATTTCTTCTGAAAAATAAATTTTTTAGAAGCTTTTGTACTTTGCTCATGTGACTGTTATTTATTTGTCCGCTCCTAGTTTTTGATCCGCAGCTTCTTCCTTCTAAACTCTACAATTTTCTATTTCTTTTAACGCTCTTCCATCGCGATTTCCTTTCGATAAAAGTTTAATGTTACTTTTTTGTGATTTTAGAGAGAAAGAGACACAAAAAATGACAGCGGGACCGCACGCAGGTGATTCAATAGAAGCGTCGTCGGCGGCGGGCAAAGTGACCAAGTCGGGTCGCGATTCCCGTCGTTCCGTCAAGATTGAAGAAGTTCCAACGTACAGCCATTCTTCGGGTTCGTTTCAGCCAGAAAGAAAAATGGGTGTCCGGTGGAGAGGACGTTTTTAAATTGCGGATAGAGTTGTGATGCAATTATATATATATTTTTTTTGTTTCTTGTTTGAAATGCCTTGCTGGTATGTTTTGAGGAGCATTTAAAATTTTTGAAAGTTATTCGAGGCGATTATATGTTTTCAATGTTATATTGGTTCATGCGAAACGCTTCTGAACATCACAAAATGAGATTTTGAACTGAATATATTTAATTTTGGGTTTTTTAATGCTTTTTGGATGTAGAGATTGTGATGATGAATCAATAAACCTTTACTGAAGCTGTAGAAAGTAAAAATATTATTTTATTGCAAAACAAGAAACTTTTTTTTGTTAAACTTTGAGCCAAGCATAAGTCCTGCGTTTTTTTGTATACTTTATTTTGATCAGAAAAAAATCCTTATTTAAAAAAATTTGGTTCTGAATGTATCAATTAATAATTATTTAGTTCGTATCTTTTTTTAAATAATGGTCAAATAATGGTTTGAAAGTCCTGATAATATACAACAAAAATAAGAAAAAAAGTGACGAATCTTTATTTTTTTCCACGTGTTTTGTTCGTTAGTTGACCATAGTTAAGTTCTTTTTTTCTATAAAAACCAGTTCAACTTAGTTGACCACAGTGGAGTTGGGGAAATAGGGAGTTTTTATTTGATTTTTGAGAATTTTCGGAATATAAAAGTTTTCGTAGTAGCCTAGGCTCTCATTTGACAGCTCTTTATCAACTTTTTGATGATTTTACGTGTTTTATCTGACATTTTTTTCTGATTGTCTTATGTTCGAAAGACGGCCAATTGACAAGATGATCACAGAAATAAGTGTCACAAAAATAATAGGAAATCGCTTTGAGAACAAAGAAAAAAATAAACGGGGATAATCTTTCCTCGCCTTTTCACGGTCAAAGTCCGAAAAAGATTTTTTTAAAAAAACACTTTCTTTCTGAATTTTTTTGTTGAAAAAGCTTTTTTTGTGGATTTGAAAAAAAGACCGGAATTTTTTTGCGAAAGAGGTGTTTAAGAAAAGCTTTTAAGTTCTTAGAATAAAGCTTTTATAAGACGGAGGGTTTTGAAAAACCTCAAAAGGTAGAAAAATGTTTCAAAAATGTTTCTGAAAAGATTCAAAAAAACCTTTCCCGTATTTATTTTCTCTCTGGAAGTTTTCTGCACTTTTTAACTTCCTTAAAAAAGGCACTCGAAAGTCTTTTGGAGAACTTTTCCAGAAAATAAATCTGGTCTTTTTGGACTCTGAACATGAAAGAACTTTGAAATCCAATCTGTTGGATCCGGGAATTTTTTTCCCATTATCTGTGTGTTTTTTTTCCATTCGCACCCTTTCTGTGTTCGTTTTTGGGGCGGTGCCAGCCGTTTCCGATTGCTATCTTTCTGTTTCGATACTTTCGGCCGCTCTGTATTGTATTGACCCCCCGGCCGATTCCTTCATATTCTCCATACATCTGCAAAGTTTTTCTTTGGCAACGAAATGCGAGATTTGCCGGAATGTGTCTCAATTTTGAAAGTTGCCGCCCGGCAAATCGGTTAGTTCTTTGGAGCTTCTCAAAGTGTGAGAACTTCTCTTTTTTTCGTGTGATTCATGATTTGTTATTTATTAATGAGTAAGCGGGGAGCGACTTGAAAGCGAAAAAGCAGTTCTAATTGGATTTTTTTAGCGAACAATTTGTGTCATTTTCTCCCTCGCGTTTTTGTTTCACTTTTTCTGAGTTTGCTTTTTCGGCTTTAGGTGAATTTAATTGAACATTTTGAAGATTTTGAGCATTTTATCGGGTTTAGTCGAATTTTAACAAATTAAAGGATTGATTTCAGCCATTTTTCGGAGATTTGAGTTTAAAAAAAGCCGAAAAATCATGAAGAAGTGAAATTTTTTTATAATTAGACCTTCAGGGAACAATTTGCATTTTTTTCCCTCGTTTTTTTAAAAATGAGAAGTTTTTCACACCTTTGCTGTTTAGAAAAATTTTGATGCCGCCCACTTTTTTATCACTTTCTAAAGAGCACAAAAATCATTATCAAACACCCATGAAAGGTACTTAATCCCTTTATAATCTCATGTAAACTTGTCAGTTTTTATCTTCTCGCTAGAAGTCAACAAGTTTATTAACTAGAGAAAAAACTTTCAAAAAAAACCTGTATTCAAGAAGGAAAGGTTTTTTTACGTACGTGGAAGTTGAGCCGCAATATTCCAGAAAAAAACACCTGTTTCACCTGCAAATTTGCTAATTTCGCTCCGAAAAATTCTCCAAAAACCTTGTGTCAGAGATTCAATTCTGAGAAACTTTGGGAATTACGCTCCATTCAAAGATCTTTATTTGAGACGTTTAAGGTCGAAAAAGAAAAAAATAATAATTCTAAGAAACGGTTTTTTTCGGAAACCTTTTTAAAAACTTTTTATATCCTCCTTAAATATCAAAGCTAGGGTTTTAAGTAGACTATATTGGCGTTAAAAGTGTTTTAAAGGGTTCTTTAAGAAAGTTAAATATGGCCAACAGTTTGTCACAATTTTTTTTTTGAGCTGCAAAACCCTTTTCTTCCTAATGCGCGGCCATGCATGCGCCTTTAATATAACTGCATTTTTTTTTGAGATGAACTAAAATCACATGAACAGAGGCCACGCGCAAAAAAGAAAAGGGCTCTGTAGGTCAAAAGAAAAAAAAAAGGACCACAATGATTTTTGATTTCAATATTTGTCTGAGCTCTATTATCGCTCAGGCTCGTCGGTGAACGAGATGGCGAACGAGGTCGACGACGAGTTTGAAGGCGGCCATTCGCCACGTCTTGGCCGAATCCGACTTCGGACTCTCAGTGGCAGCAAGGCTGACCATCATTTATTGACTACTAAAACGGGCCGCGTAAGTTTCTGAACTGGAAAAACACAATTTCCCCCGAAATTTCACAAAATTGCGGAATGAAGCTTTTTTAAGAGAAGGAAAAATATTCCAAGGGTTTCTAAGTCCTAGAGGTCTTCCTAGATCCCTTATGGGTTTCTAAGTCCTAGAGGTCTTCCTAGATCCCTTATGGGTTCCCGTTGGAGAGGTCGTTTAAGACGAAAAAAGTTATTGTGAAAGATTGTCTTCCAATTTTTCAAAGAGAATTTTTCTTTGTGGATAAGGGGTGATACATTTTGAAGACAGCCTGAAAAAAAAGTATAAAAGTGAATTTTAATAAAGCTTTTTTTCCTTTTGAGAGACACAAAAAAATGCGCCTTTTCTAAGCCTCGAAAAATTCTTTCTGTACTGTTCTCATAAAATCTATGTTAAAATTTGAAATATGACCTGAAAAAGTAATTTCCGCAACGACCTCCCGAAAAATCAAAGTGGCACAAAAATGCGATTATCAAATCACCGGGAAGTTATCGAATCAAAAAATGTGTTGTCTGGCGGAGAATGTGAGAAATTCTCACACGTTTTTTTCGTGTCGGCCCTTTTTTCAAGGCCATTTTGTTGCAGACCGATATCCTTATGAGTATGAGATTCTTATTCATTTGATTCTGTAGAAAGAATCAAGGATTAGAAATCGTCTCTTCCCAAAAAAAAAGAAAACTACCTTGTTGTTTCTGTTTTGAGGCGTTCCCTTTATGAAAACGGAAGTAATTTATTTTCTTCTTTCTCACATCATAAAATTTTGCAACCAGCGTTTATCAGTTTTACTGTTTGATGTAAATTTTCATTATTACGTGAGACTTGATTCCTGATAAGCATTGGCCTTTTTACCTGATTTCATAATATTGAAGTATTTTTTTGGAGATGAAGGTAAATTTTTTTCTCTTGCATATTTCCTGCTTGAAAAAGTCTAGTTAGATGCTCAGACTGTTTGAAATTTTTCTAATTTCTAATTTTTGGGATTCAATGAAGGCGAAAGAGGTTTTTTTCTCAATTCCATGACGTTTTTTTCTCAAGAAAAATTTATAGGAAAGTTTCAATAATTAAAAAAAGTGTATTGAACTGGAGCATTTTTTTATCCTTCAAATTGATAATTTTAAGAATCATAACCGTTGGGTTGATATTTGATAAAACGTAGGTGGTGAGAAGTTCATAGATAATTTTTCTGGATCGATTTTTTTAGAAGATCATTATGGAATTTTTTTCGGATTAATGATTGAGGATTGATGAAATGACGATGCAGGAATAATAGTTGATTTTTGATAGCAGAAAATGTAAAATTTCAGCCGCCATTCATTTTATGTTTAGTGAATTTTAAAAATTTTTTTAGTACGAGCAAAAAAATAGGGTTCCAGAAAAAAACTGATCTTTAAAAAAATTTTTTTGTTTAAAGTTTTTTTCTTTCTGTGAGGTTAATGATTGATACGTAATAAGACTGCTTTTGCATTTTTTTTTTTTTGTGCGGTCTGCAGAGGAGTTTCCAGAAAAATCGGCCTTTGAAGACCTTTTCAAAAGTTATTTTTAGAACTAAGGAAACGTGATAAAACGGAGGTGGCAAGGATTTGATCTTCTCTGATTGCAGAAATTTTGAAATTTTGGCCGCCATTTATCTTGTTATCAGTCAATTTTCAAATTTTTCCAACAGTGTGAAATCCGGGAAGGAGCTATAAAAGTTTATATTCAAGTTCCTTTTCTAAAATTTATTTTGTAAGATTATTGATTCATACGTGATATGGTCTGCAGGGGAGCTCCAAAAAAAGAAACCGGCCTTGAAAAACTTTTCAAAAAGTTATTTTTAGAACTAAGGAAACGTGATGAAACGGAGATGGCAAAGAGTTGATCTTCTCTGATTGCAGAAGATTTACACTAAAGGCCGGCCGCCATGGTACGACAAGCGCGGGAAAGCACTCAAGCAGCCGTACGTGATCGGTATTTGCGGCGGGTTTGTTGACCTGTTGATTGGTCGGTTTGATAGCGTCGTTGTGCCAGGTCGGCGAGCGGTAAAACGACGGTCGCCGAGAAAATCATCGAACGCCTGGAAATCCCCTGGGTCACCATCCTTTCCATGGACAGCTTCTACCGAGTTGGTTCATTTTTGGACTCGGAAATATTCTCAGAAGACGATCTGAAGTTCAAGAAAAATGGCTCCATTGAGCATTTTTTCGAGACTTCCTAGAAAAAGAATACGAAACAGCCGTAGAAAAAGAAAGAGTGACATACACATTTAGAAAAAAATGAACATTTTTAAAACACTCGGCGAAGAATTTAAATTTTCTGAAGTTTTTTGAAGAATTCGGATGATCTTTCCAAAAAAGACAATATTGTGGTCTTTCAAAATCAAGAATGAGAAAAAAAACTCAACAGGATTTTTTTCCCAAAAAGTTTCAATGCTCAAACGGTTAGTTAGTGTAGGCTTCACAAATCAGGAAAAATAGGACTTTATATAAAAAAAGAGTTTCTGTAATCAATTTCGAAAAAATTTCATCCTACTGATGTAAATTTCAAAGAAATAATTAGGTAGGCTCCATTAAGGTGTGAATCTCATTTTTGTACCTGACATCGGCTTTTTTCAGTTTCACAAAAAGAGAGAGTTGGAAATTTGGGAAATTAGAAAAAATCTGATTTTCATCGAATTTTTAACAGAAAACTTTGTTTTTCACAAGCTCTGTTTTCTAATTGATTCGTTAATATAGGCTTCACCAGTTGGAATAAAGTTTATGTTAAAGAGAAGCTTATTTTTGAACAATTCTTACCTGAAAGTAAGAAAAAAGTCTCTTTATTGAGCCTTCCATTTTTCTTTGATTTTAGAAGCTCAAGAAATGGTGGAAAAAGGTAAAGGCAAAAAAAAAATGGTGCATAAAAGTCGACGAACTGGCGCAAAAAGGCAGCAAAAAAAGGAACCTTTTTCTACCCTTTTCGGCTTTGCCTATGTTCCCTTGTTCCCGCAGAGGTTAATCTTGACTTCTTTCCTACTTTTTTAGAAAAAAAAACGTTTTCTCAATTTTTTGTACCTGACGTTGACCTATGTGCAGGTTCTCTCACCTGAAGAACACGATTGTGCCGAGCGTTCCGACTACAATTTCGACGACCCCTCCGCCTTCGATTTTCAACTTCTCCACGAGGTCCTCTCACGTCTTCGCGAGGGAAAAAGCGTCGAAGTCCCGGTTTATGACTTCACCACCCATTCGAGAGATCCCAATCCGAAGGTTCTAATAAAGTGAATCCCTGACAAAGTAAGGTGTTAAGGTTATGTATGGAGCCGATGTCCTGATCTTCGAGGGAATTCTCGCCTTCCACGTTGAGAAAATCAAGGATTTGATGGATATGAAGGTTAATAATAAGAAAAATATCCTAAAAGAGTGCTGATTTTGTGGAAAAGTTAAGTTAAAATGAGACATATTTGAATTTTTCTCTCTTCTTGTTTCTAGTGAAGGATTTGATAAATATGGGCGGTTTTTTTGAGGTTAAAAAAATATGTTTTTTTGGAGCAAATAAATGAAAGAAGATTTTTGTAGAAATTTTTTTTAAAAAAACAGTATTGAAAAAAATGAAAATTCGATTTATACAGTTGATATTTTGAGTTTTTTTAACGCTCTATCAGCTAAAATTCAATTCAATTTGTTTATTTTTTTTGCAACGTCGGGATGGTATGGTGATGTTGCAGGGAGGGAAAAAGACCACTAGGTGGATTAACTAACCCCACCTGTGAAGAAAAAGTTTTTTTTGTGTAAGAAAAGAAACATAGAACCATAATAAGTAGATATTTAAAAACCAAGTTGATCATGGCACAAATCTGTGAACACTTGAAAGAATATGCTCGACGCCAACATCTTCTGCATACACTAAAAACATGTCCTTAAATTTTTTCTTGTCTTCCTCTGCCAATAATTCATGTTCAATGTCATTCCAAACATTAGTAATGCGATGTGATAAGAAATTGAAGAAAACCAGTGAAGGTTTCGTTTTTATTAATTTAAAACCATTTCCTCTGAGCTGACTGGGACGGTCAAAGATGTTATGTACCTGGATGGGAGAGTCTGACCAGCACTTATTATGCAAAAACTGATGTGATAATACCAGATCCTTAACTAAACGCCTAAACCAAAGAGGTTGAAGACCTAAAAGTTTTAACCGTTCATTATATTCCATTCTTGGGAAAAGGCGCTTAGTGAAACGCCTCTGGACCGATTCTAATCGATCAATATCTGACTTTGTCAATGGACACATTAGTTCCGAACCATACTCTAGAATGGGAAGTACCTTGGCCGTATAGCATGTCAAGAAGTTTTGTTTCGAGAAGCTAAAAACAGCGGAAAAAGGTTGTTTATAATACGCATAGTTTTTTTACGATTACTTCAATATTATTATGCATTTTTGAGGTTAGATGAAAAAAATAACTCCGAGATCTTTCACACAATCCTCGTTATTCACTGTTGTACCATTAAGCTCGTAACTCGCAACACTTCGAACTCGTTTCCCATAACTAACATGGAGACTTTTATTTGCTGAAAGTATGAGTTGTCTATCTGCAAGAAAATTCTCAATAGAATGAAGATCCTCTTGTAGCTTGTTTTGATATCCTGGAACAGAACTGCTAATCATTACTTTGCAATCATCCGCGTAAATCAACAGTTTACTATATTTAAGTGCTTTTATCCAAATCGTTAATGTAAACAAGAAACATTAGAGGACCTAAACAGCTTCCCTGTGGAACCCCAGAAATGACTTCAATATCTCCCGAAAAATTTATCATTTACTTTTTACTTTTTTTGAGTCCTGTTAGTCAAATAAGCTCTAATCCAGTTACCAAGTTTTTCCTTTACATCCGTAGGCTTCAAGTATGGTTAAAAAGTCTACGGTGACTGACTGATGTCAAAAAGCCTTTGATATATCCAAGTAAATACAGTCAACATTGTTTTTATTGTAAACTTCTTCAAAAATGTATCTTTGTTTCTCCAGTAAGTGAGTTATTGCACTCCGATTGTTCAAAAAAATCCGAACTGAGTTTTTAGAAAAAAATTTTGCTACGCCAAAGATGATTTCTTAAAGCTCTCACTACAATTGCTTCGAAAAATTCGGCATGGCACACAGGTTAAAGAGACGGGCCTATAATTTTCAGCGGCGGAAGGGTTTCCTTTTTTTGAATACTGGAGAAACAATAGATTTTTTTCCAAAAGAAGAGGTAACGAGGAGCTATCTAATGACTTTCTGAAAAATCATTGAGAGCAGGGCGCGCTAAAGGAACTGCTAATTTTTTACATAATTTACTCGAAAGTCCGTCTGGGCCTGAAGAGCTTAGACTTTTTAGATTTTTCATACATTTATAAACCACATGTTCATCTACGCAAACGTCCTCCAAAACTGTACTGGTAACCGAAGGGACGCTGAAATTTTTATTGTCATCAATACGGTAGACCGAACTGAAATATGAATTAAAAATGTTCGCGATCTCCTCACTTTTTTGAATGGAGCGACCTTCGAAACATAGAGATTTTGGCTGCATAGAAACAGTGGTTTTCCTCTTAACATAAGACCAAAATGCTTTACTGTTTTTAGATCCATTTAGTACTCGTTCTTCTTCTGAAACTTTGTAGTTTTTGACGCTAGTTTTATACACTTTAAGGATCTGCCTATATTTTTGCTCTTTTTGTGGAGATAAGGATTTTTTAAAATCAATATAGCATCTTTCGACTTTTCTTCTCGTTCTTATCAGGTATTGCGGGAATTTGAACGGTTCTATAATTTTTTTTGGTATGAAATGATTGCAGAGTGGCTCAAGTATAGAAATGAACTTTTCATACATTTCATCTACTGTACGACATGTGCTGAACCGATAATTCCAGTCTATCCAAGCTAATGCACTATTTAAAGACGCGAAATCAGCATTTTTGTAATCTGAAATTACTTTTGGCGGGAAAACCTTTAAGTTTGAAGTTTTTAAGTTGAGCTGGCACGTGATAGAACAGTGATCTGATAAGGGTTGTGATATTTTTTTACATCTGAGACTATAGATCCGTTATTAGTTAGAACTAGGTCTAAAAATGCTAGAACCCCGCGTAGGTTCTTTTTACTAATTGCGAAAAAGCCAAACTGTGATACACATTGTAAAAAACTTCTCGACATGCCATTATCGGCTCTAAGAAAATCCCACTTTATATCTGGAAGATTGAAATCACCTCCAATAATGTGACATAGATCTCCTACTTTAACTATGATATTATTTAGATAGGTCTCGAAATGTCCAGCAAAACTCGCATCCCATCCAGGAGGTCTATATAATCCCGTCAAAACCCATGTTTGCTTTGAAATCGGATGCATTATTTTTACAGATATAACCTCTATCGAACTAATTGACAAACTGCCAACAACTTCACTGATATACGTAGAAGGACACAAAATTAATACCCCACCGCCTTGCTTATTGTTTGGACGACAAAGACTAAACGCAGAAAAATTCTCAAAATGAGTAAGTAAAGAAATGTCATCACTATTATTAAGCCACGTTTCCGTATAAACAAAAAATGATGACGGCGAGCAGAAGCAATCGATTTCTAACGCTAATTTTTTAGATTTGATACCTCTCACATTGGCTATAATTAACTGACTGTTTTGGTTCATTGTTTCTTCTCTTGCACTACATTTTCGATGGCGTTAAGTGTGGCCGTTTTCCCGTCTGAAACATTGAAAACCATACCGCTCCCGGAGGTATGTGACGTTTTCTTCTTGTAAATCATCAAATCTCGGACGACGAACTTGGTACCATCGGTGGAGTTCTCATTCATTTCACGGCATTGCTTTCTGAGTTGACGATCCATGGATAGTTCATCAATGGTGAGATCGTCTCTGGCGAATTTGCATATGGCGGACCGTCCCAGAAGTCTTTTCACACGATCCTGATGTTCTTTGCGATGAAGTCGAACCTTGACAATGCGCTCTTTGCCAGGGTGGAGCTCTCCGTGACGGAATATACTGTCGACATCAGACGCACCGAAGCCTTCCGGTTCTAGTATTTTCATACACTTGTTGTTGAGATCTTCTTCGGCTTCTTCTGGCATCCCAATCAGCACCACGGTGAAGTCCTTTTTGTGGATTTCGCGGTCACGAGCGATCTTCCTGCTTCGTAGTTCGCAAATAAGTGGGTTCACATCCGGCTTGGTTGTCGCAGCTGCCTCAGCATACGTCTTCGCGTCAGCCCTGTCGCGACTCGAAGAGAAGAGATCCATCAGTTTCTTCAGATCCGCTGTCAACGAGTTGATGATGTTGTCTCGCTTCTCCAACTCCGCTGAAAGAAACGCAACTTGGTCACTTTTTGTATCTATTTCCTCCCTCAGTTCAGTTATTGAGCGTGTGGTTGAGGCCATAGAGGCCTCCAGGAGACGTTCCAGAGCCGTCATGCGTTCGGTAAGAGTCGGAGCCTTCACGGTTTTGGTAGAGGAAGACATTGCTGACATAGCACTCCCGGGGTGAAAATTTCACGGCAATGAAAATTTCACGGCAATGAAAATTTCACGGCAATAAAATATGGATTTTATTTTTATTTTTTCATTATTGAAGTGCGAAAATATTCCTTAAACGAAGGAATCTAAGTGCTTCGAATGGAGTCTCATGTTTTTGAATGATTAACTCAAGATTACCTTTTTTTAAATAATTCAGCCGTTTCCAGTAAATTTTTTTTCAGTGGAAGGTTTATATTAATATTGAAGATTTGAACAGAAGAAAAATTGCTGGAAGTAGAAAAAAATGACAATCTTTATGGATTTTAAAAATTTTTTTTCGTATAATATTAAGGATAAAGATAATTTTCTATGCCCTATTTCTCATACGCTTCTAAAAAAACTATGATTGGAAGTTTGTTTTTTTGAACTTCTAATATTTTTTTCTGTTTGAAATATTTGGTCGGAGAGAGCTGATTTGTGAAATTTTCCAATCTCTTTTGAACTTTTTTTCTTTTCCAAATCCTCATGAATTTGCTCAGGTTTTCGTTGATACCGACGCGGATTTGCGTCTGGCTCGACGGTTAAATCGGGACATCAACGAAAGGGCCAGGGAACTCGATGGAGTCCTCGAACAGTACTTCAAATTCGTCAAAGTAGCTTCGAATTCGAAGAAAAAGAAAATTATGCTTGGTTTTTAGCCGGCTTTCGATTTGTACATCGCTCCGGGGATGAAAGACGCGGATATCATTGTGCCGCGAGGCGGTGACAACGACGTCGCCATCAATTTGATCGTCAAGAAAGTCATGGCCCAGCTTCTTGAACGAGGTTTTTAATTGAAGAAAAATTATGAAAATTATGAGAAAAAAAATTTTTGGATGGTTTTTAATATGATTCAGTGTAGCAAATTGTCTTAAAAAGGGTTTTTTTTTGTAGAGTTTTAAGGACACATGTCAGTTTTTCATTCAGAATTCATTTCATTTTTTTCATTTCAAATGTTTATTCGCCATTCCGCAATCTGCACGACAATACAAAACATAAAACAATCAAATAAATATTGGAATTTTCGAAAAAAATTTTTGCGAAAAAAATGTCAGATTTTTCAACCTGAATTCGATGATCAACCAACGGAATAGTTCTTTGATTTTTTTCCAACAAATTTAAAATTTAGGCCTTTTTTTTAAGTTTGAGAAGACCAATTTTATTTATTTATTTTTGAATTTGAGGCGAATATTTTCAGCTTTTTTTGGAGAATGGTATAATTTTTTTGGGCTGAAAAGCTTCTTAAAGGCTTTTATAGAAGAATTCCCAATAAAAATCATCTTTTTATGGCGTGTTCATCGGGCAAAACGAAAATTGTTTCGAAAAGCAAAAAATTGCTCCAAAAAAAAAAAATAAGTACTGGGGCGCGCCGATGAATACGATTTTTCATTTTGAAGCATTTTCCGTTTCTCCGATGGAAACTCCATTAGTTTTGGAAAGTTAATTGAAAATGCCTTGTCAGATCTTAAAATTTCGCAGTTTTGAATAAAACTCTACGCTGAGATGTGCACAAAAATGATAGCTTGTTGCACGTTTTGCTATACTTTCTCAAGAAAATATTTTTTGAAGAAATTATGGGAGAATCATTTTTTCCAGGCTATGACCGGAATCAGAACCACGTCCGTGAGCGACCCGAGCCGATCGAACGGCTCACTTTCCCCGATTGCCTTCCTGATAACTTGATTATTATTCGAGACACGCCACAAGTCAAGGGACTTCATACTTATATACGCAGTCGGGATACCAACAGGTGAGGAGGCGAGAGATCAACAGCAACTGAAGAGACGGCAGAGAAAGGGGGAACGTTTACCTGTCTGGCCTCTCTTCAGGGTGATGATGATCTCTAACGCCACTCAGATTCTCCTTAATGATGCAAATGTTGTCTAGAAAAATTAATGTTCCGAATATTTGAAAATATGAATATAACTGATTCACTACTAGCTTGGGACGCTAAAGGGCCTTGATCTCTCTGCACTCTCCACCATCCAGGCGCTATCTCGTGCATTATCGTGTCAGGACCCTTTTTTTCGATGGCTGAAGCCAGCCGTGAATCAGCTGTAGTAAGCGAGAGTTCAACAGCGACTGGAGAGACGTTAGAGAAATCAGAAAAATTTTCCGTTCCTCTAGCCTTTCTTAAGGTAACTGGCCAGTTCTGGAAGCTATATTGAGCGGAATTAAGTTACGTTACCCCAAAAATGGCCCCTAACTTGGCGAATCCTATCAGAGATCACTAGGTTGACCACTTAAGATTTATGTGTGCAAATAAATAATCAATTTTTCACTGTGGTATGCCTAAATATGCATTCTAGAAGCTAGAAGAAGCAAAAATAAATCGCTTTTTCCTAAAAATGGCCAATAACTGCAAATTCCCCGAGGGATCACTAAGTTATGAGCCTCAAGTGACCACTTAAATTTTTTCGAGGACAACTGTAAATTCAATCTTCCCGTGTACTCCAGCTGACTATGCGTGTATTTTTCCAGAGACGAGTTCATTTTCTACTCGGAACGTCTCTCGAGAATCCTCTTCGAAGAGGCCATGAACCATATGCCCTACCAGGCCGTCGACATTGAGCTCGTCAACGGCTGCAAGTAACGAAATGCAGTTGTTGAACATGTTTGGCAAGCTGGTTGTATCAGATCGACGGGAATCCGGAAGGCGGCGAGCATCTGCGGCGTAGCCATCATGCGTGCTGGCGAAACCATGGAGAACTCGTTGCGGAACATCGTCAAGGACTGCAAGGTACCGTTTTATAATTGAAATGGGGATAGGTTCATTAACTGCGATCCGTAAAAAATAATGATGTGATCATTTAAGAGAAGAGTCCAGTTTTAAGCCTTTGAAATGAAGATTTGGGAGAAAAAGGTAGAGAAATTAGGGCTTTTGAGAACTAGAAAAAAATAATTTTGAAATTTTTTTGAGAAGAATAAAAAAATAATTTTCGCCTATTTTGGCCGGATTTCCGAATTTTCGTCAATGGTGTACATGAAACGAATTAAATAAGTACCTTTTTTTGAATCATTTTTTTAGTTATTATTTTTTTAAACCATCAGATTGGACCGAGATAAATAAGCTGTTTTTTTGAATGTTTAATCCCTATCTGGTCGTTAAAAAAATAACATTTTCTCATGTAAAAAAATTCAAAGAATAAAAAGTATGATGGTAAATTGGCCTTGAGTTAGCCAAGAACTCGAGCTTAATGATACCTTTTTTTGTTCGAGAAAGTTCGAAAAAAATAAAAAAATTTTTTTGCTTTTTTTATGACAATTAGTATTTGGGATAGCTCCACATTTTATTGTTTCCCCTATTTTTAGTGAAATTTTCGGCTTTTACCGTTTTTGAGGTTTTTTTTCATAGAAAATCCCATGTTTGAATATTTTTCATTCAGTTTTGTATACGAGAGAACTTTCTGTTCGAAATACGCAACATCATGAATTTTCGAATCACTAAGTTTGAATTGTTTGAAAATTGATTTTCAGATGGGCAAAATTTTGATCCAAACCAATGAGACGACGCTTGACCCTGAATTGCACTATCTTCGCCTTCCTGTCGATATCCACGACTATAAGGTCATTCTGATGGACGCCACTGTTGCCACAGGTTCATTTCCATTTTTATTCTATATCTTTCAAATAATTGAATTTTCTCATAATTTTTCAAAAGAACTAATTTGAAGGAAACGCGGCGATGATGGCGATCCGTATATTGTTGGACCACGACGTGACGGAGGAAAATATTTACCTGTGCTCTTTGGTGATGAGCGAACAGGGAGCACATTCCCTGGCCTACGCCTTCCCCAAGGTGCTTTTTTAATGGATTTATTGGAAGGGAAACTTTTATAGAAAATCGGGCTATCGACAGGTTATTGAAAAAAAGAAAACCCAAAAAATTGATAATCTCATGAAAAAAAAAATCAAATCTTTTTTCAAAATTTTATCCATCAAGTTTTGCATTTTTAGAAGGCTTTGAGGGAGGATTAGAAAAAAAAAAAAATGAGAAATCGGTTTTTTGGGGATTTTCACGTCTACAAATTTTGAGTAAAAACGGAAATTTTCAATATTTCAGACATTATGGACTGAACTATTCTTGATAATGTGAATTGTGATAGAATAAGAAGCCAAATTGAATTATTAGGGTGAAATTATTTTAATCATAAGATTTTTAGGTTTTTGAGCACGATTAAAAAGAAAAAAATTCCTTCTGATTTTTTTAGAGGAAAAATTTATAAGAAAGCCCAAAAAAACTTCTTTTTGAGCTCGAAAATAGTGTCAAAAAGTTTCTTAGAATCTACTTCCCCCCCCCCCTTTTTTTTAAAGACTTCTTTGAAACTTTCTAAACTTTTTTTTCTGGCTCTCACGTTCCTAACACTTTTAACCTTTTTAAAAAATGGTGAAGTAAACTTCTAATAATTATCCAGGAAAAGGCGCTAATATGGTCTCAAAGACCTTTTCAGAAAAATTTTTGGAGTTCCCCGATGTAGGACAATTTCAGAGGAAGCTTAATTCTTCTACAGTACTCAAAAACTCGAAAAAGTATCCGACTTTCCTTTTTAAAAATAATTTTTTTTGAAGGTGAAACTGATCACGACGGCGATGGACGAGCTCTCGCACGACTTCTTTCTGAAACCGGGAATGGGAAATTTCGGCGACCGCTACTACGGAACTTGCACCGATTTGACTTTTGAAGAGCCTCTCGAAGTCTAATTTTCCATCGTTTATCATCTATCTATTGCATTTTAATCACATTTTTTTCATTTTTTTGTGTAATATTATCATCATGTAGTCTTTTTGTCGCAAAAATGAGTTTTTCAAATTGTTTGTCTGAAATCGCGCGGATCGGTGCTTGCACCAAATGCGCAGCGTGATGACATCTGTTGGTTGGGTTTTGTCTAATTACCTTGTTTTTCTTTTTTTTTTTCCTTTTTCCACGTTTCTTTTTGATTCTAATCGAAAAACCTGATGAAAATGTAAAAAAAAATAAGGGACGGTTGGGCTGAAAATGTTGTTTTTTGTTTGGTTTCTCCATCTGTCCTCTTTTTCCCACGAAGTATTATCCATTCTTTCTTCTTTCTTTCCAATTCTCTTATGACTTTTGACCGATTAGGTGCCATCTTTTTCATATATCTTCCTAACACCTTTTTTCATTTTGATGCGTGTTTTTGTTCTAATGTTCTGAGTTTGATCTGATGCCTTTGAGCCTTACAAAAATAATTATATATCAATGTTTTTGTTTGTTTTCTCATCTCTTTTTTGAATATATGATCAAGTTTGATAAATTTGTTGTTAAAAGGTGTTTTTGAGGGAAAAATATCCGTTTTCGAAGTAATATGTTAAGCGTAATATTTATTTTTTGACTTTGCAACCTGAAATCAAGAGTTGAGGAATGGATTAATCAATATTATGTTGATCTATTTTTTTGTTGGATTTTAGTAGAATAATTCTTTTTATTGACGTGATAAGCTTTTCATTTCCAAAAATTGGGGTCAAGGCTTGATCAAATTTTTTTTTTCATTATATTTTCAAAAAGGTATGATCTTCTCAGAGTTCAGTTTTTCCATTTCGTGACTTTTTTTCGAAGCTCAGTTTTGATTACGGAGAAAAAAACTAGCAGAAACATTTTCAGATTAATAAATGGACGATTTTCAAAGATGGTTCGGCGGTGGTGGATTCATGCGAATGGGAGGGGTCAGGTGAAAAATTCAAATTTCAATTTTAGCACCAATTTCTTCAGAATATACTGGTATAATTGAAAAAAATGACAGTTTTCAGAAGAAAAAAAGATTTTTTTAAAAAAGGATAATTAAAAATCAATGTCTTGATTCTCCGTGAAAAGCTCAGAATTTTTATCAAAAATCCTAGATTTTAGTACTAATTTACAACAGAAAAATTTGATTATTTAAAAAATTTTATTTTCATTTCAGAAATTTTCATGAATCACCCTGATTTTTGGTGTAAAAAGGCTTCCAATTTTGACCTTGATTCAGAAGATTTAGCTCTGAAAAAGCTTTTTTTGACTTCATAGTCCAAATTTCTGATTTCAGTCCGAGTTTGATTCCAATTTTATAAAATTTTCATAAATTGGCCTCAATTTTAAATTCGAAATTCTTCAGTTTCAACTTCAAAGTTATAATACTGAATATTAATGCAAATTGTTTTTTTAAAGAATAAAAAAACTCTTGGATTTTTTTCCAATCGTTTTCGTTTGAAATAACTATTTTTTCTTGATTTTCCGAAATAGTTTTCAAAAAATCTTATTTTTACCTGTTTTTATGGATCTTTAGTAATGAGTTTTAACAAAGTTACTCAGTTTTTTTTTTCATTTTTTTCAAAAAAATTTATAAAATAACGGATTCTTTTTTTCAATTTTCTCACAGTTGAGCACAAAAAAATCTTCTATTATTTAAAAAAACTTTCATTTTTGCAGATATGAGGAAGAATTTGCGTGTCATACGGCCGCATATCTGCACAATGCGACTGCCAATAAAATAAACGAAGTGAATTTTGGCGGAAAGGTTTTTTTAGCGGAAAGAGAAAAGAAAGTATATTTTCCTTTGATTCAGATTTTATTGCCAACATCAGCTTTGGACAAGTTGCTGAGGTACAATATCCAAACGCCGATGATGTTCACGGTTGGTTTTTCAAGGGAAAGAAAAAAAATTGAGGAGTGTAGTGAACGCGATCTATAAGCTGTGAATTGAAGCAATTTAACAGGATATTGCCAGTTTCGATTGTCTGGAAAAGTAAATTTTGAGCCAAAATACCGACTTTTCTTAAAAAGAGTTGTCTGCAATATTTTTGTGACAGGATTATCTTGAAAAAAGCAAGTAAATTTTTATTAGTACAACTTTTTTAACGAAGGAAAGGCGCAATTCATAGAATTTTCGAAGCAAAACACCTTTTTTTTGGGCTCTTTTTAGGTCCTAGAAGAATTTTTCCATTGGTAAATTCAAAAACCACAAGGAAAAAAATTTTTCTATTATTCTAGAAGAATATCGATAATAACCGAAAAAAAGGCTCAGAAATCGAGAAATAGTTGTTAATTTATTAAATTGAGAAATAATTTTTTTCTTTAAATCGTTAGAAAACATTTTTACGTTAAGCTTGTGAAAAATAGAGGGTCAAAAAAATATTTTTTTCATGAGTTTTTCGCGCGAAGCTTGGAAAAATTTTTCCCAGTGGTTTGCAAAAGTTTCAGTTTAAAGTTAATGAATTCTCAAAATTCTGAAGTTCAGTTGAGTTTTTTGAAGCTTTTTTCAGCTTCTGTTTCTTTTGCGCTTTCAAATTCAAACGTTTACAGTGATAAAACTTTTTAAAAAAGGAAAAACATGGATATTTTCAAAGCTAGGACTTTATGAAATTTTTGAAAGGCGAAAAAGTGTTTCCAAATATTCGTAGCTTCACAAAAATCTACATTTTTTCCAAAAGCAACTGTTTTTTTTTCATATTCCCACGTTTGAAGAATGCTTTGTTCACCGAAATTTTTATCTAACTTAAATTAAGGTAACAAACGTGGAAAAGCAACGGGTCACTCACGCCGGTGTCTTGGAATTCTCCGCGCCAGAAGGCAACGCGATTTTCCCGAAATGGGTTTTTAGACTATCAAAAATCAGAAAAAGGACTAATTTTTGAATACTCAGATGATGGATCAACTGCAGTTGCGGGAAGGCGAACGAGTACAAATCCAATCGATTTCTCTGCCCAAGGCGACTTTCGCCAAGTTGAAACCGATGTCAACGGATTTCCTCAACATTTCTAATCCGAGGTTTGCAAAAAAAATTTTAAATTAAAGTCCGAGGTTTATTAGAAGTCAGGAAACCACTATGATTATGAGGAAATCTGAAAAGAACCGACTATAAAAAAATTTTTTTTAGAGTGGAGCTTAGTTTTCAAACTATCATTTTCTAGAATTTCAGTTCCTTGAAAAAAAGGCTTTCTTAATAAATTGAGAAAACGTTAGAAAGTTCTCCAGTTCTCTATAAAAAACTTAGGTATTATTGATTTTTAAAAAAGTGGGTCTCGCAACGATTAGCCAAATGATTTGAGAAAAACTGAGGTTCTTAGGAACGCAAGAGTGGTCTCTAGACCATTTTAACGAAAAATCCTATAGGGGACGAAAGCTCACTATAGGGCTAAAATTTAAGTGGTCTCCATAGGTCCTCAGGATCTGACCCCTAATCTTTTGAAGCTTGAGCGATCCCTATAGGGGTCTTTTGACTTTTTTTTTGATGTGAGTTAAAAAGGAGTATAGAGTGTGCTCCCCTAGAGTAGCTACTTTTACAAGCTTCAGCGGCCCCTATAGGAAAGGTAAGGTGCTCCCTTGAGGGGAACCTACAAGAGCCTCTTAAGTTGCCCCTCTAGTTACCACGTCCAATCGATGTTTTCCTATTAATTTTTCTTCAAAGAGATCTCTGAAAGTTTTTTGCAGAGGAGAATTAATTTTTTACGAAATTTTCCAGTTTATTTTTGTGTTATGGTTTCAATACTGAAATAAATTGTTGTTGATCCCTTTTTTGAAGTTTTTAATCGATTCAGAGCGGTTCTGGAAGTGGAACTTCGAAAGTACGCCTGCCTGACCAAGGGCGACAAAATTCCGACCACCGTTAGTCGTTTTCCAAATTTGAACTGGGTAGTTTGAAATTTCCAGTACGCCGGTCAGACTCTCGAGTTCTTGATCGTGGATTTGAAGCCGTCGAACGCGGTTTGTATCATCGAATGCGACGTGAATTTGGATTTCGATGCACCCGAAGGATACGTCGAACAGCCCAGAGCCGCCTCCACGGCCAATATCAAGGTGATTTGGGGTGAATTTGGTAGTTCTGAGGTGCGAAATTGCTAAAAAAAAATAAAGGGAGAAAGAAAATCAGGCCACATCCAGTTTAAAAATGAAAAAAAAAGAAGTTGAGAAATTCTGAACACACGTGGAACCGGACGGACGTTTATTAGCATTTCTAGTGATAACTTAAGAGGCGTACTTTTTCACTCGGATAAACGGATGTTGTATGTAGCAACCCGAGTTATGTCGAGCATTAAACTTTAAATAGCAATGAAAAGTTATTCAATATTTGTCGGTCAAACTTTTTTTTTTCACAGTACTGAATCCGTGGATGCAATAAAAAACTGCGCACAGTTAGGCAATAATCAAACAACTCCTTAAAAAAATCCATATAAAAAAAGTGAAATATGCATTTTATTACACGGTAATGTGAGTTTTCTCAAATGATTTCTAGAAATTATCAAAATATTCGGTTTTCGCGTTAGCGAGGAATGCGTAAAAGTAATTGCAGTACCTTCTTTTCAATTTTGAAAATTATTTCTCAACGGCTTTGAGGGATTTTTTTTTGGCTTCAAGGTGTCCATTCTCAAAAGCTAGAAAGCTTAGGAGGTTGAGACTTCCAGGATCTTCAAAGACCCATCAAGAAGTTTTCTAACTAACTTTGGGAAAATTCCCAATTAAAACAAAAAGGGACATTATTTGTTAGAGGGCGACCTATTGTCAGAATTTTCCTCCTGATATTATTTAGAATAAATGAAGAGGTGTATTAAAAGTATCTGGTTTTCGCTCACATTTTCAAATCCTTGCTATGGCTCTCTGATTTCTTTCATAACCGTTTTCTCCTACAGCCAGCAGGACCGTCTGCGGCGGCGCTGGCCGAAATGGCCGCCAGCAGCGCAGCCGTCCCGTTGGCGACCAGCAGCGGGACGGCGACCGTCTTCTCCGGATCGGCACGTCGTCTGGATGAGAAGAAGAAAGGCTCGTCGGTGAGCATGAGCTCGGACGCCGGCGCGGCCGACAGCGGCTGTGTCTCTCCCAGCGACCTGCCGCAGATCCCTCCCGTCGTCTGCAATGAGGAATATCAGCCTGGTTCGTTTTTCAGATAGTCTTTATATGATCCACTTGCATTTGGCTCGGGAAAGCCAACGGGCGGTTCAAGATAGACCTATCCGTGCGCCTTTAATAAGAAACTTATTTCAAGACTTTTTTCTCCCAAAATTTTTTGAATTGCCGCCAAAACGCGGCGTAACCGCTTCGCACCAGAACTGCGAATGCTGCGCTGACTTGAGGAAACTTGCGCGGCTAAAGTAGATCGCAATGATTCCTTATGCGCCTTTAATAAGGGCCGTTCGTGATGACTTGTTTTCTCATATTAAAAAGTTTTCAAATTTTTGAATTGCCGCCAAAACGCGTCGTATTCGCTTTGCACAAGGATTGTGAAAGCTGCGCTTGCTTGGGGCAAATCGCACGGCGTAAAAAAAATGCGGTGACTCCCCATGCGCCTTTAATAAAAGTAGGGTCCGCAAGCCATTTCTTCAAAACGATCCAAAAAATATGCTTTTTACACTATTCGATAGAGGAGACCGTCCATTTTCATAATCCGTTCAGTTTTAGAAAAAAGCTCCACTAAGAAAAAAGTTATGGCCAAAAAACGAGCGCGCGCGGCGTTCAACTGGAGGCAAAATCTCACGGTTTACCCGCTGCCGCACGCTTTCTTTTTAAATGTTTTTGCGCATTTCTGAACCGTTTTCGAATCGGTTTTTTGTTCTGAGAGGTTGTCCGGACTGAGCCTCATGTTTTGGTATGATTCTTTTGTACAATCCTCATAAGAATTTTTGATAAAATATCAAAAAACTACTTAGAAAAAAGGTCAGAAGGAATTTTCAGCTTATTTTTCTTTTTCTAATCAGAAAAATTATTATCATTTGGTTTGGAAAAAAGAAAAAATGAAAAATAATGTTATTTCGAAATAAAACAGGAAAATGTGTAATTTGACTCCAAAAAACGGCTCCTGCAACATTTAAAAGTGCGCATCGGTGTGTTTGACGCAAACACAGCTACGAATGCTTGCACGATTTCTTCCAAAAATTTCAAAAAAATTGCCATTTTTTTCGAGGTTTTCAAAGCCGTTATTTTTTCGCGTCGTTTGATTTTTTTCATAATTTTTTTCATTGATAGAGTTTTTGAACGCTTAACAACATAATCAAAAAGTATAGACGCGATCCTATTCTCTCATGCGTCAACGAGGCAGGCGAAAAAAGGAGGTTTTGGTAAAATCCAAATATAATTTGATTCACTGTCCCAATAATTATTTTCATTTTGAATTTTTGTTTGTGAGCACATTTTGAGTTTTCAATTCAAATAAAAAGTATACCATGTCGCTGAAATTTTTTCGTATTTCAGCTTCAAAGTTTGGTGTCACTTTACAAGCTTCGATTTTTTTTTCGCGTCGTTAGTTTTTTTTAAATTTTTTTATTCAAAAAATAAAGAAAGTGTTAATGTATAACATACTCAAAATTCGGAAGCGTTCCTCACTTGGTTTTCAGAAACGCGACGATTTTGTGAAACTTGTCAGTTTTTCGTGTTAAATGTTACTTTTTCGCTTATTTTTGAAAAATACATAGTTTTAAAAACATTCAGTCTTGTAGAGCGTTGTCGATTACATAGATTAACAGAAACAGTTTATTTTGAAAGTGGAACTTTAGCTAGTATAAACGCCTCAAAACCGTTTTTGCAACAAAAAAATCGTCATTTTGGTGGCGTGAAGGGGCGGGGCTTTGCGCCCCCTAAATAAAAGCTCTATTTCATGACTTGTTCTCTCCCATAGAAAAATTTTGAACTTCATCAAATTGGCGCCAAAACGCGTTGTAACCGCTTCGCACCCGAACTGCAGGTGCCGCTCTGGTTTGATGCACTTTGCGCGGCGGATTTAGAGGGCGGGGACTCCCCATGCGCCTTTAATAAGAGCTTTATTTGATGAATTGTTTTCGCCCATGGAAAGGTTCCGAATTTTTTAAGAAGCGTCCAAAAGCGTCGCAACCGCTTTGCGCAATAACTGCGAATGCCGAATTCAAAAATCTGCGTTATCAAATCTTTTTGACTTCAGGAATGATCTCCTTCGTCCGCTACGACTACAAACGACGTGACGTCTTGGAGAAGGAGCTCAAAGAGAAGGAGTTGAAACAGAAAGGCGAGCCGTCGCAGCTTTTCGTCGGCACCAGCCGCACTCTTCGCAATAAAGCTGCATAAAATTAAAATATTTATTTATACTCCATTCGCCATGATTTGAAAAATTCCGGCTCGTCTGCGCTCTCATCTATCACCCAATTAAAAATTAGCCCTTTGAAATGAGAGACAACAGGTGAGCTAGATTTTTTCGAACCCTGCCGGATGAAGTATATCTTTTTTGAGTCTACATTTGAATATTCGAAAGCTAGAGAGCACTGGTAAATAAGAGACCGCTTGGAGAAAAAAACGCCCGCCCTCTCATTTTCAAACGCTCTCTAACTTTCGAAGATTTGATTTTTTGAGCTTTGTAAATTTTATTGTCTTTTTTACTAACTGCTTACTTGCTTTCGGGAAATCAATGCGTGGGTCAAAGTGTTAGAGTTTCAATTTTTATCAGGAATTTTCGAAATATCACTATTTCATACAAAAAAATGCCCAGATATAAATCATTATTTTCATTCTTAATTATTTATTGCCAAAATAAAGTTTCTTTTGTTTGTCTTGCGGAGAGTTAACGTGAAATTTCGATTAGCGAACGCTGCTTCTTGGATTTTTTTGATCTTGGTTTCAAATTGAAATTTTAATTTATACGATAATGAGGAGAGCTGGGGATACCTAAATTACGGTATTTTTTGTTCATTGGAGCTTAAATTAAGTTAGTAAGTTACAGTAACTTACTATTTTCCTGTCTCTCGAGATCAAAAGGTTCTTTTTTTCTAAGAAACTTCCCGCACTACCTTTCTTCAGGCAATCTCACGACCTAGTCACTTTCGATTAAAACAATACCTCGGTGAAGGATAGAGCTTATCGGAGTAATGAGGAGGGAGAAGAAGAAAGAAGATGATTGCCCTTCGCATCATCAGATCATCATTTCCGTCGCCGACTGTCACAACGCGTTTGCCTCCACGGCTCATAACGGGCGGCTAATTGCGAGACGATGATATTGACCTTCGAGGCCTTTAGGAACAGTTTTTTTAATTGACTTGAATCAAAAATTAAGAAAGGAAATCGTCTAGCCCTTGTTTGAACCTATCATATAATTTTGCTGTAGTGTACTGTTTGGGATGGTAGGAAGGAATTTTGGGCCCCCGAATATTCGTTAGCGTTAATTGTGCATACACCAATCTTGGGGGGCTCGAATCTTTGCAAACGATTCTTGGGAATATTCACGACTTTTTTGAATTTCCTTCTTTTTTTCCTTTGTCGTTCTACTGTGAGTATGTCGTGTTTCAACCACAAATAAACTCTGTATGATTTTTTCAACTAACTTTTTATCAAATAATGCGTCTTTCTCACATACACGTAGTCAAATATTCACTGCAGAACGTCTACCACATTTTCATTCACTATATACATTCTCCATCAACTTCTGTTTACAAAAAAATTGGAAAAACCATAATAAAAAATCAGAAAAGAGGCGAGTATTCCCAAGAATCGTTTGCAAAGATTCAAATTTGCAAAGATTCGAGCCCTCAAGATTGGTGTATGCACAATTAACGTTTACGAATATTCGCGGACCCAAAATTCCTTCCTACCATCCTGTTTGGACCTCCTGATTTCAGACCAAGTTTTGCTATAAATCTTGTTCTTTTTTTCCAAGGAAATTTCCCTTTGGCATGTCCACGGTTTCAAATTTCGTCTCCATTTCCATTTTAATAGTCTGTTTAGGGTAGAGAAACACCGTTGTGCTTCGAAATGTCTACTTGATGGTTTTTTGAAGGCTTCTTTTGAAAGAATTATTTTTAAATCCTGAATAAATCTCTTGAAATGACGAGATCTGCAATTCTTTTCCAAAATTGACCCTTCCTGAAGTGACCTTTGAAGCGATTTTTACAACGAAGACTATTCGGGAAATCTAGAAAGATCAAATGAACTCCTAAAAGGACTGCTAATCGTTCTAGGAGCGCTCGTGATTTGTTAATTTAGAAGTAGAGATGTCTTTTAGATCTCTAGGCTTGAGAAGCTATTCGAGCTTTTTCTGCAATTATTTTTTAGATCGTATTTATGCCATGTTTTTCTGTTGCTTCCTCGCCTAGTAGTTCTTTATTTATGACTAATCCTTTATAATGACCACCAACATATCCTCTCAATAGCATCACACGGCTAATTGAACGGCTCGAGGGCATCGGAACGGATTTCGGACGGACTGAATAAGCGCCGGGGTCAATTAGTGCAATGGGTTGGCTGCGACGGCCGTTGCGATGATAGTTGCATTAGTTTGGCATTGTGCCCACGACCTCCTCGATTTCCTTCTTCTCCAGCAAATCCTATTAAGGAGAGGTCTCCGAGCGGCAAGACAAAAAAAAAATTGAATCCCTGACTTTTTTGTTCTCCCCCAATGATACTTTTCCATTAGTGCGATGGAATTTCATCGTTTTTTGCTTTTTTTGCAGTCGAGGTCGTTTTGGTCCCTCCTTATGAGTTTCTGTTTCCCATTTTTGGTCCTCGTTCGCCTTGGGTTATTGAGATTTTGCATTTTTGCATTTTTGATTTGGACTTTACAAACTTTTTGGTACATTTTTCCCGTTTTAAGAAGAAATTGAATTTGTTTTAGGTTTGAAAGGATTCGTACACAATTCTTAAAGTTCTTCACTGTAAAAAAAAAAATGAATCGGTCGCTTTGGCTCCTTCTTATGAATTTATGGTTTATTTTAGTCCTCGTTTGCTTTGATTTTTGAGGTTTAGAATCTTTTCCGAGCATTTTCGGCTTTTTTCAACAAATTTTGATTTCTTCGTTGACTTTTTTTTTTGATTTTTGGATTTTATTTCTGCAAGCTTTTAGGTTTTTTTTTTCCGCTCCTAAGATCAATTGAATTTATTAGGGTTTGAGAGGATTTTTTAAAAGATCCTTTTAGGTTTATTCGGTGCGAAAAAATTATTGAATCCAGACTTTTTAGTTTTTTTCCTAATGCTACTTTTTGCATTAGCGCGGGGGATTTCCTGTTTTTTTTTTTTTTTTCGTCTCGAGGTTGTTTTGGTTCCTTTTTTTATGAGTTTCTGATTCCATTTTCGACCAACGTAACTCTTGGGCTCTTGAAATTCTAGTACCCCCCACAAGCCCTCCTTTTTTTGTTCTTTTCCAATAATACTTTTTTTCATTGGTACGACAGGGATTTCTTTCTTTTTCAAAAGGTCGGCTTCTTCTTTTGAGTTTTTTATGCTTTTTTCTAGAACTGATAAAAATCATGGAAAAAAAAGTTGTTATTTTAACCGAAAACGTTGAAAAAACACCTGTCTTTTCGAATTAGGCTTGACAAACTGACCAACAAACAGACAAAGAAAATGAGAATTTTGAACGCCAGTATCTCGTGTCGGAATCGGCCAAAGTGCCATATCGGCGCCAAAAATCAAGAGAGCCTTTTTTGACGCGACGCCACCACCGCGCTAATGTTTCTTCTCGATCCTTATCTCCTTCACTTGTCTTTCATTCACACCTCAAAACCATTAAGAGTTCATTCATTCATTTACTCACGTGAAAAGGAAAAATAGGTATGAAAGGATATTTCTGCCCTCTCCTCGTCTTTATTATAAAATAATTCAGGCCTCAGGAGGGAGTATTTAGGTAGATTTTTACGGGTTTCTTCAAATTTCAAAGATCATTCCCTGGAAATTTTTTAGATGTGCAGGTTAGCACTGTCAGGACCTGTCATCCTCAATATTTTCATCACTTCTGATTTTCTGGGTCCTAATCACGAAGATATTAGAGCTCAAAACGGTTTATTTAGATTGATTTTGACCGTTTTCTTCGATTTTCAAGGATCATTCCCTGGAAATTACTTTGATGTGCAGGTTGGGACTGTCAGGACTTTTTTCTGGTAAAGAAGTATTCAGACCAATTTTCAGGAAAATCCAGGGTTCGAAGCAAATTTACCTTCCTTGTTAGGATAAGATGTGAAAATTCCTTTTTTTTTAAATGACTTCAACTTCTTTCCTTTAACTTTATATGAAACATTTCGAAAAATGAAGAAAGCTTTATACAGTTGAAAGCTCAAAAATCGTCATCATCATCAATATTTTCATCACTTTCTGCTTTTCCCGGGGGCGGGGATTCCGAAGAGCTCGGCTTTCGGTGATGTGGATCATCTTGCATGATGATCGAGATCAAGAACTGGTTGACCTCAACTTTCAAGTTTTGACCCTCGAATCGCAAGTTGCAGGCGACGCAAACGGCAGAGTTCAGTGGTGGCTGGATTCTGGAAATCGAATCTCAGTGAAAAATATTTTTCAGTAGAGAAAAACGTAAATTTCGGGTTTTCTGATGCAGTTTTTTTGAACTTATTTTAAATCTTTTCTCAAAAAAATTGGCAGGAATATCTGTAATTATAGCGAGTTTTTCAAAAATTTTTGAGCGGCTGGGGTTGAAAAAAATTCCTAAGAATTAGTACCAAAAATTTGGCTTTTTTTCGTCTTTTAATGTTTGATAAACACTAGAAAATTGCTTTAAATAAAAAAATATATTTTTTTTTCAAAAAAATTAACGGACGAAATTTGACACAGGAAACCAAATTTTTCAGTATAAAAATTTATTTTCATAACATTTCAATCTCATTTTTTTTGAAAAATTAAATTTTTTTGACAACTTTCCTTGATCGGCTAGAGACATGAGAAAGACATGGAAAAGCTCCAAAAGTTCAATAATTCCCCCTTCAGAACACTTTTGAGATTTATGGGTCTGATCCTTCTCAAAACGAACACTTTTGAAATCGTGAACCTTTCCCATGAAGCTCAGAATTCATCAAAATCCTCTGAAGCTTGGTAAATGAAGAAGAAGAAGACTTACTTGAAATCGGAGATGACCCCGTCGTTGGTCCGTTTCTCGCCCATCTCGTTGAGCAACACCAGGACGCTGTCTAGGCTCAGGTGTGTCTTCTCGATGAACTCTTCATACCTGAAGTTGAGAATATTTGGGGTTGAAGTGGTGTTTGAAGTAATTTTTTGAGGGGCGGGGGGGGCGTTTGAGAAATATAGCTGTTAATCTATAAAAAAATTATAAATTTTTTTGATTTTCAAAGGAATTTACCTTCGAATCTTCGAAAGCTAGAGAGCCCTGGTAAACAAGAGAGTTTTCAGAGAAAAAGAGAAAATTTCCGCCTCCTGTTTTTTAACACTCTCTAACTTTCGAGAATTCGCAGACTCGTTAAAATAAGATGATTAAAATTAGTACAACACCATTTAAAGACTAGAATACTTGAGAAATTGGATAAATAGCCTTATTTTAAAGGGCTTGCTCTAAGGCTTGCGCATCCGTTCTCGCGTAACTCATTTTAAGTCGGGCGCAGTCGTCAAAGCCATTCCAAGTGTGACCATGACCTTCCAAGCTTGGACGAATTTTTTTCGATATTTCCCACTTGATTCACTATGAGAAATTGAGAGAGCAGCGGTGATCTGAAGAGACGGCAGAGAAAGAGAGCGGCTCTGCTTCTCTGGCGTCTCTTCAGACCGTTATTGATCTCTCGCTATCTCTTTCATTTTTGTAGGTATTTCAATATCAAGAACACAAATTGCACACTTTTTTTATTTTAATATTTTTGGAAGATGTAAAAACTCAATTTTGAAGAGGTTTTTTTTTTAGAGAATTTCGACTTTTTGCTATTGTTTGTGTGCTTATTTTTTTCCATTTCTTTTTAAAGTATACACTTTTGTCTCATCATTTGGCAAAGACTAGAGGGGCTGGTTTCTCTAATTGGGTTTGCGGACTCACCGCTTCTCAATTATCCTGCCAATTCCCAAACGGCAAGCCTTTTTTCTACCCTACTATTGGCTTTCCTTTGTTCTAGGCAAAGTAGTACTGAGCTATGGATTTAAGCTTACGTTTTCATTTTTTCGGTTTCAAGCTTTCTGGACCTATTTTTAGATTTTCGAACTAACTCGGTCACGTTTTGTAACAGACATTTTTCACTAGAAATCACGAAAGATGTTTAAAACGCATCATTTTTTTCCTCCTCATCACACTTTTAGAGACCATGAATTCTCAGTTTATTCAGCTCGTAAAGAGACTGTTTCAAGGCTTCTAGAGCTCTTGTTTTTCAACTTTTCTGAAAGGTAGATCGACATAAGTTATGGAGAAGCTGTCTTTGAGCTTTTTCAAGACCTTCAGAAGGCTCGAAGCTTCTCCCATGTCGTTCTAACCTTTTCAAAAAACATTATTCCTGAAGCCGTCTTTTCGATTTTCTTCGAAAGTATTCGTTCATGGAGCAAATTTTTTACAATTATAAATTTTGAATTTTATTTTTTTTTTCTCCCTTCAGACTGTTGAAAAACCGTTTATAGCCAGGAAAGTTTATTTGATAGTTATCTGAATATTTTCTGGAAGAAGGAATGAAATTTGAAAATACTCGAAATCGCGTTAGAAGCCTGCCCTAAGTATCTGAGCGGATTAAATATTCAAAAATTCAAGTCTTCTCCTTTCATCCAAATTCGCAAAAGGGATGATGAAAGCTAGAACTTTATTCAAGAACTTTAGACGGCTTGAAGCTTCTGCAAAACCGTTTTAATATTTTTTGTTGACGCAGGATGAAAGTTTTGGCAAGGTTCCAGAGGTTTTTTCCATTTCTCAATTGATTCAGTTCATGAAGAGACTGTTTCAAGGCTTCTAAAGCACTTGTTTTTTGACTTTTCTGAAAGGTAGATCGACATAAGTGATGGAGAAGCTGTCTTTGAGCTTTTTCAAGACCTTCAGAAGGCTTGAAGCTTCTCCCATGTCGTTCTAACCTTTTCTACAGGCCAGATTGATCCAAGCGATGAAAAAAGTTTTGGCAAGGTTCCAAAAGTGTCTAGAGCCACTCCTCAGTTATTTTAAATCATAAAAAGGTTGTTTCGAAAGCTTTAGAATGCTTGGAGCTTCTTCTGAACCGTCATAACTCTTCCTTCAAGCCAGATCGGTACAAGGTATAAGAAGAGCTGTCTCTGAGCTTTTTCAAAACCTTTAGAAGGCTTGAAGCTTCTCCCAAACCATCATAACCCCTCCTACAAGCCAGGTTGACACGTGATGAAAAAGTTTGGGGCAAGCTTCCAAATATATTTTGAGACACTTTTCAGCTGATTCAAGTCTCATAGAGACTTCTTTTTGACCTTTAGAAGCCTTGAAGCTTCTACCGAACCATCATAACCCTTCTCACAAGCCAGACTAGCATTAGTGGTGAAAAAAACTGTCTCTGAGCTTTTCCAAGGACTTCAGATGGCTTGAAATTTCTCCCAAACCATTCCAACCCTTCCCACAAGTCAGGTTGACAGAAGTGATGAAAAAAGTTTTGGCAAGATTCCAAAGATATTTTCAAGATCTTTGGAAGGCTTCAAGATTTTTCCAACTATCATAACTTCTCCCAGGTCAAAAAGAGACTGCTCCAAGACATTTAGAAGGCTTGAAGCTTTACCCCAAATCATCACAACCCTTCCCAAAAGCCAGGTTTACACAAGTGATGATAAAAGCTTTTGCCTGTTTGAGCAGAACCGACGGTCGTACGAATTTTGAGGTTTTTACAACAGCAGCCGCCGCAGGAAGGGGAAAGGAAAAGCCGGCATTACTTGGCGCCGTCGCGTCAAATGTGACCGACGGCCAATGTTTGTATTCCTATTCGGTCAGCCGGCGGCCGGCCGAGGCAATATTCGATGATGAGCCGTTACTCTCCAGCTCCAAATGAAAACGCGTCCGTCTTTGGCACCCTCCTCCACTTATTCGGCCTCTTATTTGACCACTCTCATCATCGAGGTGCTACCGCTGCTTTCCGTCTTTGATTTTGGACTTTTTGAGGCGGTTTCTCGGAAATTATCCTCCTGCTACTGCTGTGCCACCTCTACTCCCAGTTTTTGATTCTGAGCTTTGGCTAGGCCTTGAGGTGATTTTCTATTGGTTACCTTGGGAACTTTTTACCACTTTCCAAGTGCAGAAAATTTCTTCAGAAGAACTGATTCACCTCGTTTTCCAATGAGACTCATACAGACAGGTCCTCGTTTTAACAGTTTCTTCAGTACAGTCATTCCTATTTGGAACAGACTGTGCTCAAGATTCGACATGAACACTTCAGCCTCCCGCTTCAGGAATTTTCTCGACTCTCTCGACAACAATGAACTACTCGCAAGTGTGCCCAACAGACTGCTCTAAAAAAAAATAAAATCCGAAACTTCTGTTCTCAATCTTCAATACGTGTATCCCATCCCGGTAAATCGCTCGTTGGGGCGTTTGTATATCGGGTTTCGCTTCACTCAAATACTTTCTATTCTGTATCTGTATTTTTTTGTGTTTGAGTGAAATAAATAAATAAATAAATAAATAACTTTACTTATTTGGCTTGAAGCTCACGTTTTCCATTAATACGGCTTATCATTGGACCATAGAACCTACTGAGGTTGTTACCCCTAGCTTTTGATTTCCAATTTTTCGAAATTTCTTGTTTCGATATTCTGGAGTTCCACTTATTTGGCTCGAAATTCATGCTTTTTCAAAATATCTGTGTTATTTTTTTGATGGAGGACAAAATCTTCGGAACCAATGAGCAGAAGCTCAAATTTTTCGCATTTCCCACGAGTTTTCAGCTCAATCTCAATAATAAACTGAGAAATTACATGGATTTCCATGATGAATTCACGATTTATTTCTTCACAAAAATTTCAATTATGTGATCTCGCCAAATTTTCGAACAGTATGGTGGACCTAAGAGTTTTTTTTGTTGATCTTAAAATTTTTTGTGTTTTTTTTAATGCCAAAATTATAATTTTTAAACCAAACCCTTGAAATTTTTTTTAGGCAGTGGGAAATCGGAATTTTCTTTCTAGTATTCCCTTTGTTTCAAATTTTTCCCACCGTTGAGCATTAATTATGACTGAAAACTTTCTCAAAGTATTCTTTACACTCAATATGATCTCACAAGGGACGAAGAAAGGTCTACGGCTCGTGGCGATGAAGAAGAAAGAAGAAGACGTTATCTTAACGTGACATCTTCTGAATGTGTCAGCTCGGCGCCAGATCTCCTCATCTTTTTTTTTCTTCACCTCACTTTTTATTTCCGGCCGTTAGGCTTTCTTTTTATATTGGCTTCGCATCAACTATGGTCGCTACGTATCCAAGTTGACTGTTTTTTTATGATCTGACCTTTTTTTGCTACTGAGTTGTTTTAAAATGTTACCTGGTTGGCTTAGTTTTGCTGTGAAGCGTATATATTTTCACTGAATTGGCTGCGCATCAACTGTAGTCGCTACATATCGAAGTTCATAATTTTCTAAGACCATACGTTTTTTTAATCATTCCCTTTTGATTTTGATACCAGGAGATCACTTTTTTTTCATTTTTCCGGGATTCTGATTTCTACGTATCCTTGCTCTATGTTTTATTAAGTCATTTCGCTGCTTTTTTTCCAACTTTCTTCTACCTCCGTAATTAACTGCGCATCACCTACGTATCTTGGTACACCATTCATAAAACTTTCCGGTTTCATTTACCAACCTAAACCAAAGCCTCATTGAATCGAAAAACTAATAAATTCATCGCCTGTCCTCCCAAATCGGCGACCAATATTTCACGAAGAGGAAACCGGATCGGAATCTCTTCGGTTTCTGGTGACTGTAGGAACAGACCACATCTGAAGATCGGCGCCTTGGTGCTCGTCTGGGTTTGCCACCAGAATCACTCCGTGGACGCCTTCTTTGATCGCCGGCCAGCAGTCTTCGTATCTGAAGTAGTTTCTTGATGAACAGTTCCAGGTACAGTTCCGTCAGAAAAGATACGAAAAAAACAGTTTATGATCACGACTTTCTTTTATGGAGTTTGATCTTTCTGAAACTTCCTGGAGTTGTGATGAAGGTTTTGAGCAATCTGGTGGAGTTTCAGTTTGAAGAAATAAAGAAGGTCTATAGAGTTTCAAGATTGAGAAGGGAATTGTGTGCAAAAAAGTTTTTTCGTATATTTTCTGAGGGTACATCATATCTTCAGGAGTCACTCTGGAGTCCTTGAAAGTAAAATTATGAAGAAACCCGTCTAAAATATCATTTTATACGTTCAAGTGGCAGGTTCTCAGGTACGGAAGATGCTACTAGAGCCAAGAAGATTTTTTTTACAACTTTTAGTGGTTATTGTAGAAAGGGCGCGCCATAGCGCAACAGGTTGTGCGCCTGTCTACGGTCCACAGGGTCACAAGTTCGATCCCCGACCCAACCAAGGAGTTTAAGAAATATTGGTAGTGGGAAACCACGACTTCAAAATCCCCAGCCGTCACACACAAGGACGGATATGTCACTGGAGCCAGTCCACTGATTATCATCAGGATAGGACCTCGGCTAATCGACTTGGGGCGCCGACGCCGCTCAAGCGTACAAAGGCGTAAGAAGAAGAAGAAGTGGTCATTGTAGAGATTTTCATTCGCTTAATGCTTCAAAAAAGACAACGTAAGTCCAAATTCTATCTTTAATTTCAATACTTATTGAATTTTAAATTTAAAATGGCTCAAAAACGAACTTGATGTCGCCGCTGACGTCCCACAGCTGCACTTCGATCTCCATCCGATTGCCTTCGACCGAAAATTCTTGACTCTCGAACTCGACTATCCTCACTCCTGGAAAAAAAGATGGATAATTATCATTCTCTTCTGATTTATATTCAAGCATAGCTATATAACTTTAGAATATTAAAAAAAAACATTTTTATTCATTTTTTTCCTCTTTCAATGTATTCCAAGCCTTGAATTGAAATTTTTTTAAGTTCCGTTTTCAAATATTTTACTTCTCGAAGTTCTCATAAGTGAAAAAAGCGAATAAAACGTAGTTATTTTTAAATATACTTTATTATGATCTTAGATATTCCCGATAGTTATTTTGGACGTTTCGAGAGTTTTTTAGCTTTCAAGTTTGAAAAAATTGACCTTTTTTGACTTTGAGCTCTAAATTCTTTAATCTTACTTTTCTTACTTTATCCCTGGTTTTGGAAGAATTACTTTTTGAAAAAGAAGAAATCAAAGTCTAAGAAAAATAGCGATAAATATTGGGAGTTAGACTTCAAAGGAATTTTATTCTAATCAGTTTTCAAAGAACTCCAAAAGATTGTGAAGTTTATTCTTGTCAATATATTCCTATTCTAACCCATTTTGAGCGTTTTCCTCAAGATTTTGCGACCTTCCTTCCCACAACTTCCAACCGAACTCATTCCTCAAGCCTCAGCTCCACAATCAGAATCAAACTTGACGATTTGTGACAAATCGACGAACAGATGCGTTCCGGACGTTCAGCGGAATTAGATCGTCCTCTCATTAGGGACCTCGGCTTGGTGGTGACGCGTCCCCTTTTTGTTTATGAGTCTGAGTCCAGCCGACCGGGACCGGTCAGCTTCTTCTTCCTCTGCTTCTTCTTGGGTTTCACGTTGCAGATGTGACCCGTTCCTTTCTTTCAAATTGTTTAGTTTTCGGCGTCTCTTTTGACTTTTACCGCGTCACTGTTTATTTCGGACCATGTGTTCCTGGGCTTCTAGGTTAATTTTACTGTTTTTTTTTTTTTGATTTACTTTATTTTTTACTCGTTGATCGGAACGTAATTTATACAAAAACGTCGGTGATTGAACTAGTATACCTTCTTATCGTTTTTGCTCGGATTCCACGAGAAAACTTCGAAAGAAAATTCTTTAATTGAATAATTTTTCGGGTATATGTCAAAAGAGCTGCGAAAATCGAGCCTCCTCACTGTTTGAGATAAAACTGCCAGCGAAAAATGGGCTGCCGAAGAAATTGCCGGGGAAAAAACAGCTGAGAGAAACGGGCTGCGAAAATTTTGCCCCCCGTTGGCAGGTTAATCGCGCGACTGTGCGCTCCACCGACAACAGCAACAAAAGTTTTTTGAAAAGCCGTTCATTTCGACGCTTTATTATCTTGAAATCAAGTTTTTTTTTCTTTTTCTTTTTTTCATATTCAATGGTATTAAATTACATTGTTGAATCATTGAGAGTAAGTTTTGAAACGTCAGAAAAAAGGACAAGACAAAAATTCAGAAGTGAGAAAAAATGATAGCTAAGATACATAATTTTTTCCAGATTTTGCGTTCAATGATCAATTAAAAATTTTAATTGCGCGTTGCATATTGAAAATGATGAACATAACAAAATATCAGTTTATTAAAAAAAAACCTAAAAAAGAACAAAATGTGAGCATGACAGGGTTTCCCGATGAAAATTGTCTTCATCTCTCGTGAATTTGCGGAACCAATACTCGAACTTCTCGTCATCGCAAGATTTCATTCCACCCTGATTGTTTTTAAGCGTCCTGAAACCTTTTTTTTCATTATTGAAAACGTTTTTCAGACTCTTATAGACTGACTTCGCCCGATTTCATTCGAAGCGGAAATTAAATAGAACTTTTTTGCACGAGATCACAACAAAATAAAAAAGAAAACGAATGAAAACAAATAAGAAATAACAAAAAAATAATGAAAAAAATTTTTCCGAAAAATTCAAAAATCTGTCATCGGCGCGTTATCGGTGGAGCGCAATATGTAGTCAACTATTTTGCCAACGGTGGGCAAAATTTTTCGCAGCTCGCTTTTTCGCTGGCAATTTTATCGCTGGCAATTTTTTTTCATCAGCTCAATTTTTCTTAGCTCGATTTTTCACAGCTCTTTTTGACATATACCCAATTTTTTTCAAGTCACAGGGATGACCTAAAGATTTTTGGTATTTAAAAAAATTTTTTTTTCCGAAATTTCCACAATTTTTTTCCTGCTTCTTCTTGGGTAGCAGTTGCAGAAGTGACCTTTTCTAACAAATTGTTTAGTTTTCGGCGCCTTTTTTGACTTTTACCGCGCCACTGTTTATTTCGGACCATGTGTTCTAGGGTTGTTAGCTAGAATATTCTTCTTTTTTTTTTTGAGTTTCTTCTCTCCACCTCTTTCAGAGTGGTAACTCTCTGCCGCTTGATACAATTTTTATCTCTTTTTTTCTCAGTTATCATCTGATTAATTTGAAACTACGGATTTTTTCTCATTTTTTTAAAAGTCCATTCACCTCTCTCACACACAATTTTCAGAACCACTTCCTCAGAGAAATCCGTTTTTCATTCAAAGCTCTTTTAAAAAATTAATCTCCAAACTATGATCTATCTAGACCAATTTGAAATTGTAGAGGAAAGCTCACTCTTGACTTTTTCATGTTCATTTTCATTGAAGTATGTTGGAAAACTATATGTAGGGACCGCAGACGAATTTTCAAAAAAATTTTTTCAGCATTGAGCTTTGTATGGTTTGATAGCTGATTCGATTTAAAAGTCAGAACCGTTTAGTTTTTCAAAAAAGATTGAGGATGAAAAAAGTTATGACAAAAAATGTGGCGCGCCGCGCACCATTTTTTTAGTACTGAAATTTTGGTATTATCCATTTTTGACATTTTTCTCGATTTTTCTTCTAGAACAAGTTTCGATACTGGTTTATTATGATGTAAGGAATCATAATAGAGGGCTAAAATAATGCAAATTTGCTAGTTTGCCGAAAAAGTCGGTATTTTCCAGAAAACAAAAAACTGACGCTTGCGGGCATCGAACTCGCGACTTCAAAATGAAAAATCGCAGCGCACGCGCTGCGCCAAGCTGTTAGGTCTAGCGAGGGGAGCTTCCATCCGCCATACCCTTGAGCCGTTTGGATAGCACAGATTGCCTATTTTAAAAAGAAAAGTTTGAAGTAATTAAGATATTTTTATCAGAATATGTTCGCAAATCTTTACTCAAACTTACCGTGAAAAATTCATTTCGAAAAAAACTGGTTTTTTTAATGCTTTTTGCCTCGTTTAACGATCGCTGCATTAAAACGGCCCCGTAAATTTTTTTGGCAAAGACGAATTTTTTTATTTTATTCTTTTTAATTGAAAGATTTTTTTACTAATAAATGTATATAATTGTTTGAAAAAAACCTGCGTTCGACCGCATTCTGTGTGATAAACGCCGCTAATTTTATTCTCTAGTTTCAAGAGCATTTTTTTGTGTATTAAACAACTTTTTTTCAAGCACATATTTTGTGGAGAAATATTTAAGTAAGCCCATGATCTAAATTTTGAAAAAAACAAAAAAACTCGATTATATTCGCACATTAACGATATTTTTGAATTATGACTTTCGGCACTCCCTAAAAATTTTTTTGGCAAAGACGAATTTTTTTATTTTATTGTTTTAAAATTACCGTTACTTGAATCAAAAATCATTATATAAAAAAAGAAAGAGTGCGTTCGACCTGAAAAACACATGAAAAAGCAAAAAATGACAAATTTTTTTAGTTCCATTCACGTTTTTGTACGACATTCCGCGAGAACGCATCAAAAAAGCGTGAAATGTTTTTTAAACGAAAGAGGAAGCTTTTCTGTACATGTGTGTCAAAATTTATTATCCAGTTCCACATATTTTGCAACTACAACAAAATGAAAGTTGAAAACCAAAAAAAAGCCACTTTTTCTATCGCGAAAAGGGGCGTGGCTTTGCGGTCCCTAACTATATGTTTTTCTTTTTCCAAAAATAATTTTTGATCAACTTTTTTTCCTGGACTTTTGTAATCTTCCAGATTTTTCATTTAATGAAAAAAACCTTTAGTTGCCCTATACGAATCGTAGAACTCTAGCTCAAACTCTGTTGAATCGTCACCCATGTACTCGCCCAGAAATGTTGAAATCAACGTTTTTCCTGCCTGAAATTCGCCTTTCCGGTTAAAAAAACTTGAATTGATCCCTTTAAAAAAATAGGTTAAAATAAGCCTCACCTTAGGGGGTCCGACGACCAAAATCTTCTTGGAAATTCGATTCCTCGAGTTGGTCGTTTTGAATTGCGGCGCTTCGACCGACATTTTTGTATTGTTTCACTTTTTTGTAGGCGCTGTAGAGCTGGAAAGCATTGAGAGTGAAAAAAAAGATTTAAAAAAGGGAGAGAAAAAATAGCCATGGTTTGTGGCTCAAATATGCTCTACGGAGAATTAGGAAAAAAAATTTGTTTTTTGTTGGATAGAGCTGTACAGTTTCCTAATAAAAAAATAAGAAATCATAAGAAAAAAATTTTCGTATGGAAAAAAATAGTCGTGACGACGATTGCACGTGTACGGAGTTTCTATAGAAATGAGCAACGTAAAGTTTTCGAATAACAAAAAAAATGCGGAAAAAATGATGAGAAAAAATAGCCGCGTTTAGAAGTTAAGATGCGCTCTATCGATAAATAAGAGTTTTTTCTGCACAAACTTTAGAAGGAAGAATTTTCTCTCTAATTTAACTCAAAAAATTTAAAAAATGAGCCGTTCCTGACGTGTAAATTAGTTCATTAGTTCTGGATAATCGAAAAAAAAATATTTAGAACGTGAAAATCGTAAGAAAACGCTCGAAAAGCCCCCCAGAGCTCGAAAAATCGTAACCACGTGAAAATATTAAAGCATCATCCAACAACTAATTAGTGTGTTAAAATCATAATCAAGCCTAAAAATAAAATGTATCCTGGAAAACTACAGCTTTCTCCCTGTCACCATGGTAACCTTTCACAGCGGCGCGCTAAATTTGAATCAAATTTGTCTCGTTTTTCCCCCGATTTCCCTCATAAAAGCCGCATTTCTACCTCATTTGTCGTGTTATACTCTTATACAGCGGCGGCCTTTTTTTTGAAGTCTGATAGTGTTATCACCGTTGACCTGGCGTAAATCGGTTGAGTAAATTAATTAAGGTAATCTTGGAGGTTGGAACAAATTTATGACCGGTCTACCGGTGACAGTAGCGATAAGGGTTTTTCGAGAATTAGAGGGGCTCAGGTTGTGCTGCGCCCGACTTTGAGCGACTTTGACCTGTGCTAGAGAATGCTCTCAGGCCCAAGTAGTTTAAGGTCGGTCGCACTGAGGTTTGCGATTTCAACGCGAGAAAGGATTATTTCATCAAAAAAAAAACTTCGAAATTGAGGTTTCTCAGAATTTTTTTTGATTTATAAGAAAGATTTGAGAAGAAAGGCAAAAAAAGATGAGAAAAAGAAATAGCCGCGAAAATTAGCCTTTATTTTGAACTTATGCGCTCCATCGATAATCGGAAAGATAGATCAGTGTAGTTACCCATGAAACCGCTTTTGTCAAATTAATCGGGTCGCATTTGGAATGGCTTGTTTTAAAAAAGTAAAACTCAACTTTTTTTTGTCCATAGAGCACAGATGGTTCCGCCTTTAACGGCTATTTTTTCTCCTCTCAATTATTTTATTCCAAAAAGGTAACGGAAAAGTTATGAGTTTGAAAAAAATATCTCAAGTCTAGGTGCTCTTTTTTGCTTTATCCATAGAGCACACATGGTCTTTTAGACGCAGCTATTTATTCTCAACTGTTTTTTCAAAAAGCTCAATTTTGCTTTATCCTTCAAGTGTATGTGGCACCTCTCTTAGTTTTTTTCAGCTTTTTCTATCTTGAAATTTTTTTTACCATACAGCGCAGATGTACTGTTTTCCCCGGCTATTCGTTCTCAACCTTCTCGAAAAAAAAGATTCCTCCGGTTTTTCTCATGCCTCTTCCCATTGATATTAACTTTTTTTCCAAAAAAACGAACGGAAAAGGTCACGGGCCGTTCCATTGTACCTGTCTCGGTTTTGCCGTCCTTCGGCATTTGCATTTGCATTTGCTCCCGCTCATTCGTCGCGCATAATCTTTTTTCTCTTCTTTTTGCCCTCTGCCCCGGACATTTGCATGCTTAAATGTCTGTAATGAGTGGCCTCCACGTCCCTTATGCAAATGGACTTTTCTTCGATTGTTTCTTAGGGCCCTTACTTACTCGGTTATACTTATAGCTCTCAGGAATTTCCTAAGTTCTTTTTTTTCAGATTGAAAATTGGTGTTTTGGGCATTTTTGAGCTTCATAGACGTCCGGGATCTCTAAAAAATGAAAGTTTTAGGGTTAAAAGCTTTGAGTTAAGCTTTTCTTCGATTTTTAGGAGGGTCCCTACTTGATCATTTATACTTGTACTCCAAGGTATTTTGAGGGTTTTTGGCTCCTTTCAGGTCAAAAGCTATAAGTCAAAGCTTTTTGAGCTTCAAAGCCATTAAAGATGAAAACTTTAAAAACGGCTTTCCTATGGTTTTTCCGAAGGCCTATACTTAATAAGCTATACGTATTGCTTCCAAGGCCTTCGTAGGTTTCCCGGTTTTTTTTTCGGGCTCAAAATTATAATTTTGAATCTTTCCATACACGTTCGGGATCATTTAAAATTAAAACTTAGTAATAAAACCTTTAAAATCGTTTTATACATTTATTTCTACACTGTCGTGTTCTTATTTTATTTTAGCTTGTTTTCGAAATTGTATGGATTTTTTAAAGTCTTATACTGATAAATGATAAATTTTGAAATGTTTGAGTTCGTCAAAAAATAATTAAAAGCTTCAAAGTTGATTCTGGATCTTTTTTCTTTTCAAAACCGGCTATTCTTTTTTTTAGACTGTTCTGATCACTTTCTGGTCTCTTCTTTTTCCTCCGTTAAACGCGAGATTTTATTGGCCATTTTCGATAGGGCTATTAGTTATTTGGGACGACACATTTCTCTTCATGTTTCTCACACGTATTCCCTTTTTAACGGCCATTTTTTCCCTCCTCGGTGGCTCAAATATTTGCTCCCTCGTCGTTTTTTTTATTACATTATGTATAGGTTTTTTGAATTTTCTGAAACGGCTCTTGTGGGAAAATGGCTTTTTTGAGACAGGAAATTTGTGACTTTTTTGGAGACGTTCGAAAAAGTCACAAACTTGATACTCGATCAGTGTTTTTTTAAAGTTTTAGCTGAAAAAAACTGAAAAAAACGACATTTTATTCTAATTTTGGGTTACTGTATTTGATGAATGTGTCACACCGTCACGCAAACGGCCAATAAGTCGTATTTACGCTCAAAAAGTCTCAATGAATTTTTTTTGGCTTTTTTAAAATTTTCGTGATAATTTTGCGTTTACTCTGCATTTTTTTCATTTTTTTGGAAGAGTTTCAATTTGTTCGAAGTGGAATCACTTGTGCAAAAATATTTCAATTTGTATTTTTTTAAAAAAACTTGTTTTTGTTTTTTTTAATTTTTTTCATTCGAACAACTGATTCATTTTTTTATATCTTTAGCATAAAAAAATATACACAATTAACTTTTAAAATGGTTTGAAAAAAACGTCATTCAATTTTATTAGTAGCCAATTTTCAATTTTTCATTTTCAAGTATTGAAAGAAATCTTTTTTTGATAATTTTCACATTCTACTTTGTTTTTCAACCTTTCCTTTGACGTATAATGCACCGAAGTGCTCAGAGAGTCTGAAAGGTTTTCTCAAAACAAGCCGAAGCGAAAAAAGACAAAAAGAATGGGTGAAGGTGTCGCTTCCTGTGCATGAATAATATGTCACCGCAACACGCCCGAAATTGGCCCTCGTTTCGTCGTTTTGTCACCCTCTTTTTTCTCCTTCTTGGCACGCGTTTTGGCGGCTCATTAGCTCTTCCTCTCATTGGCAAGCCTAACACCTGTCCCGCCTTACCTTTTCATTTTTCTTCGAATTACAACCCGGATTACGGTTATGGGGGTCTTTTAGCCTAATTGCCGTGTTCCGATGACAGCTGGCTTTCCTTTGAATGAATGGAAAAGGTAACAAGTAACCTGATTGTGGATTTGAATAGGATAATCATACTAAAAAAATATTTTCTGCTGGTTTTTGTTGGTTTTTAGAAATGCCAGGTTCTTGACAGGAATTTCACTTTTTTGGACTTTTCATGGCCCCTCAGGAGATGATCGTAACATAATTTTTTTGTTTTTTTAAAGTTTTTTTGGCATTTCCGTCCAATTTTTTTAATTCTGAAACGTTTCTTAATATATGTAGGGTCCTGGAATACCTTTTTTTCGCTTTTTTTCTGGAATCTTTTTCAACAGCACTTACAAGGATGTCTTTTTACTTTTCGCGTCAGGATTTTTTTGAAAACTCACACTCCTTGATGTACCAGATGCAGATTCTGAAAGTGTCAACTTTCAAAAATTCTAGTTTTCGAGAATCCACACTTTTGAACCATTAAAAGTCGTAAAATTGCGTTAAAATAGGCTATTTAGTCTTATTTCTCGAAAAATTAAAAATTTTTGCGGGTTGAAACTTTCAGAATTCTTCTAGCACGTCCAGGAGGGTTTTGAACAAATTTCAGGAAATTCCTAACCGAAAAATGAATAACGCCCCTTGTCAGTAAGGACTTTCGAACAGAAAATAATTTTTTCAAGAGAAAATTTTTCTCAAACGCTTATAAATTCTCAAATCTTGTTTTTGAATCTTTCTCGTCGTTCATCTTCTCATATTCACCAGCTTTATTTTGTAATATTTTCATTTTCAGGAGGAGCTCAAAAACGACTCGAGAGACGTCTACAGGAAATCTATTTGTCAGTTCCATTTTTCCCCGTGACTTTGCTGGAATTATTATTTATCGAGATTGGAAGTGGGCGTGGCCGCCTACTTTTTGGCTCGCGCCTCTCTCATTTCACAGCTTATTAGTAGTATTTGACGGCGTCGGCGGCTCACGGCACGATTTATTTTTCTTTTTTTCGCTCCTTCTCTTGTTTTTCTCTGATTTAGTACTAGTGAGAGTATTTTCAGCTTTTTCTGGCTTATCTGAAATGTCAGATCCTGAAAACAGTTTACAGCTATTTTTGCTCTTTGGAATTTGGTTTTTGAAGGGAAAAGCTGAATTTTTCCTTTATCCGACCTCGGTAACGCATAACGGACGTTTCTGAGCACTTCTAGGAATCACTTAAGCGACGAGAGATCTCTTAAGTGATCCCTAGAAATGCTAGATTGCAGTAACGAGGTCCGAAGGATCGTAGTTCGCCTTGTATTTTTTTTTTCATATCTCCAGATTTGAATCGATTTATAATTTTTCCAAAAGTCTTTTCTGAGCTGTTTGAAGTGTTACAAGGTCTAGAAAATTACTGTAAGCGGCTTTTCGCCTCAAGACCTTTATGGATTCTGTCTTTGATCCTTTAATAATCTCTAGAAGTTTCATCACTTAACTTTTCTTGAAAAATATCCGAAATTTGGAAAATTAAGATCTAGAAATTTCAGTTTCCAATTAAGAAAGAGCTTTCTTTAAAGAATTTCTCAAAAAAGCTCTCCAAGTTCAATGACTACTTCAGAATCTCATTGTGTTCTCAAGCAAGATTCGGACATTTTTCTTGACCTTCCGAGCGGTTTTTCCTTTTATTTATTTTCAGAAACTTTTAGATTCCACAAAAATCTTATTTTAGACAATTTCGATAGAATTTTCAAATATTCCTTGATCTTTTTAGTTTTAAAAATCGAGAAAAATCGTCTCGTAAGCCTCTTAAGCTCCTTGGATTCGCTTTAGGTGTCATTTAAGGGAAGTTGAAAACCCTGAAGTGGTCACTTCACTTCAGGTAAGCTCTGTAAGTACCATGAGGGCAAAAAATTCGAGTTTTATGGATTCGTTATTTCATTATATCGTATCGTCATCATTTCAGACCCTGTTCAAAGGCTTCTAAGTATCTTGCCAGATAGGATTTTTCATCAAGACTATTTTGAAGACCTTTTTGAGGCTATTCCCAGGTCTCTTGTACTCTTTTGTGTACTTGTACTAGCAATCTCATCGAAATCCGACTTCCAATGGCTTCTTCGCACCCTCGAAATGAAGCTAGAGTGTGTGTGAAGATTGGAAGGTTGCATTAGGACATCCGGTGGGGGTTGACAAATCTACCGCCGCCGATCCGGCCGCGACAAATTGACAAAGTTCGTTGAAGAAATTCGTTACGTCCTTCATGCCTCCCTGACTCGCCTCAACATCCTTTCAGGAATTATTTGCGCTCTAGTAAGTCATACAATAAAAAATGGAGAAGTTCGAATGGCTAGGTTGAGGTTCTAGAGGCTTTCTGTCATGCTCAAAGTGATCTGCCTGAACTCAAAAAGGCAGTCAAAGAGTCTCAAAGCCCTATAGTGGCCACTAAAAATTTTCCCAGTACAGCTAAAAACGCTTATTCTGAAGGTTTCCTACAAAGTTAGCACCTGTCGAAACCCGTTAAACTAGGCGATATCCTATTCGATTAGGATGTTAGAGCAATAACCGTTTCGTCTTTTTTTTCCTCGTGATTATTCTTGGCTACAACCGGCTGCCGACGATTGTTTGCGCGCTTCTTTCTTTTTTCGTCCGAAGCTACCAGTTGTGCTTGTCGTTGTTACCATGTCGAAAGACAATTTGACTCTCTCTTTTCCAACTGGAACAACCACTTACACCAATGAACAATGATCGCCAGAGGATTGAAATTGCTCTGAGATTGACGGTTTTCGGGCTTCTGAATGAAATTCTTACGGTATGAGGGGAGACGTTGACCTCTAGAGAATCTTTGATTCTGAATGTGTAAGGGGAGGAGATTAGTTTTGCTGTGAGCAGTTCGATCACCTTGATTTAAAGTTGCATATTTTTTTTTTGAAGTTTAAGGGGGACACTGGAAGATCCTCATAGGCTTGATATCTTCTGAGGAATACAGAAATTGAGCCTGAACCTAGGGTTCTGAAGATTCGGTGGGCATGTTGACTCGGTCTCTCAAAAACAGTGCGTGAAGAAGTGTGTAAGCGATCGCGGCCACTTGAGAGCCCCGGACGCCCCTCATTAGTACTTGTTCTGTTCTTTTTTTCTCGTTCTGTTTCTCGTCTACCTGATCTAGATTTGCGAAAATGGATCAAGAACGAATAAAATATTTGAATGAATGGGGGCTTAAAAAACGAAAAGGTTATTATAGAGAGTTTAGTTTTGATTTTTTGAATTTTATCACTGTTTTGAATTTTTTTTTTCCTTTTTTTTTCCTTTTACCTTTTTTGAATTTTTGAGCATGGATTTCTATATAACTTTGCAAAAAAACGTAAAAAAACTCGGATGCAGAAGATTTATTTCGGAAGAAGGGCTATGGACCTTCCAGATTTTTCGATTTATTTGTTTCAAGGCTTACCGAAAATATGACTTTTTTCGCTTGGCAATCTTTTTTTGAGACATTTCTGAAAATTAGAACATCCCAAAAAGATTCCTTGTGTTCGATTATCACTCAAGAGAAGAAAAACTCGAGTTCCAGCCAAGAGTTTATTGAAAACGACACGCTGTCATGTTTTTTCATCTTCCCATTACTCAAAGCTCGTCTTTTTTAGCTCGCCCCTAACTCCGGCCAGTGTTGCCGCTTTTTTAGCTTTTTCTTTTCACTTCCAGTTTTCGGCTTTGAGAAACTGGAAACTTGGATTTTGTAGAACTTCTTTCAAAAGGAGGATACATATTATTTTTTTTTTAGACGTTAGAGCTTTTAAATGATTATAACTGAATAAAATTGAATATGTTTGGCCCTAATTCACTTGAGAAGTCAGAATTTTTCTCATCAGTGATTAAACTTAACGGAGAAAGTCTGAGTCGTTCAGTGATCACTTAAGAGATTTTAGAGTCACTCAAGTGACCACTAGAGAGGTAGACACTGCTCTTATCAATAGCTTCAACTGTAAAGGAAAATCGACGAGTTTTTCTACTCCGAAAATTCTGAATAAAATCGACAGTTAGAAGGGTTTTTTAGACAAAAATTGCACATTTTTGAAAGTTTTATTGATTTTTCCTGAGTTTTTCGGTGATCTGGAGCGTCCATATAATTCGCATAGAAAGTTGACCCATCAATCACGAGAATCACAAAAAAAAATCATCGATTAGAACGGTTTTTCTGAATAAAATCGACAATTAGGACGATTCTTTAGACAAGGAATCGCCCATTTTTGACAGTTTTATTAATTTTTTGTGAGTATTTTGGAATTCCAAGCGCCGCTGTAGTGTTCATAGACAAGCAGTTCATCAATCATGGTTATTGAATTTTTAAAAATATGGATACTTATTCAATTTTGAATATTTTCCCTCCTACTATAATTTTTATAATTTCGCGAGGCCTCCTCATCAATCACGACAAGTAGATGACCGTTTTTGAGTTTGCGGTAGGGACAGCTGCAGACACATGCTGTTTGATTTGGCTGCCCCCTGTTTGCAGGTAGATCTTCCTTCCCTTTGGTTCGGTCATCAGCAGGGCTGTCCATTGTTAGCCTTCTCCTCCTGTCTCATTAATCCCACTGGTCAATCCTCCCCCCTTTCCGTCGTTTACAACGGCACCTACCGTTGCGCAATCGCCACACTCTCGACGACGTGTCAAAACTCGGTAATACCGGTGTTCTGGCACACCAGGAACACACCTTGTTTGTTTTCCTGTCCACAGTTTTTATGAGGGTCAATTGGATTCGCTTTTTTGCTGCATAAGATGTTCAGGATTGGATATTTCATTCATTGACAAGAAAAAAAAAATCCAAAATTGAAAGACGGTGAAAATTATCCATGGAGCGCATTATCACTAGATTCCTTGGCTCACTGAGGCATCACAGTGTCGCGAACACTTCTTAAGGGAACCCTAAAGTGATTTAAATCCCCTGTATGCATCACAGTGACACTGGTACTTCTTAAGTGATCTCTAATGAATTGTTTTGAATTCTTCGTACAGAAGCACGCCTTGATTTTGTTGTACTTATCCTTAGCTTTTATGAAAATCAATAAAATCCGTTTTTTTGATTGGATGAGTATGAAAAAACAAAAACTTGAAGTTACTTTCCAAAAATACTGATCATCGAGATTTTTTAAGGCTTCTGAGCACTTCCAAATGTCTATCCTTCTGAATTATTTAGTGATAACTTCAGAGGTTTGATGCCACTTAAGTGTTCACTTCATTTTTCAAAGACTAAAGTGGTTCTAAAATCTTGTGAGGAAGAATCATAGTATCGCAACTCTCGAAATGCTTCAAAAACACTTAAGGGATCACTAAACGCTCAGAAGTCTAGGAAAATTTTGAAGATTGAAAAGATAGTACTGAGACATTATGGCGCTTTCTCAGAGGATTCTACGACTTTGAAGTAACTACTAAAGTGGTTCCTAAGTTTTCTAGGGGTCACCAGAAAAGTCAAAAGGAGTGAAACCACTAAAGTGGCCACTAAAACGAGGAACATTGATATAATCTTTTTACCAGACCTTCGAAGAACCTGGCTTCTTTATGCTCTCAAGACTAGTTTTATAGTTCTCAAACTTGGCGAGGAGTGAAAAGAGATCGCAGACAAGTCAGAGTGTTTGAAGAATGACCTAAAAGGAAATTTTCGATTGAAAACAGATCTGGCTTTCAAAATGACAAGACAATTTTTTTATCTTTGGCACTTTTTTCCCGCCCCAGATCTTTTTCTATTTGGTCTGAGAACTCATGAAAAGGCCAAAACCTGGAGGCGAAACGGTTATTTTAGCTAATAACCATATCCGGCCGGTCTTACGTAAGTAATTGGTTTGTCATCGTCAGAAGGGGAGCTGGTCGAGCTGGCCCTGGGATCCATCTCAGCTGTCACGGCTCCGCCCGCTTTGTCGGCGGCGCCGCCTTCTTTTGCCCGTTGGCCACGCCTCCAATGTCCGAATGTCGCACGTCTTCGATCTATCACCTTCTTTTACTTGTTGTTATTATTATTGATTTTCATTTTACTTAGAATTTCAACTTTTTAAAATTTTTATTTGTTGCATTTCTTGTTATTTTTTGTCTCCAGTGTTCGATGTCTCACATTGGCGATTTATCACCTCCTCTAACTTCTCCTTATCGCTATTGATTTTTATTCGAATTGAAATGTAAAGCCTTTTTTTTTAGCGATTTTCCCCTCTAATAGGGCTTTTCCAGTTATTTTTGATTATTTTTTAAAAATTGGATCACTAAACCTTCCACATAGGATCCAGTTCATTTCCGAGCGGCGAATTTCGCCAAGAAAAATTTATTAAAATCTTCAAAATTATTTTTCTGACGTCTTTTGGGTTACTGTAGCCTTTAACATTGCAAACACCGCCACGAACTCGCTGAAAATTGTTTTTACGCGAATTTTTTCGAAACTTTTTTTTGCTTTGTTTTTTTTTTTGCGTATATTGTTATATTCATCCGTTTTTAATTTTTAATGTGGTTTGAGTAACTTTCAGTTTTCACTTGGCAAGAACAACTTTTTTTTCTGAGACTGCCCTTCATTTTTTTCTCTGTTTTCTTACAATTTCCAATGTTTTTTTTCGTTCAATAACTGTATTTTTTTGTTGGAGTATTTTTTTCTTGATATTGTTCAAAAATTGAGGTCGAAAAAAATCTAGAAGTTTTCATTTTTTTCGGAAAAAAACGGGTGTCTCGTTACTCAGCTCTGGATTCAAAGAAATTACTTTTTATTTTTTTGACTTTTCTTCCTATTTTTTTTTTTTTTCCCAGAACGTTTGAAATTTAGTCATTTCATTTTTAATTGAAAGAATACCATGATATCCAAACCCTCAGAGCCATTTCGAACGCCTTTTAGAAGCTTTTAAGCGTCGCCAAATTGTTTTTTTTTTTTTCGTTCCCGGCCACTTTCCTCCGGTCAGAAAAGCCTTCTAAGTGGCGGGTTTGCGGAAAACAATGCACTCAATTCCTTTTCTTTTCCCACGTCGCCCTGTATTTTCAGCTTCTTCACTTTTTGTGGTCTAAATGCACCCGTTGAAATATTCATTATTGTGCAATTAGGCCGAACTTCTCCATTCTCTGAGGTTAAGCCTCGCCGTATTAGTCCCCGGCGGCTCGTATCATTAATTATAATGGGACCTGGAAGCTCAGACCATGAAAAGCCGGCGGCACGTTTTTTTTTGAAGGTTGTAATCCAGGAGATTTATTGCTTTTCTGGAGGGGTCTTGTAAAGTTTTTTGGAAGGGATTTTTTTGTCTTTTTTAGGGAAGTAGTAGACGAAATAGCTGTTTACTACTCTCCAAAAAAGTTTGAATCGAATATTCGAAAAATTAATAGTATCAATTTTTTTTTCTTTGATGAGTTTTCATAAGTTTAATGGGATTTTAGAAAAGTTAGAACTTTCCGAAAATGGAAAATTTGAAAAAAAGATTTTATTTAAATCATAGTATTGAAGGACTTAACACGAAATTTCAGCTGTTAGGAATTGAAAAATAATATATTTTTTTCTAATTTTCGAATTTTTTTCAGAGCGGCCCTGTTTATCAGGTTCATGTAAATTTTTCGTATTTGGTTTAAATTTTTTTTCTGTTTTTTTGTGATATTTTTTTACTTATCTATTGAGGAGCTTCACAGTTTTATAACAAGTTTAATATTGTAAATTCATCTTTTATTCTATTTTGAAGCTTTCAGAAATAGTTTCAAGGCGCAATTTTTCGACTGTAATCGACTTTTTTTTTGACTATTTTTAAAGTTTTCAAGGCGTTTTTGTGATTTTTGGACTATTTTTCTTGCCGAATAAGGATTGCTTGAACTTCTTGAAAGTTTCGAAATGTTTTTAGCCATTTCTCAGCGAAAAATCCTAAGAAACTTAGTAGCGACCTCATAGATTGTTAACTTCAGTAGAACAAAAAAAACCTATTATTTTCAATAATCTTGGTTAGTGATTTTTTTTTGGAAAGTATCGAAACGTTCTATTAACTTTTGACAGACCTCCCAGCTTGTTATTCTAGACTGAAACTGTGAAAAAAGCTATAAAAAAAGGAAGAGATGGCGACACGGACATGATTTACATGCAAAAGCGGTGGACAAAGGGCGCCATTTGGCCGCGGCGGCACCGTATGTCCGTTCCTCCATTCCATGTCCCCCATGTGTGTTCCTGTCAGACGTCGTCTTCTTGGCTCGAAAACATCCTGCCAAGAACCAACTTCTTTTGTATCCACGTTCCTTCCTTGCAGCCGCCACCTGCCACACCTGTTCGTCCTCCCAGACTTTTCCTCTTTTTTCTACCCGACCGCAACTTTTTTCCTCTCTGGAAGGCGAGAAGCGGCGGTGGGATTCTTTGATGTGTTTCGGAGAAGTTCCGGTCGTCGTCTTTTTTTTTCTTTCTTTTTTCAAATATCTTATTTTCAGTTCTCATCCCTCATTGATTCGATTTTTTTCCTTTTTTTTGCAATCTATTCATCAGTTGGCACACAAGTATCCTTTTTTTGAAATTGTTCGAATTTTCTCAGCCGGCTAACATCATCAGATTGTATTTTTTCATTGGTTTTTCTGTATTTTTTATTAAAGAAAGGCTTAAAAATCCGACCGCAACTTTTTTTTCCCTCTCTGGAAGGCGAGAAGCGGCGGTGTGATTCTTTGATGTGTTACGGAAAAGTTCCGGTCTTTGGCTTTTTTTTTGTCTGAAAGGTTTTTGAAACTTTTAGACCCTTTCAATTTCCGATTTTTTGTCATCTTTCTATCGACTTTCTCTCCATACAAAATTTACTTCGTGTGAAAATTTCAATTTTTTTTTCAATTTTTGAAGCCGCTCCCAGTATCAGCCAACCATACTTTTTTCCATTTTTCCTCACCTTCTTAGGTAGAATTTTGAATTAACAGACCTCGTTAGTTTTGATTACAACCTCAAAAAAATCTTTTAACTTTTTTTTTTAAAATTCCGTTCCAGTTTGAAATTTTTTCTTCTCAATTTTCGTGTGATTGCATTTTTTTTTTGCTTTGAAAGCGTGTTTTTGACATTTTTTGGATTTTTCATGATGAATTTCGCCGAATTTCACATGAATAATTAAAAATTTTGATGGTTTTTATGTCCCGAAAGGGAGATTTTTGAATATTTTCGAAAAAAACCGCTTTGAAATTTTTTTGGTTAATTGAAAAAAATCATTAGGAAGAAGCTCGATTTTTATGCTAAATCTCTGAAATTCTGAACTTATTTCGAAAGATTAAGTAACTTTCCAAGTTATTTTGATACTCAACCATTGATCTCTTGTTTTCCGCAATCAATCCGCGTTTTTTTTCAACTCGTGACATTTAATATATTCAATATTGTGTTTTTGCAGAAATGCGGCGATGCGCCTTTTCGTGTTAACAAATTTCGTGGCATTGGCGTTATGCCAGGCGATAATTTATCACTCGCCGGCGTTGATCGACGACGTCATCGTCTCCGGAGACACGGTTCGTCGGGCTTCTCCTCTTTCCCCCTTTTATTTCGCCGCCAATTTGTCGGAGGCGGCCGATTTTTTTGAGCCTAGATGAAAGGGGATTAATGAGTTTTGAGGTGTAAGAATGGGTTGGATAAGGTTTAGAGGTTATTTTAATCGAATGATGAGGTTTGATTGGGTTGAAGAGGGTCCATGTCCCCGTTCAAACATGCTTAACTCATTTCTGGTCAGCTTGGAATAGAAAAATTGAAGGTTCAGGGGCAGAAGTGATATCTATCTAAATTGTTTAGGTAATAGTTTGAAGAAGGTTTAGAAGTTAATTTACTTGATTGATGGGTTCTGATTGGTGTAAAAATGGTTTGAAGAAGGTTTAGAAGCTAATTTACTTGATTATTGATTTCTTATCGGTGTAAGAATAGATTTTTAAAAGTGAGGAGTTTATTTTACTCGAGTTTTGACAGATGTCAAAGTGATGGTTTGAGGGAGGTTTAGAGATAATTTTACTTGAAATTTTGAGTTTTTCCTGGACTCCGGATGAGTTTGGCCAGATCTTTAAGGTATTGATTAGTTTTCCTGGCTGATTTGGGATCTGCGCTAGAAAAGAGCCCAGAGAGGATCTGATAAAAGATAGGTCATTCAAAGTTTTAAAAAATGAAACTTATTTTCCAGATAGTTATTGTTGTGAAAAGAGGTAATGGTTTGAAGATGGTTCAGAAATATTTTTACTCGAAACTTTGGGCTTTTCCGGAAGTTTTTCGAAAATTGAGTCAAATGAGATGAATAAAATAATATTGTAAACGAGAAATATGTGGTTTTAAAGCGTAAATTTTTGAAAACTGCCATTTTTTTTGTTAAATCCTCACTTCTTAAGATCTTCCTATACAAGGTTCTGGGGTATTTTGAGTGATGGTAATTATTTTGGGAATATAGTCGAAAGAGATCGAGGCAAAAAACCTTCTTGCTGTCCCCAATCTTTTTAAAGATGTATGTAATAGTATCTTCCATTTTTCTATCCAAAAAAAGACGTTAAGGGCAGTCATTTTCCGTTTTTTTGCCACCCATTCCGGAGTCGGAAATGAGACGTCGATTCACCCCCCTTGTGAATGTGGATTTGGAGACGTTTTCAAGTGTTCTGCGAGGACAATGAGCCGATGGGAATGTGGCTCTTCTTCCGAGGCACACACGTCTTTGCAACCAATATCACGGCTTTTCCTCGTATTAGGGGCTTTTGGAGTAAGATGAGCCAATTTTGAAGGAATGGTAGGATTTGGAAAGATGTAGTTGATTGGGGAAAGTGATCTTCGAAACGGAATGATATTTATCTACCTTTTTTGGTTTTTCCTGAACAGCCAAAGGTAATCTGGGCTTTCTGGAAGAGCTTTCCGACCTAATGACCCCTTGAAAAAACGATAAATTGACTTGCCAAACTGCTCATTACCACATCAATCAATATGATGCCACTGCGCGCAAGTTGGTCCAGGTCGGACGAACTTGACGCAAAAATTTTGGAGTTACATTAATTATTTGGCTTGGCCATTTTGAAATGAATCTATTTTTGCCTCTGTTAGGAATTTTGAAATCGAAATAATCAAAAATTGATAATTTTCTCATTTTCTTTGATTCGACTGACATTTACGTGTAAGGTTTCTGTTCATAAGCGCTTCAGAGCAGTTGCAACCGACCAAAAACGACTTGCGCGATGTAGCATCGAACAGCAATAAAGCGAGCTGATAAATGGTCATGGGAAGGTAAAAAAAAAAGCATAAACTTCAAGAAAATCGATAAGTGGTTTTGTGGAGCTATGAGTTATTATATCAGTTGGGAAATCTTTAGACCTGGAACTATACATGGCTTCTTCTGTGGTTTCAAAATCTCAATCATTATCTCAACAAGATTGTGCTACTTCGAGAACGTTGAGAATTACCAAACCATCCAGAAACCCAATAAATTAACTCGCCAAACTGGCAATTACCATATCAATCGAAAAATCTTCGACATAAAACATACTCGAACCATCTGGGGGGAGACCACCACCCGCCGAGTTTATCAACCATTTTCCATCGGTGCACATTAAACGTGTGCCAAGAAATATCCTCGACATGATTTACAACATTTGCGGTATTCCCTAAGCCATTCCAAGGTGCAACACGATTTATTGCACCTGGCACGCGCCTCGACGTCTTCTTCTTTTTTACCCATACCTATTCGATCTCTCCGCTTTTTGTTGTTTACGAGCTGGTTTTGACCTTCCTTCTCCCTCCGTGTCCGAAATGCATTTCAGCCCATGTTTTTTGATGATGGCTATGAAGGCAGATATGGGCGAGATACTAAAGGCGAATGATGATCCAACTAGGTCATCTTCATCATTCGTTTGGCAGCAAAAAAAGGGTCTAGTTTTTGAGAAGGCTCTGGCAGGAATGAGGTTGGGGGAAGGGGGGATTTTTGTTGAAAACTTATAGATAATTCTTTCATGATCCAACTAGGTCATCTTCATCATTCGTTTGGCAGCAAAAAAGGGTCTGGCAGGAATGAGGTTGGGGGGGCTTCTGTTGAGGAAATGTAGTTCATTCATTGATGATCCAACTAAGTACCGTTCATCATTCGTTTGGCAGCAAAAAGGGCCTGATTATTTGAAAAGACTTGAACAGGAATAAAGGGGGGGGGGTCTATTTTGAGGTATTATAGTTAGCTCGAGACAATGATAAGGTTGGAGATCAGCGAGAGAGCGTGAGAAAGGTAGAGGTCCAGACTTATTTTTTCTATGGTTGGGTAATTTTGGAAGCAGTTTCACACTGGAGCTTTAATTTTTGCTTTTCAAGGAAACAAGGGAAGAGTTTAGGGGGGTGGTTTAGAAGCGTAGAAAGAGAAAAAAAATTTTCAACGAGCTTTTTGAATTTTTCCCTTGCAAGGTGGTCAGTTGAGAAAAACTGCTAGTGATTAGAAGCTTGAGGAAGGTATTATGGCAATATTTTCCTTTCCAGGTGGTCAGGCTAGAGCTTAACAAGTTTTGAAAGCAATATTTGCAATCATCACCCCCTCCCCCTCTGATAAGTTGAAAATTGTCTAAAAGCTGTTTTCAAAGGATTTTTACCCTGAACCTTCTCAAATTACATCTTTTCAAGGTGGTGATCGGAGCGGTGAACTCGCTGAACACGCTCTCCAAGAAAGACCTCCAACAACTGTACAACGTGACGACGGGCCCGGTGCGTGACTCGCAGCTGTGCAGCGCCGACGGCAAGTCATGTCTGCGCGACGTCAAGCCGACGTTGACCGATGTCCGGACCAAAGTGCTGATCCGTCTCCCGGACGGAATCCTCCACTGCGCGTCTGTTCGTCAAGGTGAAGACTTTCAGGTGGAATTGAACTGGGTGAGGAGAGGTTATGGAATTTTGAGCTTGCCTGCTTTGAACGGGAGGTCTCTAGTTTACTGGATAAGCATTTGTTTTTCTGACAAAAAAAAATTGTTGATTAATCCTTGCTGTGATGCTCTATAGAACGATCTGAACACAGAAAAAAGCAAAAAGTTAAGTTTTTTTTAGCTCAGTTTTTGAAATTCTTCTAGAGTTTTTAGTTCTTTTCAGAGCTATTTTTTGAACTTATGGCGTTTCAAAGCTGCACCTCATCATATAAATTGTGGAAAGATAACTTTCAGTGACTTTTAGACGTTTATACCCGACTAAAAAGCTAAAAATGTATTCCTAGCGCAGTCGTTAGCGCAGGTGCTCCGTGAGTTTTAGGACGAAAGTTCGACTCCCACGCGCGCCAAACTTTTTTTTGCCATTTTCCTTTTATGTAATGCTTTGATACTTTCAAGTCAAGAAAAAAAAATTAATAAAAGGGTTTTGGAATATTTTACAGCTATTTTAGAGTTTTTCAAATCACTAAATGATAAAATTTCATAAAAATCTCTTAGCCTTGATGAATTTTGATCTCGAACGAAATTTTGTATACTTTTTCCATTTTTCTCTTTTTTCTTTGCGACTTGAAATTTTTCGAGTGTTTGCGTCTCTCTGTTCCTTCACCGCCGAGGTCAGAGTAAAATGGAAATAGCACAACAATATGAGAGGGTTGCTGAGAGAACAGGAGGGCGCAGGGTCCCGTCCTTCCAAGTCGAGAAAAATTCACCAATTTTTATATTTTTGAACAAAATTTCTTCGTAATTACCGATTTTTCAGGCTCTTGCTCGTTCTACTCACCCAAACTACTACTAAAATCGACTTCAACCGTTCCTGTAGCGGCAAACGACCCGGAAGCATCGACAGTCGCCCTTCTCGTCGAGGACAAACTCATGGTGGCGGCTTCTTCCACGACAGAGTCGCCCTATCGAGATCCATTCCCCTCGGTCGCAGTCAGGGACCTCACCGAACTGAGTGTCGTCAATGCAGGTGGAGCTCTTTTGCAATGTCGAATCTAGAAAAATTAATTTTTTTTTTTTTGTATTATTTCTCATCAATGCTTGTTGGATCAACTTTACAATCAGAAAAAAAAACGTGCTCTCCATCACAAAAAGAACCGATTTCCAGGCGATTTGGACGGAGAGGCGGCTGTGTTCCTGCGGGCAGCCTACCGCAACGCATTCCGTTACGTTTACGCATTCAAGCACGAACATTTCATCTTCGTCGTCGCCGTTCAAACGCAGCGACAGAATCGGCTCAGTTCGGCGACAAAACTCATCCGTTTCTGTACGAACGACACGAGGTCCGTTGCAGGAATGTTGGAGGGCTGATGGGATTAGTTGGCCGATGATGGATCGTAGGGGAGGTGTAATAATTGTAGTGACAAGTTGTTGGGAAACGGGGTTTTCTTGGAAATTTTGGAAGAATCGGAAAAATAGAGAGTTTTGGTTGAACTCTGTTTGAAGCAAAAGCTACAGAATGAAAGGTTTGAAGGCTTGAAATTATCAGGAGTTTTAGACGATGTTGATCAGTTATCGATCGTAGGATAAGTGTTATATTTGTGATGAGAAGTTGTTGGAAAATATGATTCTATCTGGAAAGTTTGAATAAGATTGGAATGGACGTTCCACTTCAAAAAGAAGTTTTGAGAACTTTGATAAGTTTAAAGGATCGGTAGATGCTTCAGAAGCTTCTTATCAATTGTTAATCCAATTAAACTTGAAGCATAAACTTTAGATCGGAGTGTTTGATAAGCTTAAAGGGTCAGAAGGGGTTTCAGAAGCCTCCGATCAGGTGTTGATCCAAATCAGTTTGAAGCATTAACTTTAGATCGAAGTGTTTGATAAGCTTTCCTCTCCCCCTTGATTTTTTAAAAGGATCATAGGACTTTCGGAAGCTTCTGACCAGTTATTGATCCAATTGCAGATTGAAAATTTTGATAAGTTCAAAGGATCAGAAAGAATTTTTGGAAGCTTCTGACGATCGACTATAGCTTAATATAAATCAATAAAGATGTATTATAGGATAGATGTTATTTTTTTTATGAAATTTTTTAGGAAACAGGGTTCATTTGAGTGATTTGAAAAAGGTTCGAATGGATCTAAATTTGTTCCACTCTGAAGACGAAATATTGAAAGTTTTGATAAACTTAAAGGTTAACAAAGAGTTCTTGAACTTTTGACGATTTTCTGCAATCATCAATTTTTTTTTTCTCTAACCCACAAGTACTACAGTTAACGGAAAGATGTGTTATTCCTGAAGCTTTTGACTGTTTATTGACTGATATTTTGAGATAAATTAGTATTGATTCATCGTGGAAGAAGTTTATTATTGCTTATGACAAGTTTTTCGGAAACTGTTCTTTTGTGATGTTTTGAGCGTTTTTGGAGAAAAAAAAATCACTGAGTTTTTTCAGTCCAAAGTAAAATAGGTGAATTTCTGCAATAAACTAAAAATTGTCACATTTTTCGTCCGTTTGCAAAGCTTATTGTAGAGCTATTTAGAATTATATAGGTTTAGATCAAAATTTTCTTTGCTTCATTTCAAATCAGGCAAGAAACTGCATTTGCGGGTCAATATTTAACCTAACTTAATGAAAAGAAGCCTGGGAAATCTTCAAAAAGATGATCTGGCTGATAAGCCAAACAGGTACGTTTCAGGATAGATATAAGTTCGAGAGGAAATAAAAAATTGGATCGTTATCGGCTCACGTCCCATTACCTCAATACCAATTTGTCCAATTAACCTGAAAGTACCTTTTCAAGAGGACGCGCCGTGGCAGTAGTAGGGGTATTGCGCAAGGAAAAGGGGCTCGAGAAGATCGGATTTTGGGTTAATCCTGGTCATTTCTGCGGTCATAACCAACATTCATCCCCACGGATTCCCGATTACTAATTGCTTGCCGCCCCAATTGATTGGGTCATTTCATTTTCATTTTCATTCGGGATGCGAAAGAGAAAAGAGCCCAATCATCAAATGGTACTATTGGCAAGATTAATTTGCAGCTTTTGGCGTCGATTGGAGTGGAAATTGTTGGATGGGGCTTTAGGGTTGAAAAAGGCATTTTCTTGGGTTTTGATGGTTCTTTGTTTGGATTCGAACAAGCTTGAGCATTTAAAAAATTTTTTAGGTTCGTCTCCTACTCGGAAATCGAGCTTCAGTGCCGTGGGGAGGACAATTCCATATTCCCGATTATGACCTCAGTGGCCCATAATGGTTGGTTTTGTTCAAGAAATTCAATGAAAATCAGATCTTTTTTTGGTCTTTTTAAAAGGTTTTGTTCAGTTTTCAGAGAGAATCTTGTTTCTGAGAGCCGCGAATAGGGAAAAAAACACAAATAGAAATTGAAGACTCGCTTTTCAAAATTTGGAAAATCTCATTTTCAGCTGATTTTACGGTATTTTTTTCGAAAGTTCTTTCATTGGTCTGAATTTTGAAAATTCAAATCCAGAGGAATAAAAATTCTGACCGCCTAGTCCTTGATCAAATAGAAGGAAGAAAAAAAGGGGCGTGGCCAGCGAATTAGAGATTTTTTTAAAATTGAGCGGCTATAGTTTTTTTGAAAATTCTAGTCAACTGATTATTTTTTTCATATAATTTTTTTCAGGAAGTCTGTTGCCCAAAAAGTCAAAAAAATCAATTGAATAATCAATTTTTTTTCTTTTTGAAAAACTATGGGAAACTGTAAATTTTTCCGATTTTATTGCTTATATTCAAAGGGCCGCCAAAAAAACTAGAAAGTTCTTTGATTTTTTTAAGATTTTAACAACGTTTTCAAGATTAAAATTTTTTTCTCTTTTTTTTCCAGAGACCGTCTAGAAAAAAGAACCTTCCTGAAACCGTGTGAATTTCTGTCAGTTGAGAAGATTTCGAAAACAGCTTTAAGAGTTCCAATTTTGCTCATTTCCAGGAGACCGCTTGATCGCGACATTTGCCCAATCTTCTACCTCCAAGAAAAGTTTCCTCTGCGCCTACTCGATGCAACGGATCAAGCTGACCTACTGGTACAACGTGGACAGATGTCGTGGCGGCACGGATTCCATCAAATTGCCGCACATTGGAAGGGACTCCAAGTGTCTCAATGTTCGTGGTTTGATAGGAAAATGATGTGCAGAGTATAAAATTACAAAGTACTGGGTATGCGAATATATGAAAAGAAGAACCCTTTATCCGGTTGGCAAGGCTCCAACAATAGGCTAGAAATCATGAGGATTGAAGAGAAATTAGAGAAACGAGAGTTGTTCTAACTGTCTGACGTCTCTTCAAATGACTTCCTCTCTCGCCTGCAACTATCCTAATCAAATAAAAAGTTTTTTTTGAATCGTTTTTTGTTGTTTAAAGCTTTTCCCGATGCATTGGGGTACTTCATAGCTGACCTCGAGCGATTTCTTCACTTATGACAAGATGTCGCTGCACGAAAGTTGTTTAAGATTGGGCGCTTTACGACTGTAACGTTGAGGCATTTTTTTCGATGTTTCAGTTATTTAAAACGGAACTGAACTTGTTTTGAGGATTTAAAAAAATTAGAAAAATTTTTTACTTGTACAGGTATGAAATTCCAGAAAGCCCACTTGCCCCTGGCCGAAGATACCTGCGAACTCGGCGTTGGTGGTTCCATCGAGGCCGTTGAAATGGCGATTGAAGAGTTCGCGGAGAACATCACGGCTCTACTGCCGGTCGATAGGAAGGTCCTACTCGTTGGCACCGATTCCGGACAGATTATCATGGTTGGTTTGGGTGGATTGTTGGAAAATAGAGGATTTCTATCCCAGTCAATAAAAAAAACTGATAAGGTAAAAAAAGAGGGAAGTGACTTTTTAAAGGTTTTTTTCTAGAGAATGACAGATATTTTGGAGTTATTTTGAGAATTTTTTCATTTTGAAAAATAGAAAAAAATTTCGAGCCTTTTTAAAGCGAACGTAGAATAGTAAGAGGTATAGGTAGGATTCGAAAAAGTTAATTTTTTCAGTTTTTAAGGATGCCGGCTTTTTTTTTGAACGGAAACACATAAAGAGAAAATAGTTTTTTTTTTTAAAATTCCCCTGCACCATCTTGTATCGTTTCGTATGCATTTTTTGCTCTCAAAAAGCTTTCAAATATTTATCGAAGGTCAGAAAAGCCAGTCTCAAATGCGCGCCCACACACAATGAAATGGAGTTGTCAATCAAAATTCGACGTTTTTTCTGGGGCCACATACATCTTTTCCCTTTTTGGTTGTTGCTTGTTAAGCCGGTCGTGAGAAGGAGGAAATGAAGAAAAAGTATGGGTCAAGGGGGATTATTTTTGAGGAAAATACCGTGAAAGTCTTTAGGAAATGAGCAAAAAACCTTAAAAGTGTTCTTAAAAAGTTGAAATTTAGTGACGCGAATCGGACGGCTCGGAGCACTTCTAGGGATCACCTTAGTAACGTAAAAACTCTTAAGTGATCCCTTAAATTGCTCAGAAACGTCCGGTTTTCGTAAAAGATTTTTAGATTATCCATGGAGCGCAGAAGCGCGGAAAATGATATGAGCATCTAAAAGTTATTTTATTATCGTTGGAGCGCGAAATCTCGGAGGAAATAGCCGGAACCCATCTCAAAAAAGAAAAACACGATTATACAGAACGCGCTTTTTATAAATTCTCACAGTAAACCGACAAAAATGACTAGAAAGTCTTCAAGCTCATTTTTTTCCCGCATTTTTTGCTTCTTAAATTTGTTGTCGAATAGCGGCTCTTTTTTGTCAACCTATTCTGACCCAAAAATTTTATGGCCTTTGTTAAAAGTGAAGAAAAAAAAACTCTCTGCTTAATGGAATGTATGAACGCTAATTTGGACTTCAGATGAAATGGCACGAAAACGAATTGGCCGAGTACGGGCGGAAGGACGTCGGCGATGACGTCACGGGCGCCGAAATCAGGAAGATGATCCGCGTCGACGACCACGTTCTCGTGCAGTTGCCGCGTGGGGTAAGCTTCTTTTCGGGATTCTAAGGGGTCACTTGAGGGGCTTATAAGGGGGAAGTTGAGTGATTAAAGCTCTAGGCGATGATTTGAGCAGGTTAAGCTTTGTCTTAATTTTTTGAGTTAGGAACATTTTCAAATCGCTCTAAGGGTCACTCAAGGGGTAAAAAGAATTGGTTAATTAAAGTCCCCATATGTTCGGGTCCAGTAGCAGTTTGGGGGAAGCTTCTTTTTGTAATTTTGAGTGGTCACTTGAGGGAAATTCAGCGGAATACACTTGCAGGCGGTTTTGAAAAAGTACTTTTATTAAAAAAAAATTTTTATTTTTCTGAAGGTGTCATGAAAGAGAAAATGATTCAAGTAGTCACTATAGAGACAGAAAATATTGTAATTGATTTATATCAATTTTTAGGTGAAGATTTGTAGAGGGAGAAGTTTTTTTTTTAGATGTTTTTGAATTTTCGAAGAGATCACTTAAGGGGCGGACAGCTGAAATAATTTCAAAACTCGATTTAACCGATGTTTATAACAAGTTTAAGTGATGCAGCATTTTTTTCTGTCCAGAATTTTATGAAACAGCCTTTTCATGTTTATTTTAGGTTCAAGTTTTATAAAAAAAAAGTCATTTTAATTTCCGGTTGGATTTCCTTGAAAATAGGTCGAAGTATCCTTTAATGTACCAAGCAAAGATTCTGAAAGCCTCAAGCTGCATTACTTTCTAGTTTTCGAAAGATAAGGGCTCAAAGTCAAAAAAAAAACCCTCAAAATCCGTAAAATAGGCTGTTTAGAAAATTTGAGCCCTTATTCTTCGAAAACTAGGAAGTTTTGCAGTTAGAGACTTATAGAATTTTGTTTTTGGTCCATCAAGGAACTTTCTGGCCAATTTTCAGGGATTTCCCAACCAAAATTTAAAATTACCTTCCTTGTCAGGTATGAGGTGTACTTTTCCTAAAGACACACCGACGGTATCGTTTTCTTTGTCAATGAGTCGATGAAGTAGGATTAGCGCGGACCTGCCAAAAGGGCCTCCTTTGGCCGAGAAAGAGAGGGTCCGTTTGGACTCTGAACCAACCTAATTGTTATTCCTACGCCCGTCCTCCGCCCTGCTTTTGCTTGTCTTTTGGCGGTTGTATATTCGGGACGCCTTGGCTTTATTAATTGGACACCCCACGCGATGAGGAGTTAGAGAAGGAGCCTTTTGAGGACAATTCGGGGGCTCTTGAAAAGGATCGAATTGTTCTTTTGACTGGAAAATTATAGCGGATATTTTTTAAAAAGTGATTTTTGTGGTTTTGTTGGTGATATTTTAAGGTGTGGTAGTGAAACTAAATCCATGAAAAGTTTGAATTTTCGAAAATTATATTAGGTTTCCGGGCTACTTCGAGTTGAAATCGAAAGATCAAGATTTTTTTAAGAAAGCCTTACAATTTTACTGAAAAAAATTTTAATCTAAAAATCTTTTTTTCAAAAAAACTTGAATTTCAATTTTTTTCATGAAAAAAACAGGTGAATAAAAAAATAAATTTTTTTCATTTTTTTGAAGGCTTTGAAAAATCGCAAAAAAACAATGTTTTACAGAACTTTCCTTGCATGAGGAAATTTTCCTTTTTTTCCCGATTTTTTAAATAAGTTCATTTTAAAACAGTAAAAAGTTGAAAAAACTCTGAAAAACTCAAAAAAATAAATTTATCAAAAATATTACCAAAAAGTGAGCGATATGCGGAAAACTGAACAAAAAAATTGAAAAAAAAAATCACGAAAATTGTATTTTTAATATAAAATATACTTATAACAGTCTGACCTGTCTGCGCTCTCTCTTTTCTCACCGTCGAACGTGGAAACAGCAGGAGGATAGGAGGTAGTCGGTGAGAGAAAAGAGAGCCCATAGAAATAAGACTGTTTCAAGTTGTGGAATGTGATATTTCTCAAGTACTCAATCTCAAGCTTTCTGATTTTTAGTTAAACTTATTTTCATCTTGTAACGGCAAAATCGTTCTTGTGCTGTTGGAAAAACTCCTCAAAGCTGTAAATTTTCAAGATCCTTTGTTTGCCTCCACAGAAACGCTTTTTTTACACGCAAGCTCTAAAAATAGCTTTTAGCTGATGGAAAAATGGACAAGATCAAATGTCACTTTGGCGCCATTTATGGAGATGCTCCAGCTCATTTTGCATACGAGCCGAGTAGTGTGTGAGCCATTGAAACGTGTGGTAAACAATGCGAGGAAGCGACTCCGATCCATATTCCTTTTCGGGGGGTCATCTCTCTTATTTCCCCTCACTCATTTGCACCCAATTAATAAACGGAAACTGACCAAATTAACCGAGAAAGGAAGTTGGGCGGTGTTGTTTTTCAACTCTACAGTTGAAAGATTGGAATTAGCTGACAGGAATAGCGGGAAAAATCAGGTTTTTCAAAGCTAAATTCGGGAAAAGTTAAAAAAATCGAATTCATTTTCCATTTTTATCACGATATTTTCAACTTAAAATTTACTTTCAATACTCTTGATCGAAAGATTCTTAAAAAATTTGAGAAAAACGTGACTGTTTTCAAATTTTAATCAGATAATCGAAAAGCTCACCAGAAAGACGCCAGTTGGGGTTGATTAGCGCTTTTTTTGGTGCAGGTTAAGTTTTTTTACGCATAGAAATTTTTTTCAATTTTTTTCATTTTTGGTTTTTTTTTTTTTCCAAGTTTTACAGTTACATTCTGTTTGAAAATTTCTTACTGCAATTTTAGAAGCCTTTGAAGACCTAAAATCACACCGAAAACGGCTTTTATTCCCGATAGTTTAGTAAAATACGTCCGTGCTGCTATAAATTCATTAAAAATTTATTTTTGAACAGAGTATCTGATGAATCGTTGAATTAGGTGGAATATAGTCTTTTGACGTTTTTTGCGTAATTATCTCATTAATTCGAAAAAATCCGATTTTTCCTGAATTTTTCAAAAATTTGCTCATTCTTAATGAACTCGCATATTTTCTCATCGGGCGAAAAAAGAGATATGCTGGATGAAGGAGCTGTAAACCGCGTGCTGAAGAACGAACGTGTGAACGGCTCATAAAGTATGATGATGTGGATTTACAACACGACGACCCAAAAGCCAGTCCTCATCGGTTATTGTGGCGCGCAGTTGTCAAAACATACTGCGCAAGATGGATTTTCTTGTGAGAGAAGAGCATCAGCTGGCTTTACGAGCACAGGATGTGCGCCAGGATATATATTGTCAGATTGGGTTTTGATTTGCGAGAATGTTGGTCGAAATTCGGGATTTTTTTGATTTCGAAATAGTTTTATTTATCCATTAATCTAAATCAAACAAAAAAAAAATACAAAAGACAGAAAAGGAAGCGGGGTAATCTTAGAAAGAACTATGTAACAGGTGACTTATCGGTTCAATAATTTTTGAAACTTTCAAACAGATCAAATTAGAAGTGATAATAGATGTATTTTCATCTGACAAGTTTCCAGTTGCACTTTTTAATTTTGCTGAAAAAAATCTTCAAAATTTGCTTTTTTTCCAAGTACATTTTTATATTTTTTCACGTCCTCAAGCTGTGTTCCTCTCCTTCGAAAATAAAACGGATATTTTTTTATATGTTTCGTTTTTCAATTAAAATATGAACTTTTCGAATTTTAGAGTCAAAGAAAGTAGCTTAAGCACCTTGAAATCAAAAAATGGGCAGATTCAAGAGATATAAACTTTCTGAAAATTAGAAAATTTCGCTCTTTTTCTTCATAAACTTCGGAGACTGCAGAAAGGTTGAAAGCTTCATTTTCTGTATTTTCAGATCGTGAAAGAAGAAATCGCGACATGTGCCCACCACAAAACCTGTGGAAGTTGTCTCGTTTCGGCGGATCCCTTGTGTCATTGGTGCCACTCGACTTTGACCTGTACAACCTCGGCCAGATGTTCCGTTCCTTTGGTGGGGTTTCAGGAGAAATAGAGTAGATTCATACGAAGGCTAGCCCGCTCGAGGCAGCCTCTCGAACTTTTTTTGATTTTTGGATTTTATTTCATTTTTAAAGTTCTAAATGATAAGTTTTTAAAACAATAGGTCTCTTGAAAAAAAGCTTTGAGAGCATTTTTTTGAAAAAAAAAAGAAGATTTAAGGAAGTTCGACTTTTTTTAAGCTTTAAAACGTCCTAACATTGATTTTTAACGAGTAAAATGGAACCGCCTCGATTTATTTGAAAGTTTGAAAAAAAATGTATTTCGAGAGATTATAATTGGTTTTCGTACTTTACCACTTCTTCTCACTTTTCGAAATCTCCTTTTTCATTTTTTTCATTCGTAGAATTTTTTCCGACATAAACTAGGTGTGGATTTACTTGATCTCGTTTTTTTTCTTCTTGAAAACTGCTTTCTCTCAACTTTTTGATATTTTTACAGGATTTTTTTTGACATAACTCTATCTCAAAAACAGTTTTTAGATTTACGAAATCGAAAAAAAAAACACATAAAATATAATAATTTTCATTTCCAGTCCCCAATTTGTCCTGAAACGGATGGAGCGCCGAAGCCTGACCAGATTTCCGTAAATCAGACGGCCCTGATCACGGTTCCGATTCGACATTTGCCACCACCTAACGGATTTGTCAGTTTTTGAGTCTTGAATGGTGAAACGGAAGAAAAAAACTGATGAAAAAAAGTAGGAAATTCCCAAAAATATTTAAAAAAAGGATTGACGATAGGAAAAATGAATGTCTTTGAATTTTTTTGCTTTTTGTTTTTTGGGGGGAGAGGGGGGCGGAATAGCTTTCAGCTTTAATTGTGTTATTACAAGTCTTAGAAAAGGAAAAAAATAGACTTGGTAATACTGGGAAGGTTAAAAAATAATTTGGAATCTCTTTTTCCTAAAAATTTCCAAGAGAAGATTTTTTTCCTCCGCTTTTTTTAGGCACCCCTTCGCGGAGATTTTTCTTGGCCCTTTGTTATAATTTTATTTTTTACAGTGGATTTTCGACTTTTTTAAAGCTTTTTTGTGCTCCAAACACTTTTCCTAACTGTTTTTTGACAAAAAAAAGTCTCTGAAAAATATTTTTCAAAGAAAATTATCCGATTTCAGTACTATCGCTGTTGGTTTGGCTCTGAGGCTCGCACGACGGCGAACTGGACGGAAAACGGAGTCGTCTGTCCGGCGAACGTCTTCTCAACCGAGAAATTCTACACTTTGGCCGTCACGACGTCGTTGTCCACGTCTCCTATCGTTGCCCATAATTTCAGCGTCTATGATTGTTCCACCTTGAAAACGTATCATTCATTTCGCCTTTTAGAAGTTTTGAAGTGATCATTTTAGGTGTTCTCAATGTTCTTCCTCGAAATGGAGCTGTGAATGGTGTCCGGCCGTGCAGTCCTGCTTGAGACAAGATTCTTGCTCTGGGGTGGGTTTTCGGGAAGAAGTGATTGTTCTTTAGAGAATAGGGTTGAAGAAAACAGGAACTTCGTTTGACAATCTGAGAAAAAAACTTGAAGATTGAGAGAAAACAAGAGTTTTTAGAATAATGATCTACAGAAATAAATTTTGAAGATTCCGAAGGTTTTTTTTTGATTTTTAATAAAAGACAGAAGAAATGATCGATCTTCAATGACCATTTTTAACTGAATAGAAAAATACAGTCCAATTGAACTATTTTAGAACTACAAAAACAATTTTTTTACAACTATTCCATAAAAATGATTGAAACGGTTCAAAAATATTCATTTTTTTCTCATTCAAACTTTCCTGAGATTCCATCTTTTCATTCAGTTTTCAACAGTTACTACAAATCGAAACAAAAAAACCTTTTTTTGTTTTCCGAAAGTGATATTTTTTTTCGTATTGAGAAAAGTTTTTTTGCACTCTCTTGAAATTTTTAGTTTGAAAAAAATTTTTTTATAATTTCTATTGGAAAAAAATAAAAAAATTTTTATCAAAAAAATCTGATGATAGGATTTTTTTAGAAATTTCAACTTCTAGTTAAAAAAATTGAATGAAAAAAATGGAAATTTCAAGAAAAACTTGAATGAGAAAAAAAGGAATATTTTTGAATTCAAGCGATTTCATCACTTCGTAGTGAAATATTTATGAGATATTTTTTTGAAGATATTTTGAAACCGTAAACTTGATTAGAAATAGGCTGATGAAGGATTTTTGAGAAGCTCTCCGGATTTTATGGAAAAATTTTTATAAAAAAATGACCATTGGCTAATTTTTTTATCAGGTTTTTTTAACTTTTTTTCTTCTCTAGGCTGAAATTTTTTTCCTACGAAAAAAACGTTATCAGCTTTTTTTGAAGGTCTTGAAACGAAAAAAATCATTTCTAAGAATTGCGTTTGAACGAAAAAAATAAGCTGATGTAAAAAAATTACAGGAGTCTTTCAGAATTTCAAAAAAACCAATAACTTTTCAAAATTTCCTCAAAAAGTGCATATTAGGCTGTCCAACTTTTTACAATATTAGGAATTTTTCGTGATTGCTCAAATTTTTTTTTAAAAAAATATTTTTTTCATTTTCAAAATTCCCAAAAAAAGCCATAGATAAGCTTTAGGGAGGTATTTTAGTAATAAGAAGCTTCTTTCCAGCAATATAATAAATTTTATAAGTTCAAAATTTCAGCCCAAAGCGAAAGCTTGTGTTCGACTTTTACCAATGAAAGTCCCCGTTGCGATCGGCTCCGAACAAGAAATCGTAATCGAGGCTGAGAATTTGAACTCCTTAAAGTGGGATCAAGAACATTTCTGTCGAGTCAACGTCAGCGGGAAGGTTTCTCATCAATAGGAACCTAAAAACAGACTCAAAATTCAAATTCAGATGCACAGTTCACGGGCGAAAATCACGCCGGACGCGATCCGATGCGGAAAATTGACGCTGACGTCGAGAAATCGGAAATTAATCGCGAATCAATCGGTGCCCCTGATGCTCACGACTAACGAGCAAATTGTCGATGTCGCTAATCGTGGGTTTTTATTCATACCAAAAATCCCTGTTTCAAAATGATTTCAGCAAAGGTTTTTCTGTAGAGGGAAAGTTACAGGAAACTGAAGTAACTGAGTCTATTTTTCTTGAACTCACGGAATTGAACGGCCCAAATTACTCCATAAACTTCTGAATGTTTTTGGTATCAAATACTCGAATTTTAATGACTTACAACTAGAATTGTGATTTTTTAAAGTTAACGAAAATCCGAAAATTCAAGGAATTTTTTCTTAGTTCCTTAAGGCAGCTAAGGTTTCAATCTTAACAATCATAGATTTTTGAACATTTTGGTACCAAACAATCGCAACATGAGCTTTTCCAAGCCCGTGTATGATTTCTTACTATTTACCCCAATTTATAAATTCATTTTGCAGTGTCGCTGTACTCGTGCTCGTCGCTGGCGAGCGACTGCTCGAGCTGCCTGTCGCTGTTGCCGTCGCTGTCGTGCGGCTGGTGCCAGGGCCGCTGCTCCCACGACTGCCACCACCTCAAGTACACGGCGTGCGACCCGCCAAAGATCCTCCATGTTCGCTCCTGCTCTCATCTCTGAGAAATTCAATGATTCCAGTTCGAACCGACCTCCGGCCCCGTCGAAGGCGGCACCATCCTCAGTATCTACGGAAAAGACTTGGGGACCTCCATCGAAGACGTCCGCGGAAGGGTTCTCGTTGCCGGCTCAAGATGCGAAGTCATCGATTACAAGATCTCGAATTTGATCGTTTGCCGCCTTGAAAAGGTGTCTTTTGAGATTTTTTGGACGCATTTGGAATGGCTAGGACTTGTCGAAAAAAGTTACAATGTGGCGCATGTTCACGGGGATTCATTTCGAACAATTCTATCAAATTTGAAAAGAATACGAAAAAAAAAATAAAGAGAATCTGGAAAAGAATCAAAGAATTTTTCAAAAAAAAATAAACGAGAATTCGATCAAAAAGAAGCGTCCTTTGAGCTTTTTTCGGACGCATTTGCAATGGCTCACACCGTTACGGGTCAAAATTTGTGCCAAATAATGTCGGAAAGGGTTACTGTAAGGCTTTTTTGTGTATGCACCCCACTAAATAAGATCCTTTTTGAAATGAAAGGACTTTCCAATTTTTTTGACTACCTCAAAAAAACAATCGATGAAAATTTAAAAAAACAGAAAAAGACGAAGGAAAAATCTTGACATAAAAGAGAAGAGAAAAAAATTTTTTTCAAGCAGAAATTTTTCCTGAACTTTTTAATTTTATAGGGATCTAGCACTTGAAATGGTTCAAAAATCTGTTTAAAAAAAATGAAAGGCCATGTTTTGGTAGTGAAACCTTCACTTCAACGGTGATATCCATGAAAAAAGAGCATTTTTCCGGTTTTTTTTTTGCGTTTTCTTAATATTTCTGTCATAACACTCATTTTCAACTCAACTCTCTCATAATTTTTCAATTTTTGACTCAGGGAACTGCTTCTGGACCCATCCGAGTTTCCGTCGGGCGGACTTCCATCAAAACGGCCGAATCGACGTCTTACTTCTCATTTGTTCAAGTCTCCGTCTTCTCGGCCTATCCGCTCTTCGGACCGATCTCCGGAGGGACGAAAATATCCCTCTATGGCCAGAACCTCAATTGTGGCACGAATACCAGTGTTACCGTCGGCGATTCTCCGTGTGGCTTTGTTGGCGAGGTGAATAATGGATTCAGTTTGAAAAAGTGATGGGAAAGGTTGATATTACTCTAGGGAGAAGCTTAAACTAATCTCTGAGAGGAGAAAAATAAATGAATATTTTATAGAAAAAGTGAAGCTTTCTGCTCGATTTTTTCATTTTTTCTAACTTATTTGGGTAATATTTTAATCATTTCCTCATCCGAAAAAAAAAAAAACGGAAAGTAGTTGGAATCTATAGAAGTGGAACTAGATCCAAAACACTGATTTGCTTGACTCAAACTATAAAAAGTTTATATCATATCAAAATAAAATAAGAAATATCTTTCAGAGCAACTCGACATCCTCGCTGATCTGCACCACCCCTGCTGGCCTCAAAATCGGCAAATCAGCAAGGGTCGTGGTTCGAACCGACAAGTCTACAGTCACCTTGGAAACTCCTTTTGAATATCGACCGGATCCGGTGGTCACCGGAATTTATCCACATTCTACTTTCCGTTCTGGCGGCAGAACTGTTTCCATTCAGGTGAATTTTGAACTCGAAAAATTTAATTTTGCATTTTTTTTTAAATGCATTTTCCATGACTTGAAACCTTCTTTTCGCATTGAGAATGGCTCAAGGCGATGAAAATTTAGTTAGCGTTTTGAATAGTGCTCTTTGCGCAAGTCACTTTTGGTCGGGTGTAATTTCAAAGCAGTCAAGCCATTCCCAGTGCGACCAACTTCTTTTACAAGTATTTTGATAGATTACTGTAAGAGCTTCATAGGTTACTGTAAGAACTACTTATAGATTACTGTAAGAGCTACTTATAGGTTACTGTAAGAGCTTTATAGGTTACTGTAAGAGCTCTATAGGTTACTGTAAGAGCTATTTATAGGTTACCTTAAAAGCTACTTATAGGTAACTGTGAGAGCTACTTACAGCTTACTGTAAAAACTATTTATAGGTTGCTGTAAGATCTTTTCGAAACAGATTTCTTTTCGATTCAACTAAGGCTATTCTTAAGTTTTTATTGGCTCTATAGAGGAAGTGATAATTTGAACTTTACCTCCTCGATGTACTAATTTTTACGACTAGAAGTCCATAAATCACTGTATGGGCCTCTTAACACTGTTTCGTTACAATTTGTTCTTGAAGCTTACTGTTTCTTCCTGAAACTTGACATAGTAAATTTGAAGTTTGTCAAGTTGTTTTTTTCCAGGGAATCTCCTTGGATTCTGTGGTGTCTCCGAGAATGTACTTTGTCTCCTCGACGATCCCACCGTACCACGTCGTCTCTGAGTTATCTTCGTGTCAAGTCGTCAACGCGACACTGATGACCTGCCAGACGCCGAAGATCCTGGAGAAGGCCGCAAATCGGTTGGAGTATTCTAGGTCTTCCGTGACGTTTGTAGTTCTTTTTGAACGTCCTGAAGTTTCAGATTCCCTGTTGGATTCGCCATGGACAACGTGACAAGCGTCCAGAACTTGGGCCGAAGGATGGAGATGAACGTGGCGCCGGACCCGCAGCTCGCGCCTTTCAAAGGTACAGACGACTAGGAAATAATTTGGAAAAATGGAATCTTCTCGTCTTTGAAGTTGAAAAGGAACGGACATTTTTTAAAAACCTTCAAGATCAGGAGGATCGGAAGTTTAGTTAGCCTTGGGAGTTGATCTTTTGAGCTTCTCAATATTTACAAAAAAATGGGCTAAGTTGCACTAATTATGTTAACAGTATCCAGGAAGCTTCAAAAAACCGGTTTTAGACAGTTTATAGTGAACTATGGTTTTTTCCCCTACCTTCCACCTTTTTTTCAGGCATCAGACTACACCAAGGCGAGCAGCCGTTGATCCTCGAAGGAAATCATCTTAACCGAGCCGCTGAGCCTCACGATTTCAAAGTCTACATCGGCTCGGAACGTTGCTACGTGACGCTGGTCGATGTCAAGCAGTTGGTTTGCTCTGGGCCCGTTCGACAACCGGCCGCTACTGATGAGAATGGTAAGTTATAACAATTCGGATTTGACCAAACAGGCCATGTTTCTCTGGGAAAAAAAAAACAGCTTTTAAGCTTTCGGTTACTAGAAAAAAAGAAGGGTTGCTTCGTGAACGAAATTTGTATTTCAGTCATTTTTTACTAGTCGATAACTGGCAGGCCTCATAAATAAATGAATAAAAAGGAAAAAAAGGCGCTCAAAAAAATTCTCTTGAACAGATTGTTCTCTTCTGAATAAAAAAATATCGATATAAACATTTCGACAGATTTTTTTATTCAAGAATAAGGCATGTTGACTGTAAATTGACTGTTATCATTTTCAAAAAAAAAAGTCACATCTCAAGCAAATAAAAAGGTCCATCTTCCAAATTTCCAGGAAAAGCTGTCCTTGGGTCTCTTCCCCTCGTCACTGTCATCGTTGGAAATGTTCGGACGGAGCTTGGATTGATCGAATTTGTCGATCATAATTTGTCACTCCGGCTCTGGATCATGGTACTTTTAGGCCTTGTTAATAATTAGGAGAAGCTCATCTACGACTGCTCACAATACTGTGCAAAATTCTTTATAAGATTCTGTTTTTCAAAACTACGGGGGCAAAAATTGGCTGGCCTCTCATTTTTGAACGCTCTCACATGTAGGATAACCTAATGATTCATTCAAAAGGCGATTTTCGATCTAATTTCGAATTTTTACATTATAAATCGTCATAAACTATAATCTGACCAATTTTTAGGTCATTTGAAATAACTTCGAGAGAAATTTTCCTGCAATTTACAAAAAAAAGGGCTTTGAAAGTTGATTTTTTTGGCTTCACGAATAAAAATCAAGCCACCTTGATTGCGAATTTTCAAAAATGAATTTTTTTTTTCTTTAATAATTCTGACCGCATAGAACTAGGTATTGGAATTTTCTAATAAACATATTGCAAAAAGCTCGAAAAGGCTATAAAGGAAATGAAAAAAAAGGTGCGAAAGTGGTGAAAATGGTGGTAGAGCGAGTGTGAACGAACTCTAACTTTCGAAGATTTGAGCTCTGAAAGTTCGAACATAAGTCATGAATCTCGCGGTTATTTATTCTCTAACTTAGGTCGCCACCACTTCATTCGTCCTGATGATAGTTTTATGTACGCTGTGTGTGATTTGGAAGAGAAGACGTGCCGAGAGAGAAAGAGACTATCGGAAAATCCAGATGCAAATGGAGAGCTTGGAGAGCACTGTCCGGAAGGAGTGCAAGCAGGTAAAAAGACATATTAATCAAAAATCACTTCCATTTTATAGGCGTTTGCCGAGCTCCAAACAACACTCGCCCCGTCGCCAACCAGCGACGACGCGCCACTTCTTCCCTTCTCGATGTTCGTCGAGAACATTCTCTGGGCCGACGGCATGACCAACTCGACGCCGACCCTTGGACACACGCTTCCGGTCACCCTGGCTCAGTTTCATACGCTTCTCACCTGCAAGAACTTCATCTTTGCGGTGAGGCTTTGTAGAAGATTCTGCGAAAAAGGGGTTGAAATCAGTCTGTTCCACACCCTTTTTAAAAAATCTCACACGGAAGCTATTTTTATAGCTGATTAACGGCTGGCTTGATCCATCAAACAAAGAGTCCTGACACGATAATAAAAGAGACAGTGCCTGTTTGGCGGAGGGCGCAGACACGCCACGCCCCCTCAGCGTCCCAAGTTAGCCGTGAATATACGCCTGGAAAGTGTCCGAAATTACCTTTTTCGAAACTCAAAATTTAAATTGAAACTTACGTCAATGTACCAGGTTAATGGTCTTGAGGATCTCAAACTGAACAGTTCTTTAGTTTTCGGAAAATTAGGGTTCAAAGAAGTCTCAAAATCCGCATTTTTTCATGATTTTGTTAATTTTCTATGACTTTGAGGTGCTCAAAAAAAGGCTAATTTTGCAAGTTTCAAATTTTCGAAGTTTCAAGATTCAATAGAGCTTCTAAAAATAAGGAGATTTCGTCTCTTTTCCACAAATTTCCTAGTCGCCTAATAAAAAAAGACCCCATGCGAGGAAACTCATAGAAAATTTTGTTTTAATTTTTAAAAAAATAGGTTTATTCAATGCAGTTCGAAAATTTTCAGCTGGAAAGGTGTATTTCAAAATAAAGACTTTCTCGACTCTCATTTTGCAAAATTAGGCTTCCAAAAACTCATAGGAAGACTTAAAATCGTCTTTACAGTTGGTCGAGGTGGCCGAATCGGACATGTCGATGTCGCCTGGAGAAAGGTCGATGCTCTCCTCCCTGCTCATCTCGGTTCTGCTCCGGAACTTCTCCTACTGTACTGACGTCGTCATCGACCTTCTGAGGGCTCATATTGCTAGAACTGTCCATGTGAGCACAAAAAATCGATTCTCGAATCCGAAAAACTTCAGGCCAAAAACGCCGATATGTTGTTCCGACAAAGCGACTCGGTGGTCGAGAAAATGGTGGCCAAGTGGATGAGCATCTGTATGCACGCCCACATTGGAGGACAGATCCAGTCTTTCTATAGCTTGTACAAGGTTGGGAAGGTTTTCTTTTATTGTTACGGTTCAGAAAAAAATTGAAAAAATGAAAAAGTTTTAAAAATGGAGTAGTTTACACTGGTTTTTGGGCTTCGTGGGAAAAATCTGAGTCGACTTTCATAGAAGGATTCTCTGGATAAATTTCCGGGACAGGCTCAGTTTTTTTCTCTAGCTTTTATAAGGTTTAAAGAAATTTTTTTACAGTGAAAGTTTTAAAAAAAGTTCAAAAAAATGACTAGATTTGAAAAAAATTGAGAAGTTTGCACTGGTTTCTAGGCTTCATGTGGAAAAATCTATGTCGGCTTTTCTCAGAATAAATCTCTAGAAAAAAATTTCCAGGACAGGCCCAGTTTTTCTCTAGCTTTTATAAGGCTTAAGGAAATTTTTTTAAGTAAAGGTTTTGAAAAAGTTCAAAAAATGACTAGGTTTCAAGACTTGAGTACCTTAGTTTTTGGGCTCCATGGAAAAAATATGAATCGTTTCTAAAATTCTAGAAAACTTTCCAGAACAAAACCAGTCATTCTATAGCTTGTCTAAGGTTTGGAAAAAGTGGTCGCATTTTACAGGAAATCAAAAGAAAATTATCCGTAAATGACTTTGGAAATTTTTAGCTCAGAAAAGGAGTTGAGGCGCCTTTAGACTGATAGAAAAATTCTCGATACGATTTTAACTTTTCAATTCAATTTATTCAGTCTTCAGAGTAAGATGTAGAAAAAATATGCTGAATCATGGTATTATCGAAGAGTTAGTCGTCGGCGCGGGTTACGGTCCACAATCGTTGTCCAATAAGTCCTGACGTGACAGCGTTGGGGAATTGGTAGTACCAGCGAATAAACTGCTTCACCATGTTGGAACAGTACGGCGCCCAGCTTGTCCAGGGCTGACGGGCGCCGGAATATTATCCCATCAGAGAGCGGCAATGAGACCGACTAGTCGACGTGATGAAATGAGATAATAATCCTAATTTTGACTTAGATTCGTGTTTTTTGAAGTTTTCAGAACAAAATGAGATGTTCTGGAAATACCTGAAGATTCATAGTTAAGAAAAAGAGTAATGAAATTTTCGGGAGAACGGCTAGTTTTTTATTGAATCCTTGGGCCGAATTAGCTTGAAAATGAATCGGACTACTTTTTTCAACTCGAAATGCTGTCGAACCCAAAATTTGTAGAGCTCTATCCGTGAAGTGTAAGATTTATTCCTTTTTTTTCTGATTTTCTTTTTTTTCCCGAAAAACGGAATTTTTTGGCTCACAACTGATCAGATGAAAGCTTGAAAATGAATCTAGGATCATTTTATCAACTTGAATATTTTTCTAAGCCAAATCCATTAGACTTTCTGTATTTTTTGTGAAGTATAGAGTCATTTCAGTCCGAAATCAATTTCAGGCTCTGAAATATCAAACGGAGAAAGGACCAGTGGACGCGGTGACCGGCGCGGCTCGATATACCATCAACGAGTCGAAATTGCTCCGGGAAAGCGTCGATGCCGCCACAATTGTACTACTGAAAGCCTGAGAATCTCTTGGAACCTTACGAATCTTCAGACGATCCGAGTGAGCCCCCTGGAAGGCGGCGAAATGGCTTCCGTCGACATCCACGCCTGCGACGCCGTCTGTCAGATCAAGCAGAAGGCGATCGACGTCATCTACCGCCACGTCCCTCATTCGCAGAGGCCCTCCATCACGCAGTTCGACTTGCGTTCGTTCATTTTCTCTTTAATCAAAAAAAAAAAAAATATTTTCAATTGAACAGATGGTTTGAAAAAGTTCTCACAGGAAAATTTCTGGATAGGACTTTTGAATGTTACTGGTTATAGTCATTCCTTCCCGACTTGAAACCCATACAATTTATTGAAAAACTGTCGAGAAATGAGAAAAAAGGTCGGCTCGTATTGGACCTCGGTCTGAAAATCTCAATAAACCGAATGTCGATCACTTTTTTTTCCTATTAGGAATCTTGTCGACTTTTCAGAACTGCAATGTCCTCGAAATGGCGCCTTGGCGTTGAACGACGTTGGCGACTCGGATACGCAGCGGAATGGCCCGTCGAAACTGCGCACCGCTGCTGATTACGGTCTGGCCAATGGAGCGTACTTGCAGATGACGCCGGCCTCCTGCAGGATGGAGTGTTATCGAAGTGAGTTTTATTACTGGGTTCTGAAAAGAAAAACAGAAAAAGAAATATTTTAACGTTACCTAATTGATTTTGAGGGGTTTTTCTTGATCCATCTTCAGTAATTTTCGAAAAAATGGAGGACAAAGATTTTCAAAGGAAGATCTCCACTTTATTCGATTGATTTTTGTTCTGGTATCGATTCATAGAAAAATTTTCTCAGGACCAGGTCAACGAAATACAGTTTTTCAAGCTGTTTATGAATCTATGCTTGACAGAAGTTGTGAAAGTTTTTGAAATAAGTTATGAATTTTTGAAAAAATCGCATTTCCTCCAAATGCAGTACATGGTCATGGGGATCAGATCTTGGCTCAAAAATGGAAAAAAAAAATAGATAAATAGTTGGTTTTTCGGACTCACCCTGGCCAGTTCTATCTGCAAGCCAAAAATAAGCTCAGTCGAGTTATTCATTTTTGAGTGGTTATAACATTTTTCATGGACCTCTTTGAAACTTTTCGACCTCAGATTTGGAATCAGCGTTCAAAACTGCATTTGGCAACCTAGTTTTCATTAGAAGTACGAGGTCCAGATCATTATTCTGAATTTTTCTATCTTCTGTACAAATTCGACTTCAATTTGAACGATTTCCAGACTCCCTAGCCGACTCTGGGCAATCTTCCTGGTCTTCTCTCGACCGATTTTCGCCCGTCTACTCCCCGTCGCAGTACTATCACCTCACCAACCCCTTGAGAACCTTGACAATCGATAAACGGAAAAAGATCGACGACAGCATCCCGAAATCCATCCCGGAAGTCTACCTGACACGGCTGCTCACCAGCAAAGGCACCGTTCAAACCTACGTCGAGGATTTCCTCGAATCGGTCCTTTATATGGAAGACGCGTCGTTCCCGCCGATCCTCAAGTATTTCTTCGATTTGCTCGATCGGGAAGCTGCTACCAATGGGGTTTGTGATCTGATTGAACTTTAGAGGGGCTTAGAAAATGCTATGGTATCAAAATAATCAGAAGATTTTCATTATTTCGAGAAGAAAGTTTATTGATTGGTTCTAAAAAAAATGGGTTCATTGATTTTAAAAATCGGATTTTCTATCTATCACATACTTTACTTGAAAAAGGCATATTGAAAAATCCGATTTTCTAACTTTTAAGCTTTTCAATGCCGCAACGCGTAAATCGTTTCTGGTCGGTTGAACTTGGCGAGCCATTCCCGATGCGACCAGCTTTTCCTCATTTGCGGGGAAATGATCATGCAAAAATTATGAAATCCTGAAAGAGCTCAATATTAAGAAAGTTTTAAGAATGAGCTCAATTTTAACTCAAAAAAATTCGCTCAAAAAATTTTTTTTTGAATTTTGATAGCGCAAAACAGGAATCAACTCAATAGCGACTATAACTTAAAAATCGATTTTTGAAATTTTCCAGGTTTCGGAATCGATGTGCCAGCAGTGGAAGTCCAACGGTTATGTCTTGCGAATCTGGGCGAATTTCCTGAAAAATCCCCGACTTCTCTTCGACATTTCCGACTCGGCCTGTATGGATGCGAATTTGAGTACCGTTGCTCAGACTATGGTTTGAAGAGAAAATTCTGAAAATCGATAAAATAATCGATTTTTCAGATGGACTGCTTCTCGTTTTCTGAACCCAACCTTGGAGCTCACTCACCGTCGTCGAGATTGCTCTTTGCTAAGGTAAAAAGGATCAGAATTGAAGATTTATAGCAAAAAAAAAAGAAGTTTGGAATTCTGAATTTTTGGATCTTTTTGGAGCAGAATTTGAGCAAAATGCTCATTTTGGATATTCGTTGAGAAATCGGTATTTTTAAGATGAAAGTACCTTTTTTTGGTATTGAAATATTCAAAGTTGTTTGCAGGACGTCGCCCGCCTCAGGCCACTTTCCAGCGACCTCTTCCGGCGCATCAAAAGAAGTCCACCACTATCTTTTGATAACTTCCGAATGGAAATCGCAAATGTTGCGAATGTAAGCTCACAATTTTCTACAAAATGAAAAAAGAATAATGATTCCAGGACGTTTCTACTTGTAAAGGATCGTCAGTTGCGCTGTCCGAATTGCTCTCTTGGGTCAGGGGGAACGGAATTCGCGTCACTGAGGTATACATTTTAAGTTTAGGAACATAATGAAGCATCATAGATAATTAAAAAACCTTGAGAATCAGTGTTTTTGTGGTTATTCAAAATGACTGAAGGGATGAAAATGCGCAGGCCAGAATAGGCGTGGTTACGTGAGATGGGTTCTCCTAGTGGTCCCTTAGGTGGCTGATTTCGAGTTGAGATAACTAAAAACAATGTCTTTTTCTTTCCGAGGCTATTTAGTAATTATTTTGAAGTGAAAACTTAAAAAAAACTTACAAAATTTTTTTTAACTCTGAATGTATGAGTTATGACGTCATGGGCTGCAGTATTATTTATGACGTCATAAACAGAAATCGAAACTAGTGACGTCATATCGTCTTCACAACGATAAATAACTTCAAGTGTCCGTTTGAAAACTTATTCCTCTTTTAAAAAAATCTGAAAAAAAAGGTAAAAAAGCTTTTGAACCTGATAGGAAGACGTTAACTTTTTTGGAAAGGAAATCGAAATAAATCTACCCAAAAAGGTGTTTTGTTGTTTTGTTGAGCTCTTTTTATTAATTTATAGGAGTTGACTCCATCAAATCTACCAAAAGATTGACGTTATTTGGAGTTCCGATCGAAATGACGTCATAAATTTCTGGATATAAACTCTATTCGATAGTTTAATCTGATTACATCAATCGATTCGTCTTATTGTCAGCTTCTCAATAAAATAAGTTGTCAACGAATCGAGCTTCATCTAAAAGCTTCAAACTTGTCTTTGTTTACAAGTCAATATTTTGACAAGTTATCAGGGATTGAGATATATCATTGGAACCGTCTCAAGGCACTCTCTTGACTGACAACGGTTTCTTCCGATTTTTAAGAAGATTCTATGAAATTTCTGGCGTCATAGGTCGCTTTTATCGAGTTATGATTCGGCTTAAAAATTTTGCTAATAAGTTTGAAAAAGCCAAGGCGATTTGAAGAACGCTTATTCACCTCCAAACAAAAGCCCTCTTTGATAAAATCAATGGAACCCAAGTTGAAAAAATCAATTTCCAGATTCTCTCGACGGATTCGGAAGCGTTAGCCCAACGATTGCCTCAACGACTTTCCCAAGTTTTGAACGTTTGCCTCGAGCCTGAACATATCTACTCGACAATCTCCGACTATCAATAACAGTTCTAGTTCGAAAATCAAATTATAAATTATATATTTTATGTTAACATTATCAAAAATTATCTTGTCCCCAAATACGGTTCAAAAGATGCAAATTCAGGGTCCACAAAGCAAACAATATTGAGTGAAATTTTACCCCGTTGTCTATTTTTTTTCAAATTTTTTTTACATTCACCTCTTGTATCTAGTCTTTCACTGTGTATTGTTACATTTTTGTTGTTTTTCGGAATGAATATTTTTCTTCCTTGTTACCAACTTTTTTATTGTTAAGTCTGAATTTCTTCAAACGGAAACGAAAATTTTCCTTTTTCGCGAGGAAATCACACCGATGAGAGCCTCAGACAAGCACTTGACCCGACGTGAAACCTCATACAAGACATTTCATCTCACGCGCAAGTTTATTTTCTACGAGATTTTTGAAGCCTCATATCTCGGCTCCCCGTGCAGCTACCGCTTATCTGATCATATCAATCGATTCGTCTCATTGTCAGCTTTCCAATGATGGAAGTGACGAAAGCATTGGACTAGAAGCTTTAGATTTACACTATCAGTGCAATTTTTAATGTAAAAGCTTTTTACATCAATCGACGCAGAAAGACGTACTGAGTCCAGAAACCAAAGCTGAACCACTCAAAAGTCTCTGGAAACAAAGTTGAAGCCCTCCAAAGTGGGTCAATTTTGAGATTTTGAAAAATCATATCCCGACTTCTAGGAACCTAGGAACTCAGAGACCTAGTTTTTCCTGACTTCCGTGATCTCCTCTATCGATTGATACCAATCTTGACGGAAATTGAAATTTTTGACCTCTAAGTTTGACAACCTTTAACTCAGTTCCTAGTTGATCTACGGAGGTCAAACCTGGTCTCCGGTTCATTTCTCGTCGAGATCTATCGATTGATATAAGTTTCGTCCTGATCGGCTTCCATGACTTCAGAAGCTCAAAAAAAAGCTAAGGGGTTAGACTGCACTTTTTTCGATTTTCCCAAAATTTGAAGTTTCGGAGATTTTCATATCAATCGATAGGGAATGACGTCAGATGTTCAAAAATCCAGATGGAAAAGTTCCTGACCTCCTACAAAAAAAGATATGATTTTTCAAAGTTTATTATTATTCATACCTCGACTTATAGGAACCTAGGAACTTAGAGACCAAGTTTTTCCTGACCTCCGTAATCTCCTCTATCGATTGATACCAATTATGACGAAAATTGGGATTTCCGATCTCTAAGTTTGATCGTCTCTAACTCAGTTCCTAGTTGACCTACGGAGGTCAAACCTGGCCTCCGGTTATTTTCTCGTCGAGATCTATCGATTGATATAGGTTTCGTCCAGATCGGCTTCCATGACCTCAGAAGCTCAAAAAAAAAGCTAAGGGGTTAGACTGCACTTTTTTCGATTTTCCCAAAATTTGAAGTTTCGGAGATTTTCACATCAATCGATAGGGAATGACGTCAGATGTTCAAAAATCCAGATGGAAAAGTTCCTGACCTCCTACAAAAAAAGATATGATTTTTCAAAGTTCACTATTATTCATATCCCGACCTCTAGGAACCTAGGAACTCAGAGACCAAGTTTTTCCTGACCTCCGTGATCTCCTCTATCGATTTATACCAATTTGGCTCATCTGTAACTTGAAATAGAACTGAGTTATGAAGCTTGAAAGTTTAAAATTTTTTCGGACCTGACTTTCATCAACTTTTCGAGCTTTCCCACAGAAACTGATATGATAAAAGTACCATATGGAAGCTGCTCTATCGAGTTCACTAGAACAAAATTCAAAAAAGTCGAAGTTTTTTTTTGAGCTTTTCCTTTTCGCGAGGAAACCACACCTCGGAGAGCCTCAGACTAGCACTTGACCCGACGCGCAAATTTATTTTTCACGAGATATTCAAAAGCTCATTTTCTCGGCTCGCAGAGCAGCTACAGCTTATCTGATTACATCAATCGATTCGTCTCATTGTCAGCTTTTCAATGACTTAGCTTGTCAAGGGATTGAGCTCCATTCAGAAGCTTCAGACTGGTCCCTTGTTTACTTACTTACTTACTTTGATACTTTGATGGTCCATCTTCGCTGATATTCTCAGCGTGGACCACACGTTCTCCAGGCGGCTCGGTCTTGCGCGACGGTCATCCAGTGGCGGCCTGGCTGACTGATGTTCTTGCGGAAGTAGTCCGTCCATCTGGTCGGTGGGCGCCCGAGTGGGCGCTCGATGTTTCTCGGAATCCAGTGTGTTAATCTCGTGGACCAGCGGTCGTCTTGTCTGCGGATGACGTGGCCGCCCCAACGATGTTTCCCGCGTTGTATGTGCTCTTCTAGATCCCGGATTTGGGATAGTTGACGGAGGTCTGTGCTCCTCTGTTCTTTTTTCCACTGCTCGAAGCGAGTGGTGCCGATGAGAGCACGTTCCAGTGCGCGGTAGGAAGTTCGTAGGGCGGTTGCATTTTTTTCTTCGTGTCAGGCCAAACTTCGGTACCGTAGGAGATGGCAGGGATTATCGACGCTTCGAAGATGTGAGCTCGCAGTTTCGGGTCTTTCAGCTGACTGGTGACTTCTTTGATGGAGTTGAAGGCGGCCCATCCAGCGCGTTTGCGTCTGCCGATCTCTGCTTGCAGGTCGTTCACCATGTTTACTTCCCGGCCAAGGTAGATGTAGGATGTGACCTCCTGAAGGTCGCGGCCCTCAAGGGTGACTTTGCCTTGGTCGCAGAAGCGGTTCTTCATCCACTGCGTCTTCTTTGACGTTCATCTTAAGGCCGATCTTCTTGCCGACTTCGTCCAGATCGTTCAGCATGGAGGACAGTTCGGTGGTGGAGCTTGAGAAGAGTACGATGTCGTCGGCGAAGCGGAGGTTTGTGAGGACCTTGCCGTCGATGTTGATGCCTCTGATGTCTGTACTGTCTTCCCAGTCGTGCTCTTCGTCCCATCCAAGTTGGCGCATCGCGTCTTCTAGTGCCGTGGAGAACAACTTGGGGGAGATGGTATCTCCCTGGCGAACACCTTTCCTGATGGGGATCGAAAGCTTCTTGTCGAACAGCTGGATGGTCGTGGACGTTCCCTCGTTGCTGTTGGCGATCAGCTCGACGTACTTCGTGGCGACTCCGGCGGAGGCAAGAGCATTCAAGACGGCGTTGATCTCCACGCTGTCGAAGGCCTTGTAGTAGTCGACGAAGGCCAACGCAAGTGGCATCTGGTGCTCCCGGTGCCGTTCCACCACCTGGGTCAAGGCGTGGATGTGGTCGAGAAGATGAACCCCCGATTCTTCCCGAAGAAGTCAAGTACGCCATCAGGAAGCTGAAGGTCGGAACGGCCGCAGGACCCGACAACATCTCATCCGAACTGCTGAAGGCTGGAGGAGACTCGCTGTACCGACTACTTGCCCGGCACTTCTCCAAGTACCTGAGCGAAGCCTCTATTCCTGAACAATGGAAAACGTCCAAGACGATCCTCATTCCGAAGAAGGACCTCACCGACCTGAACAACTTCAGACCGATCTCCCTATTATCGGTCGTCTACAAGTTGTTCACCAAGGTCATCGTCAACAGACTAGAGAAGCAACTCGACAACTTCCAACCGCCTTCGCAGGCTGGCTTCCGACGCAACTACTCTTGTCCCTTGTTTACAAGAAAAAATTTTGATTGGTTCTCAGGGATTGAAATATATCATTCAACCCGTCTCAAGGTGCTCTATCGTTTGATAACGTTTTATTCCGATTTATTGGAAAAGCTCTGAAAGCTGGAAAAATCTGAGAAGCTCTAGCTCAGCTCTCTCTCGCTCAGCTTCTTCAAAACTCGTTCTGAAATGTCTCTTTCTTTGTTTCATCGTGCTTCAGCTTCAAAAGTTATCTTTTTTTCTCGGTAGTTAAATTCAAAAATGCAATATTATATCAAGTGAAAAGCGGATGAAAGTTGCTTCGGTGTCAATTTGAACCTAAAAAATTTGAAATTATAACAATTAGAAGGGCAGTGAGATGGGAAGCAAATTGAATAGAAAATTAGAAAACAAGATGGGATTGATACTAGAAAATTACAATTGAAGAACGAATTTGATGGCAAGAAAATAAATCAATGTTTGAACCCGTATTGATATTCCAGAAATTGTTTCTCCTCTTCGTTGTCCTGCTGATGACCGATCTCGATTTCCTGCAATAATCATTCAGTTTTTTTCTTCTTTTTTTATTTCAATTTTAATAAATAGACTACTTTCATGCCATTTCTGATTTTTTCTGTTTTACTTTACCTTATATTTTTTTTTTTGAAGATTCAAATTTTCTCAGTACAGCGAAAAAGACTTGAATCAGGCCCGAAGTGCATTTCGCAGCAAAAATGCTCTATGGACAAAAACACATTGATTTTTTTTTCTCGGTTCAAATTTTTTTCTGTTGTTCCCACAAACACCCCCATTTCATGAAAGCTACCGATTAGGACAGAGTTTTCAAATTTCTGTCCAAAAAATTTTTTTTTCGGTGAATATGAATTACAACGAGGGTCTCTTTTTTTCGACCATTTTTCGTCTCTTATAGGGGTCACTAAAGCTTGTAAAAGTGGTCCCTATGGGATAAAATTGAAGCACCTCTATAGGGTCCAATTAAGCTTTAGAGGCTAAGGGGTCAGACCCTAAAACCCTACGGGGTCGACTTTTTCGACCCCTATAATGGCTGCTTCTTACGTTTCTCTGAAAACATTACAATAACATCTCAAAACCCAATTTTCAAGATGACAGGAACTAAAAAATCGAAAAGTTCTGTTAAAATCGATTAGTCTGTTAATCGGACCTTTCGCCGCAGGGCGTACTTGTCGACGCGAGCTTTGTTACTTCCACAGCAGAAGGTTACGGTAACCGTACCAAGGGCGATTCCCAGAGCTCCTAGAACCGCGATGAACCAGGCGGCGCCTCGGAGCGATTCTGAACACACAGTTAGAAAATTATATGAGTTAATAATCGAGTTTTGAAAATTAAAGTAATCGTTAGTTCAAGTTTCACCTTCAGAAAAAAATTTGAAGCTCAAAAATGAGGTAAAGGGTTAAGAAAACTCATAGTTAGTTTGAAAAAATTATTAGTTACACTTTCAAAACCAAGAAAAAAGATGAATTCTCGAATCCTAACTCAGAGAAGTTCAAAAAATCGATAAAAGTTGGAAATTTAGACTTTTCAAGACCTTGGACAGTGCTAAATTGACTAGAAACTTAAAAGTTTACTTTCGATCTTGGTCAAAACTTTAAAATTCAAATTTATAGCTTCTTCTGACTCGGAACTCGGTAACGAAAACTGGAATTGCTCCGGGAGTTTCTGAGCTACTCTAGGGATCACTTAAGCCTCCTGGCGCTACTAAAGTGGTCACTGGAAATGCCCAGGCACGTCCGTTTCGCGTTAGCAATGTCAGAGTGAATGCTAGAGATGTAGAGATATCGCTTAAGTGGTCACTTGATGACTCAGAATCTTGAGGAGTGCTTCCTTTAGATTTTCCCAAGTTGAAAGAGCTTCAGAAAGTAAAAGAGAGAGATCAACAGCGGCCTGAAGAGACGTCAGAGAAGATAAAGTTACATCACTTCTCTGACGTCTTACGTCGCTCTCCCTTCAGCTCGGTTCTCAGGAACCTTGATCCGACGTTTCTGAGCTACTCTGGGGATCACTTAAGCCTCCTGGCGCTCCTAAAGTGGTCGCTAGAAATGACCCGAAACGTTCATTTCGTGTTACCAAGATCCGAGTTTTCATTTTAAAACATTATCCATGGAGCGCATTTGTCTTTCTCAAGATGCCATTTTTGCTAGTCTTTTGTAACCACCTTGCTTGAGTCGATTCGCATAATCGCGGCTCATGGTTCTGATGGGAAGTGTGGCGGATTCCGTACACCGGGGGCCGTCGATCGAGACGCCTTGGAGGTGGTAGCGGGTGTCCTCCTTGAGGCCGCTGATCAGCAACTGCGTCACCGGCAGATATGTCGTCTCGGACTGCTCCCACTCGTTGGAGCCTGCATTTTTTTCATTGGTTATCCTTGAATGATACAAAATTGTCTTCATTGATACTGGGATTCGTTTTTCTGGTCCAAACCCTATAAAATATGTATTTTATTCAACAAAAAAAAACGTTCCTTCTTAAAAATATCAAAAAATTCTCATTAGACCAAAAATGTTTCTGAAATAAAGAAAAGATGCAAAAGGACCCTAAAATAGCGGAAAAAGTGGAAAATCTACTTTTTTTCAACTTTCTGCTTTTTTCTATCCTTTATTTCAATGAAAATTGTCTGTTTCTGGCTCGATTTTGTCCATTTTTCTAGTCTTTATCGATTTAAATCATGTTTTCCTTTGAAAAAAGGACCTTCAATCGAGTAATTGACATAAAAAGCGGCGCCAGGCATCCTCCAAATGCTGGCATTATTGGGTATCCAATCAACCGCCATCGAATCTAAGGAAATGTTACTGACGCGGAAAATCGGCGGATCGGGGTCTGAAATATCATTTCTGATAATATTTTTCTTGATAAGAGCTGGAGTACTTCTCGGCGGCCAGGTCCTGACGGGTCTCATCGTGGGGGCTCCTTCGCCGGCTCTCGTTTCGGCCCAAACCGAAACTTTGTATCCAGTGTCCGGAAGGCTTTTCTCGTGTAGATAGTGACGTTGTTTGTGGATCACGTAAGTTTCTTCCGTTTCGTCTGGAAAATCAGTTAAAATAAATCGTTTCAGATCAAAAATCCTATGTAAAACGAAGGAAATTGTACTCGAATCTGTGGAATTTTAGAAAAAAAAACGGCTAACAAGAAAAAGACAAAGGGGTTCAGGCTTCCAAAAAGCTTCTGGCAAGAATTTACTAATTTCACCTTCCAACCACCTTCTGAAAACTTTCTCAAGACCTTAGAGTTTCCATTAACCTTCCAACCTCCTGCTGGTTACCTTCCTAAAACCTGCCGGAGGTTTTTTGAGTATTATGGTACAAAAGAAAACCACAGTTCTGATGAATCCATGAAAATTTGCTTATACCAGTACCTTCAGAAAAGATGCAAAAATGTCTTCCCTTACACCTCATTTTAAGGAACTCAATCTTCTTGAAACCTTCTAAGCTGCGATTTTTTTTCGCAAACTGGAGTTTCACTATGGTGTTACGAATAACGGTCATCAATTCAATTTTCAATTTATTCAGTCTTCAGAGTAAGATGAAGAAAATCTCTGCTGAATCATGGTATAATCGAAGAGTTAGTCGTCGGCGCGGGTTACGGTCCACAATCGTTGTCCAATACGTCCCGGAGTGACAGCTAGCGTTGGGAAACAATGTATGGTGAAGCAGTTCAACGGTCATCACAACTTCAGAAAGTTGCAGAAAATTTGAATTCCATACAAGAAAGTTGTTGTCAAAAACCCGTTTTCTCGTATTATTTCTGACAGAACTGTTCGTATTTTAGAGCACCCCGAATTGTTCAAAACATCAATTTTTTTTTCCGTCTTTTGCCTTTCAGTCTTCTCAAGTCCAGTCGCCTTTTGTTTGGGCTTAAAACTCACTCCGATCATTGTGAAACGAGATGAAGTATCCAAGAATCCGGCCGTTCGGCTGCAAAGGCGGTTCCCATAAAAGAAGCATGGCTGTAGAGCCGACCGAATGAACACGGAAGTTGTGGACTTTCGATGGTACTGGAACAAATTATCAACGTTTTCTCTTTTATTCTTGACAGAACTAGTAGAAAAATCAAATCTTACGTGTTAAAAACGCTTGGAAAAAGTTAAACGCACTAAAGTCATAGAAGTTAATTTAGGCCATCCATTTTCAAGCTTCGTGTCAGCAAAAAAAACCCAAAAATCGACATCAACTGAAATCATTGTCGGATGTCTCAACGGGTCTACCCGTATTAAACCCGTGTTTTTTTGAGGCAATGTGAGTCTCAGTTGTGCTGAAACGGGGTGTAAGGAGTGCTAGAAGGAAAACCCAGTTTTTTGTGTTTTTTTTCCGGAAATCTGAAGCTAAACTGTGCTAAAGTGGTACCTCAGTTGTGCTTAAACGGGTTTAATACGGGCACACCCGCTAAAATACTAAAATACCATGTTAGCCCGGCTGCTGAGCCCTTATAAGTATGAGAGAAGTTGATCTTTTTCAACTTTTGCGGGAAAAAAAGTTCACCCTAAAAACTTTCAAAAAAGAATTTCGACAACTTTCCTTTTCCGAGAAAAAAAAAAACCCTGATTTTATACCCCCAATGAGACCCCTATAAGGACCCTAACGGCACCGTTTCATTTTTCAAAAGAGCATCTTTTCCTATTTCACCACATTACTCACTTCCTTCCGGCATTTCGAACTCAATCTCGGCGCTGGGCGAGCTTTGGAGTCTCTTGTTTTTGGTCCGAATAATCGCCGAATAGTTGGTATTAGCCACGAAATCGTTGACAATGACGGTGGTCGTGTTTCGATCCGTCCTGATGTAGAACTTCCTTCCCGGCTTGGCTCGGTTCCAATATTCAATCTAGGGAAGATATTTTAACTTTTAGCCAAGTTTTGCTGATTTCATGGTCAAAGGACATAGTAACTTTTTGAGGTTTTTGTCGGGAAAATAAAAAAAAAAACACAGTTTCTTACATTCTTATTCATCCAACTACAACGTCAATAACAAAAATTAAAAAATAAATAAAAACACAAATAAAATTTTTTGCAAAGTGCCAATACTACAGTGGCTATGCGCCCATTATCTTCAAATTTACAAAAAAGTTGATTTTTATCTTCAAAACCAACCTCATAACCCTCAAAGTGCCCATTGACCGTACTTGGATCCACGGGGGTCCATAAAAACCTGGCGGTTGTGAAATTGACAATTTTTTCGATTTTAAACTCGGCGGGCGGCTCATCCGGGACTAAATTCGAAGGATTTTATTATAATTTCCAGTTTTTTTTTACAATCTTCTCCGGAAAAGCCGCTGATCGTTTCCGGTTCCACGATACTTGGTCCGATCGCGTTGACGGCTCTGACTTGGACGATATACGGTCGGAAAGTTGGCTGTTCTCGGATTATCGTGTGGTTCTAAAATCAAATTCTCGTTAGGAGATTTTTTTGGTCTCCGGGGGTTAAAAAACGTCCCCCGTTAGGCAATTTTACGCAAAAATTTGTGATTAACTATGATTGAAAATGAAAATTGCAATAAAGAAATATTTTTCTAAAAATTATAGTCCAACAGTTTTTCAATACAACTCATTGTCTCTCAAAAACATAGTTTGTTCAAATTTCGAATGTCAAGTACAATGACGTCATTCAAAAACGCTCTGTATATGTCTCGCTTTTTGATTAGTTTTTCACGTAATTAGGGGCGGAGCTTGAGCTTCTTCTTCTTCTTCTTCCTACGCCTTTGTACCGCTTGAGCGGCGTCGGCGCCCCAAGTCGATGAGCCGAGGTCCTATCCTGATATCAGTGGACTGGCTCCAGTGACATATCCGCCCTTGTGTGTGACGGCTGGGGATTTTGAAGTCGTGGTTTCCCACTACCAACATTTCTTAAACCCCTTGGTTGGGTCGGGGCGGGGATCGAACTTGTGACCCTGTGGACCGTAGACAGGCACACAACCTGTTGCGCTACGGCGCGCCAATGACGTCATTCAAAAACGCTCTGTATATGTCTCGCTTTTTGATTAGTTTTTCACGTAATTAGGGGCGGAGCTTGAGCGATGACGTCATTCAAAAATGCTCTGTGGGCGGCTCGCTTTCTGATTGGTTTGTCAAGCCATTAGGAGCGGAGCTTGACAGTGAAATTCTGAGCAGACTATACAAACTATTTTACATATTTTACATCAATTTTCAAAAAAGGTAGTGCTCAGAAAATTATCAAGTATCAGGAAAATCTGATTTCATAAGAAGAAAAAAGGGTTTTTTGAAGCCCAGCGTTATCAAACTTTCAATGGAAATAATGAATCCTAAGTGGACCGTTCGAAAAATAAAATATTCGCAATGGAGCGAACTTGAAAAGTCAAAAAGACCTATATTCTTGGAATTATGACACTAAAATCTATTGATGATCTATCACTTCATTTTTCTTTCCAAAACCAAAAAACCGACCGCCAAGGAGTCCTCGACCAAAAATTCGGTCCAACCGTGGTCCGGCTCATCCAATTTGTACCTAAACTCATGAAAACGTTCATTTTCCTTTGATCATGGAAAACCTGATCATATACTGCAAGTTGGGGGCGTTCCAGTAGTACTTGTCCATGGGGTTCCAGTAGATGACCAAGTTGTCCGGTTCGTTGCCTTCAGCTCGGACTCCCGACGGATTCGTGTAAGGGAACGAGGGACGCGTGTGGCACGTCGCCCATTGCTCTAAATGACGTCTTTCTGATATTTTTAATGACGTCATAAGTTACCTGGCGGCTGTCCTTCGATATGAAGATCCGACCGGCCATGGGAGTTGATGGCGACAACGCGGAACGTGTAGTTTACCTGGAATCCAGAATTTTCAGGTAACTTCAGGACGAATTTCTCTTTTGAACTTGGAACTAGAAAAAAGGGAGTGAGAGATTAAGTCAGGCTTTAGAGACACCAGAGAAAGAGAGATATCTCATTTGTCTGGCGTCTCTTCAAGTGTCCGTTGATCTCCGGCAGATAGTAAAACATGAGGGAGAGATCAATATCGTTCTGAAGAGACGCTAGAGAAGTTAGAATACTCTCTTTCTCTGGTTCCTCTTCAGGTTAGTTAATCTTTGAATTCTGATTTTCAGGCTTTCATCCAACTTTTCTGAATATTCTTTAGATTTTTGGAAACATCAAAAAATAAGAGCCTATCCTTAATATTCAGACTTTAATAAAAATAAAAAAATCTTTAAAAATGCCGAACCGACCGTTTCCACTTCCATTTTATATTCATATTTTCCTCGATAAAAAGACAATTTTAAGCTGAAGATTAAGTTACTGTTTCGACAAAAATTTCAAAATCGAAATTTCTTTGGACTCTTTCACTACAACATTTGTCTGAAACCAACCCAAGGCGTCAGGGTGACGTCGACTTCGAAATTCTCTCGATTCACGTTGATTTCCTCGACCACCGTCGACCATTCGCCCTGAAGAAGATGAAAATGATAAGATCATTTTTTTTTCTGAAAACCTTTCGAAAGTCGGTGAACATCTCGACGACGTACTTCTTGATGACGTCGCCATGGTCAGCAGCGGGAATCCATTTCAGGATCACTTTCCGTTCCGTGCATTGAACCGTCTCAAAGGTCGGCGACGCGGGAACGTCTGAAAAAAGTCAATTTTGACAGAAAAAAACTGAAAAGGACTTTGAAAAAATAAAATTGCTGAAAAATCCAGAAGAACCTATGACATAAAGTTCCTGGAAGAAAACATTTAACACGCGTTCTCCGAAATGGAGGTCAACTGGATCACCCGGATTCAGAGTTTCTAGACATTTTTCCTTTACCCACAAGACCCTAATGGGTCGATTAAAAAAAAAATCCAGGCATTCGGGGGTTCCAGTACTAGTTATGACTCAAAGACTGAAAAAATCGTCATTTTTCAAAAAGCTTGAATTTTTTTCTTGTGAAAGAAAATTTTTTCCGGGTCATTTCTATAACTATAAATGTTCATATGGGAACAGATTTTGTTTTAAAATTGGTTTGGACCAATTTGCTCCACTAGGAAAAAAGTTTGGTTTTTACAGTGTTTTTTTTACAGTAAGCCTGAAAGTGGGCGGAGCCTAATAAAACCTGGTTCTAAATATTCAAGAGGTTGCTTACTATCTATGATAGCAAGAAGAGCTCTCATGAACAAAGATGAAATTTTTGTACCAAAACTTTTCGCATTTGTTCGATTTTCTGGGAGAATGCGTGTTAAAAACCTCCTGTTAGTTCATTTTTCATAACCTTTTTGGTAGGAAAGACTTTAAAAAGGTCAAAATGCACTGTAAAAAAGAGGAAGACCACGAATATTTGGTCGAGAAGTGACAAAAAATTGATTAAAGTCTTTGTTTGGAAAAAGTTTTTTAAAAAACCTTTTTAGGAAAACTTATAACCGATTTTTGATGTTTTCAGAAGGTCTTCTAGCCATGAAAAAAGGCCGAACCTTTGACGATAAGTTGCATGGCGGCAACTTTAACATCTACGTCAGTGATAGCAGCACATTCGATCAAGCCGGAATGATGTCCTCGAACGGACTTCAATCGGAGTCGATCAGGCAGGATTCTGAGAAAAAATTATTGACTTTTCAACTTCTCAATCGTTTGCTTCGTTTTTCTTGGACCCCAAAGACCAATAAGTAAATTATGATTTTTTAAAAAATTGAGAAAAGTTTAAATAAAACGCTAATTTGGGAAGAACTCGGAGAAATCTTCCTAATGAACAAAAAAATAGAGATTTTAAAACTGTCCTCAGAAAGAATGAGACCTCAAAATCATTGAAAAAAGGCGAAACTCGACAAAAATAATAAATTTTGAAAACCCAGTTGAAAAATTAACGTATTCGACTTCAAAAACCTGTCAACTTTGCCACTTACAGGGAAAAATCTATTTTTTTCTATAACTTGGTAAAAGTCTTAGTTTTTGTCACAGTCTGAGGTCAGAAGAATGAACTGGAGCTCAAAAAACAGTTTTATTCCCTAAAAATCAACAGACTTGTAAGACTTTTGACAGGAAAATCAGGAGGCCAAAAAAAAAATCAAAAAATCAGTTGAAAAACTCCTAAAGACCCAAAAAAAAAACTCTTGAAACGAACTCGTAAGCCTTGGACTCGTTGAGCAATTTCCCGTTTACAGTCCATTTGTAGGTGATGGGCAGTCGGGGGTCGGAAATCGCTTCACAGAGAACTTCGGCCGTTTCTCCGGCTTCCAGGACCAATCGTTTCGGGGATGGGATCCTCACGAAGTACGTCGGCTCTGTAAAGGAAAGAAACTTTTAACAGTAATGAATTTCTAATTTTCAGGAGATAAAGACCTCAACGTCAAAAGAAGTCCTCAGAATCTCAGAATCCATTAAAAAAGGTTACTTCGAAGCTTCGAGCCTTTTTTTCTCGAAAAAGTCTATTTACTCTGTGATTTTTTTTTCATTCACCAGTTGTTTTCAGTCCAAAAAAATATAGATTTTATTGACACAAGAGCTGAATTTCTCCGGAAATCGATGAATCATGTTTTCACCTCAAAAAGGCAAAAATAACATTTTCTTTCCAAAAAATTGCGAAATGGTGTAGAAAAATAGAGAAATTTTTTAGTGGCCTCTTCAGGGCTTTGAAGCTTTCTAGGCCCCTATAGTAGTCGAGTTATTGGCTCTCCAGAAGTTTAAGTGATACTAATCAACCTCTGAGAACTACTATGGTGGCCACTTAGAAGTTAAACTTCTATAAAGGTCGTTCCAGGGGCCACCATAGTAGTCATTTTAGTGGCCACTTAAGTGACCAATTTAGAAGTCTAATTGGTACTACTAGACTCCTAAAAACTACTACAATGACCACTAACACGCAAAATAGTGTTCTAGTGGCCGCTTCAGTTCCCTTCAAACATCCCTTGAGGAGCCTCTTAAGTGACCGATAGAGTTTTTTACAGTAAAACTCACTGAAGACTTGAAGTCGATTGGTAGCTCGATTAAGTCCATATTTGTTGGAAACGTTGCAATAGTAGAGGCCTTCATCTTCACTATTCACGTCGAAAATCACAAAAGTGTGATTGGAGTGGAGCTGAAAAAGCATAGAATATATAGAAAATCGGATTATTTTTCAAGGGTTTTTCGGTTTTTTCTGTATTTTTTAAATATTTGTTGCTCTTTATGATGGTTCTTAGTTCGTATTTTTTCATCAATTTCCGTTTCAGCCCACAGTAAATTTAAAAAACACCTCTCTTTAAACACTATTTTGACTATAGAGAAGTCATTATTTCCAATGTTTCATCAATTTCGTTGTCAGCAGGAAAGAAACCTGTAGAATGCGGAACTTTTCTAAGATTTTAGGAATAAAAAATGACTGTAGAAATGTCTGATTTTCTTCTTTCCGGAAACTGTCTCCAAAAAACGCTCCGAATTTTATTATTCGATGCCAATCCGATCGCATTACTCATACAGTACTCTTAGGCGTCTTAGAATGTCGTAGGCGTGTCCCGAAATGATAACACCGTCAAAATATTTAACATCCAGTGCCAATCACTATTTTTCGATTCAATTCTGTTGCTCCGCTGCCACACAAAAAAAATGATTCGTCTTACAGGTATACAGTTGTTTTTTTTTCTATTTCTATATTCTTTGCTTGAGTACGTAAAATTTTGATCAAGGTCTTCAGACTAATTGATCTGAAATTGCTGCTCCTTCAAACACCCCAGCAAGAACTTCGAAACTTAATAAGACTTTTGAAAAAAAAAATTTCCAACGAGACAACATTTATAAACTAAAATCATTTTCCAAAATTCAGAAAAAAAAACGCAAAAAACTTGCAAAAAATTCCATGCCTTTTCAAATCATGCCGTCATACATACGTAAGATATACATAGAAGTTGAAAAAATTCCTATTAATTTTCAGAAAAAAGAAAAGTCTTGAAAAACGTTGAAAACGTTCAATCCAAAAAAAGCAAGCAAAACCGGTTGAGGGATTACTTAAGGGTACTTCGGAGTCATTGACTCAGCTGTTCAAAATGATCTAAAAATAAGAAATAATGTATAAAACTGATAGAAACGTAAAAAAATAACAAAAAAAACTTTCGAAATCTTCCAAGCACGTCGCGGTGTTTGCACAATCTAAGACTACCGTAACGCAAATTCGAAAAATGAAAGCCTTTTTCATTTTTTTATAAATAATTAATCATTTTCATCATTAATTAGTAACTACTCGGAACAGTATCAAAGTACAAAAAAATCCATCAATTTGGAAAAATTCATAACTTCTTCTTCAACCGCTCAAAAAAATAAATATTTTTCACAACTTCCCAATGAAAAATTTCTTATAATTATATTTTTTTCAGTTCTCACAACCCTCCTAGCCACAGTTTTCGGCGCTTCAGTCAACTTTCAAGCCCAGGATACCAATAATCTACCGGAAAAGTCGCATCTAAGCCAAATCGTCTACATCAATGACTTGGAAGTCGGGAGGAACGTTTTTAACTTTCCGAACAACATGAATGTTCGCATTTTCTAGATGTTTTGCTGGAAAATTGATAATTTTAGGTTTATATATTTGCTTCGAAAGACGAAGACGCTGAGATGTACGAGGAACGGATTAAATTGGTGCCGACAGTGGAGACCTACATAAACAGAGATGTTAGGTAACATTTGTTCATTCCTTTAAGGAAAAAATGAATCCAGGTTTAGCTTGATATAAAAAAAGCAGGTTACTGTAGTTTCACTTCGGTAGTCGTATTAGGACCAAAAAAAAACACAGTTCGAACATCCTATTTTCAAATTTTACTTTAGCTTGTTACAAAATAATGAACCCAGGTTTAGTGATCCATTCACGGATCCAGGTAATGAATCCGTGAATGTTCCTTTAATTTCAAGCGAGTTTTAAGACCTGCTTTCTATATAAATTCCTTTAAAACTAGCCTAACCTTCCAGTTTGAAGTTTCACTAGTCATAGCCAACTGAAACTGTATCCTTTTTAAAATAGTCTGTACAGATTTCAAATGTCAAGTCCTCGCTCAAGCTCCGCCCCCTAATTGCGCGATAAACCAATCAGAGAGCGAGCCATTCACAGAGCGTTTTCAAATGACGTCATTCTACTTGAAATTCAAAATCTGAACAGACTATACAAAAAACTACCAATCTCTCTCTCAAAACTTGCTCAAAATTCCAGTTTTTCCGAAGCGACCAAGTTCGCTCAATGGCCAAGGACGCCGACCTTCAGTATGGCTTACAACTCGATAACCGTGATCAACAACAACTACGGGAAGGCGTCCATGGCGCATCCCGGGATCATCTACTTCGTCGTCGCCAACAACGACGACTACGGTAATCGATAAAAGTTAAGGAAAACGAAATTTTCCAGTGAATTACGTGTACGAGACGACGCCCGACGTGAAGAACGTCCAAGTGACGTCACCACATCTTGGCAACGTCTACGTCACTTTAATCAATCCCGCGGGGAACTTTGCTCTGTCGAACTTCCAAGGAGTCTTTGGGGTGAAATAATTTCTTCTCTACAGTTTGGAATATTCTGACCTGTCTGCGCTCTCTTTTCCCTCATGGAAACATGGAAATAGCGCGTAACTCGAGAGAGCGGAGAGAAAATTATTTCTCAAGTTTTGGCGAATGCCGAATGGTTCAAACAGTCTAAAAAAACAAAAACAAAGTGAAAACAAATAGTCTATTCAAATACGGCTTGCAAATCCCTGAAAGTTCGCTCTAACAAACAAAACTTCAAGTGGGTTCAGGGCACTATAAAACTTCAAAAAAAAAGAGGTGACCGATCAGAGTCAAAGTTCCTTGAAGCAAATTACCGACATTGAGAAGCTGGATTTTTCTTTGTAGCTCGTTAAAAACTCAAATTTGGTGAGGAATTTTTTGAATTGTTCAAAATGAAATACGTACCCTGCTCAGATTTTAAAGTATTTTTTTCAAAACGGAGTGAATCAAAAAAATTTGGAACATTTTTCGTGAATATTTTGACAAATAATTAATTTTTTTCTTCTACGAGTCAGCTAATGAAAAAAAGTCTAAATTATGGCTTTATTAACCAAAAAAATTTAAATAATTTGTTTTTTTGATATGAAAAAAATCCTAAAAATCGTTTTTCCTCATTGAAATAGTTTTGGCGCCAATAAAAAAATACAGGAAAAAAATTTTTCTCGATTTGTCAAAAATTTTCATGAAGTAGGAACGTGATTTAGTTATTAAAGTCTTGATTTATTTATCAAACGTGATTTATTTTTATTAGACGTGATTTATTCAAAGTTTCGTGTGAAATTCAAAATTCTTGTTTTGAAACGAAAGTTCAGATGACGTTCGTCACCCTGACTGCTGGAGGCGTCGCTCAAGGACAAAACTCTTCCTTCGAACTTTTTGCTCTAACGTAACCCCATCATAATCTTCCTCAACAAAAACCGTTTTAAGAGAAAAATCGGCCAGGACTAAAGCAGCGCTGCTGATCCAAGAACCAGTGGTCACACTTCGCAAGCAGTTCGCCATTTCGGAGAGCAGCTTCAGCTTCGATTCTCAGTCGCTTCAAGGTGGGGAAGTGAAAAACTGGAATTTTACGAAAAGATCCGGGGTTTTTTTTTGATAGCTAATCTTGAAGGTGAGATTTGGAAGAATGGTTTTTCGTTGGTTACAACCCCCCCCCCCTTTTTTTCGAGGTATGAAGCTTCCAAGCCGCCAAAATACGCAAATTATGACAAAAAAGCACTTTTTTCAAGCTTATGAAGCGTCTTAACTTGAGAATAAGATCAATTACGGAACTTTTTTTTCTTGTTCTGCTGTCTGGAGGTCCAAAAGTGCCTTTCAGCAAAGTTGCATCAAAAGTTAAAGTTTGCATCCCTTTAAAAAAAGTCCGCTCAAAAAGTCCCCTAGAAAAATTCCCTCCAAAAATCCCCTTTAAATTTAACTAGCCATAGCCAACTAAAACGAAGTCTATGTTTTTTTTTTCCTCATTAGTTGATTGGATTTGGTTCTAAACTGATCAAGTGCTCCACAAAAAAATTAAAAAAATAAAGAATTCCGTCATTTCGGTAGTGGTTCGCTTTTTTTTCCTATCTTTTTTTTGTTGCTTTTATTTAAAAAAATAAGATAAAATTTATAGGACTTGATAAATGTTTCTTCGAGATGTAGCGGCACCAAACTTAATCTTAATCTATCCTCATATTAAGCCGCTCTGAAACAGCCGATCGAAGTTCCCATGAACTGGTCGGACGTCTCGATCGCCATGTCGCCCAACTACATGCTCCGTGAAGATTCCACCTCCACGTCCTACGTTTTCAACGCGTCTCTCGACAATTCTCAGTTCGACATCGACGTCGGTTTTCCTTATCAATCAATGTGTTTTTTGCTGTTTTCGGGGCTGGCAAAACACACGTATAATACCTTGTTTTTAGTGCAAAAATCGTTTTGCAAACAAATTGAGAGAACGAATTTTGAAATCGTATAGAAAAATTGGGAGGGATCATCGAAATCTAGCACTTTTTAGGAATTTTATAGGTTGTTCTGAGAGTCATGATACTATTTTGAGTTTCTACAAGTTCGAGATGATGTTTAAGCTTCTAGTTTTGAAACTGTTTTGAAATCTGTTAAAACTCAAATCACCGGATGGTCGCACGTGGAATGGATCAAAGCGTTCGATCTGCGCCAAAAAATTATCAGATCCAGCTTTCAAATGTCAATTTCCAAGCGCAACGCAACCGCGACGCTCTGAGCCATTCTAAGTGCGACCACGAAAAACTTCAATAAATATTTTTCTGCAGCTGACCGGCGACATCGACCCGTCCAGCACTCTAACAATCACCTATGATGGCTACGACGGTCAGGGATCAGAAACGTAAGTTTGTTCATAAAACTTCTCGGAACGGACATTTCTGGACATTTCTAGGGATCACTTAAGGGTTCTGACGCTACTTAAGTGGTCACTAGAAACGCCCAGAAACGTCCGTTTTGTGTCATTTTTGTCCGAGTTTGAAAATGATCAAAAGCCTTCAAAATTTGTGAAAGATCAACAAAAAGATCAAAAAAGTGGCTCATAATTTAATCAAATAACAATTTTAAAAAAAGATTTGTGAGCCTAAAAAAATAATTTTTTTCAGAAGATCAACTTTTCAGAGACATTCAAGGCAACAAGTAAAAATGAATACTTTTTGAAATTTATAAAAAAACTAGAAAGATGAAACTGACATAAGTCTTGCACTTTTTTTTTGATGAAATCGCTGTCTTTGCTGTGATATTTTGATACAAAAAAGTTTACTTCCTTTCGAATCAAAAATCAGGAGTTTCAATATATATGACGCACCTTAAACTTTCTACAGTTTCTGCAGGGAAAAAATAAAAAATGAAGGTGTTTCAATATATATGACGCACCCCAAATTTTCCAATTTCTGTTGACAAAACTTCCAGGAAAAGTCTAATTTTTCAATTTTTCATTTTAGACTTTCAAACAAGCCCGGTTTAAACAAGGTGTTCCGGAATACTCGCGGTAAAACTCTCAAGATCGACTACAAACGTGGCGACAACGACCGGACTGTTGGGATTTTGGCACAGGTGCACTGCCGACGTGAGTTGATGCGCAGCGAAATTTATATCTCAGGAAAAATGGTCGTGAAAACTGAATTGAATAAGCTGCTTCTAAAGCCCCAAAGGAGAATAGATAAACATTTATGAAGGTCTTACGACAAAGATGACCATTTCAGTGTTAATTTGAGCCGTGTTTGACTTTTCGCCCTAAAAAAACCTTCTAGAACCTAATAAAAAACCTAGTTTTCACCTGATTATCAATAGAGCGCAAAATAATTACTAAAACGGCTATTTTTTGATCTTATATTTCAGAACCGGCCGCTCCTCGATTCCTCATCGGCATTCTAACCGTCCCACTGCTCCGATACCTTTTCTAATCTTTTGCCTTTTTGGATAGATTGTAAATAATTTCATACGATTTGCAATAAACTCCTTTCTCGCTGAAAAAAAAACAAAAGGAACGTCACTTGCGAACTTCTCTATGGAGCGCACATGCCGGTTATTTTTTAGCCAAAATGGTAATAATTTTCTCAAAGTCCATTTTCTCAGTTCCTATGCGCCTTTAACAAAAACCCCTTTGCCGACCCTTTAAGCGCCTTTAGTAAGAGTCTCATCCCTGACTCCCTATGCTCCTTTAATAAAAGCCTCATCGCTGACTCAATATGCGCCTTTAATAAGAGCCTCATCCCTGACTTCCCATGCGCCTTTAATAGAAGCCTCATCGCTGACCCTCTATGCGCCTTTAATAAAAGCTGCTCATAGTGTTTTTCCCATTCATTCCATTAGTTCTCAGACTTTTGTATAATCTTTTCAGATAACGGATCTCGAGCCATTAACTCCGCCCCGGGAGAACAGTACCTGTTCGTGGCGAATTTTTTTTTTTTCGTTGAAGATGATCCTTTAATAGCGCTAAACTTTCTGATCTCTTTTGATCTGACCGCATCGAAAAAATCAAAGAAGGCAGTATTAATGAAGGGACAGTTAAAATCCGAACAGACTTAAACTTTAAAGAGAACGAAAAAATTCATAAAATGGGGCTCGTATTAAAGGCGCATGGGGAGTCGCCATCGATCTACTTTTGCCGCGCAAGTGGAGCCGCCTGTTTTCTGTTACAAGACAGGCGTGAATGGACTATACCATTTCTCATTGTAACTCTTATCAAAGCTGAGGAATAGGAAAAGCTCGAGGAACTCTTCTACCACCTTAGAACATAACCTAAACATTTTTGAATCAAGTGAAAATGAACCTGATGCTTGCCCTCGACGATTTGAATAGGCCTATCATCGGCGTCGACCCATCGAACTATCGGTTCCGGGGCGGCATCGACGCTACAATCCAAGTAGACCGTCGAATGAAGGACGACTTTCCAGTTTCGCTGGGTAGGGATTAGGAAGCGGGGCTCGTGAGCTGCAATCCATCCCCTTTATAATTTTTTAACTTACCATGAATGACTCAAAAAAAAAACTGTATTGAGACTTTTTACGTGCATTGTTGTATAACTTTTTTTGTGAAGTTTTCGGAAGCTTTTTCGTTCGATTTGGATCAGAAAACTGTTAAAATTTGGCGATTGAAAAAAAAATGCCTCAAATTTCACAAATTTTTACGCCCTCCTGGTCTCTCGGTGACCCTCTCATGTTGACGCGCTATTTTCATGTTTCTCTGACCTCGCCAGTGAGAGAACAGAGACGCAGACATGCGAAAACTGTCAAGTCGCGGCGGGCAGATTATACTTCACCGTGAAAAATTTTAGAAGCTCGAAAGTTATCTGTGAGTCAATAATTATGACGCAGAGTGGGTCAAGTCGCTTTAAAAATTCTGATTATTCTACTGCATTTTTCTCCTGTGTCAATCTTCAAATTTTTTGCAAAAATAAACCAATTATTTTTCTCCATAAAACCCACCCTTGACATGGACATACGCATTGGTGTAGACATAACCAAGCGGATTACTCGCATTGCACTGGTAGACCCCCGTGTCGACGTCATGATTCAACTGTCGGATCCTTAAGACTCTGCCATGGTCGAGCAGGACTCTCCGATGGTCCTCGGGCAGTTCTGCAGCTCAAAACCCTTCAGGAGGTTCTTGAAGGAGCTCTCACCATGGAGCAGCACTCCATTCATGCTCCAGGTGATGATGGGAGTCGGTTGGCCGCCGGCCAGGCATTCCAGCTCTCCAGTGCTCTCCTCGGCTTGTTCGACGTTCCTCGGCGGCTCGTCAAACTCCCAAAAAGGTGCGGCTGAAAGTTATAGTTATTATTCTGACGTTATCCTTGTGAAACCTAGGACTCGAACATTGACGGTGTGGACCAGATGACGTGCACGACATTCGTAAGTTCCGGCGTCTTCTGGATGAACATTGTCTACGATGAACGACTTGCCAAAGTCGCTCTCCGCAGATGTGAGATCCTAGAAGTCATTCAATTGGTTCGACCTGTGGTGGCAAGTGGAATGACTCGAAGCGTGGCGGTCGCGTTGCGGCTTGAGGAAAGTTCTTAATCTCTGCTTTTCGCATTTCGAAGATTTATTGGATACTGTCTCATTGCAGCAGCAAAGAGTTAAAATCCGACTTTTCAGAAACATTCTAGGCTTGCTTTTATAACTCCTGCGCGTAAGTCGTTTTTGGTCGGATGCACTTTGAAACAGCCAAGTCATTCCACTTGCGGCCAATATTTTTGTGTGAATTAGGCATCATCTCATTTAACTTCAGGATCATGCCTGAGAGAGCGTTAGGATTGAAGAGACGCCAGAGAGTTAGATAATCTGCGTCTCCTCATTTTCCACGTTCCCTCACTCTTTGACACTTTTATTCACCTTTAATCGTCCTTTGGGCAGTTCTCCATCAATTTTCGACCAGAAAACGGTTGGAAGTGGTCTGAAATTGGTAGGAACTCATTTTTAATTTTTTTTTTTTCTGAATATAACCTTTTTCGTTGAAAAATAATTCTCTTCATAGGACTCTGACAACAGTTAAAACTTGAAAAATTTTTTTTAAATGAATACTAAAATCAAATATCTTTCTTTATTGTTTAAAAACAACTCCTTCTTTTTCTGAAATCTCCAATCAAAGTAAGATTTACCTCCCACCGAAGATGCACTGGATCTTGAGTCTTGTCCCGGCCCTTACGGTGATCTCCGCAGGACTGACGTAGAGTTTCTTGATGGCGGTCGCCGCCTTGTCTGCACCACAACGTCGTTTTCCACATGCACTGCTTACTTAACAACAAGGAATGGCGGTACAAAAGCGGGAAAATGATAAGACGCGACGAAAAGTTTGAGCATAACGGATCAAGTCTCTCAAAACGAAAATATTCGATCCATTTTTTGAAGAATCGATTGAGTAATTTACTGATTGATTATTGATTGATTTTGCACCCATTCCTATGCACTTTTCTCATAAATTTGCAACAAAGGTTCACTTCATCGGAATAGAAATTCAAAAAGTTGAAAATTGGAACTTTATTTAAAACCCTAAAAGTCCTAAGACTCACGCAAAATACTCGAAAGGGACGGAAAATAGCGGAAAATAAGATAAAAACCTTCTTAATTTCGAATTAGATTTCTAGACTTCATTCGCCAAATTTCGAAAAACTCTGCTTTCTCTTTTTTCTCGGCAACACTCTTAAATTAAAATGCTATTTTCCTACGCCTTTGACCTTGCCGGCGAGGGAAAAGAGAGCGCAGACAAGTCAGAGTGTTTCAAATCCTGACGAAAGGTTATTGTGTAACGATTTTCGAAAAGTATAGAGTTATTCCCAGTTTTGAGACCCTTGTTCCTTTCAACACCACATCCACCGAACTCACCACTCCTCGGCGAGACTTCGAGTCGGACCTGATCCCCAGATCGGTATTCCCCTCTCAGTACTGGCGACGTCGCCGCACATTCATAAAGAAGAGAAGATCGGCCATCGGAAAGCTCAACGGTTGAAAATTGTAGTCGTCCCTGGGCGTCCGTAGTGATATGGCGACTTCGGATCGTCTCAATCACCGTGCTGTCTTCAGAATCTCTGAAAAAATCAATTTTCAAAAGTCTGTAGCTTTTCAGAATCTCAGGGAATGTAGCTCATTTTTTATGTAATCAACCAGTGTGTATTGCGCGTCTTAATAATTGAAACAAGCTTTTTATTCGAGGTTATTCTTTTTAAGCCAGCAATTTCAGTAGAAAAACCAATCTGACAAAGCACCTAAAAAAAATTAAATTTTCTCCTTTTTCTCTAACACTTCAAAGGCAGTTTTTTCGACTGCGTCATAATTATGGACACAAGATTTCTAAGCTTTTCGCGAGAGTGCGATTTTCTCGGAAATAAAAATACATTTTCGAAAAACTTCAAAATGAACTGAAACTAAAAAAAATTCGTTAACTAAAACCCAATTCCTCGTACAATAATGTTTGGAAAATCAAAAAAAAAGCAAATTATTTTTCCTGCGTCATAATTATAGACACCTCTTACAGTTTTTTTTCCCCTTTCTCTTTCAGAATCTCCCGTGCGGTCGAAAGTCAACTGGAATATCCGGATAAGTTGCAAAATTTCAAATCAGTTTGAAACTGAATTCATATCAAAGTTGAACAGAAAAAAAGAATGTTCACCTGGCCTCTCAATTTTTTTTTCATACGACAATCCAATACCACTTTGAAAAGCAAAATTTTCGTACTTCAAAAAATTTTCAGCTTTTTAAACCTCTTATTTTTCAAGCTAAGAAGCCTAATTTCTTTAGTTTTGAACTTCTCCATCCAAACTGTAAAGAATCTATTCTCAAAAAACGGAGCTGAAAAGACCTCAAAAAGTCCCTCTGCGGAAATTCATCCAAGAGCATGGTTTCGACTCGATTTCAATTTTGCAAGAGGCCCGCATACAAATGGAGTTGTGCTCCACTCCTGCTCCTCCGAAATTAGTTGCATAATGTTGTTGTGAGAGGCTGAGCTGGACGTGCGAAACGAACGTCTGACGGAGGGTCGGCGGGGAATCAAATTACGGGGCGCGTGTTAACAAAGTAGTTGGAAATGACCAGGCGTTTCAGATGAACTAATGAAAAAGTTCGGGGCGTGTTTCGAAATGTGTTCAGCTTTAATTCGATATACTCCACTGAATTATTCTGACCTGTCTGCGCTCTCTTTTATCTCGCTGACAAGGTCAAAAGAGCAAGAGGCAGAGAGATCAGAAGTAATGAAAAGATGTTGCGAAGAGGATATATAAAATTCAGAAAATAGAAAACTATGTAGTTAATATACCCACATATGGATGGATGAAAGTCGTCTCAAGTCGGAAGTGGCTTAAAAAGACTCTTAAACGTGGACTTCTTCTAAAAGATGCCATAGGTGAGAGAAATTCAGTAGTTCAACATTTCGAATCTCAACTTCAGAGCAACTGTTTAAAATTACAAATCGCCACTCCTTTTTCAAGGAATTTTCGCTCTGATAAATTTACCTATGAGTAACCGCACTTGGAATGGCTCAACTCGAGTCGCGGCTCAGTATTCCCTAACTCTTTCGAGCGCAAGTCGTTCCAAGTCGGGAGCTTTTTGAAAACAACCACTCCACATCCGCAAGGCGCCTGGTCATTCTACATGCAACTGTGAATTATTTTTCTTCGTACAAGAAAAAAAAAATCAACTCAAAGTTTAATTTTCTTTCAGTTTTCAATAACTAAACCGACTTTTTACCCATTTTTCGGCTTGAAAATACCTTTTTCATTCTTGATTTCTTTTGATTTTCAGACCATTTTTGAAGGCCGCCTGGACCTCCTTCCAAGTTTTCTTGAATAAAATTCTGTACTACCATTCTGAGGTTGGAAATAAAACTACGTATGGTCATAACTTCCTTCCAAATCATTTTTATACCTTTTCTTCTCAAAATCTTTTAAGTCAACCTATCCAGGAAAAATTGAGCATTTTACTTGCCCAAGAATGCCCAAAACCAACCTATAGAGCCAAATGAGCTCCGGATCAGGAGTGCCTCGCGGTGGAGCGCAATCGACCGTCAAAGAATCGCCTTCTCGTACGTTGATCACCCGGACCGGCCTTTTTGGGAAGTGTTCCAGGGCTGAAACTTTTTCTTCATATTTCCGAGTCTTATCAGAAAATAAATTTCAAAAATACTTCAAAAAATCAATAATTTCCTGGATTTTTCCTAAGAGGTCCCAAAATTCTCACGCCTACAAACGCACAATTGAGAGCCTCTCAAGCTGTCAGATTGTCTTGAGTGCCGCAAAATGCTCTGAAAATCACCTCCAACGGCCCAACGACTGATTGGGCCGCGAGAAGCGTTTCTGAGGATTTGTATGGACCAAAAAAGGCAGCTGCAAAATGGCTGGCTAACCAGATTTTTCGGTTCATTTCTCAGATCCCTTACAATTTTCTCAGCTCAACATTTTCGATTCAAAAGCTTCAAGCTATAAGAAAACGTTCAGCACCGTAGAATTTCTCAAAAAAAGCTCATTTTTCGAAAAAAGGTGTTAAAAAATCCTTGACCTGTGAAAAGCCGTAAAATTATTTTTTTTCGGAAATATCAGTTCTCCATGGAGCGCAAACCATCTTTTTTCTTTTTTAAAAAATATTTTTTGCTAGATTTTTTTTGTCGCTTTTTTTTATCATGCGCGTAAGTTTAAGCACTAAACAAGTTTTTTTAAAATTTCCTTCGAAAAAAACAGGAAAAAAATCGAGCTTGAGCCAAAAATATTTCTAATTTTTTTCCAATTATAAACCATTGCTTTTTTTCAAAGAGTTTTCCTCTTATAAAAATCTGAACCATTTTTGCCGAATTTTTTTTCCCATTTTCCCCCTTTCTATTCACTTTTCGAACTACAAATTCTATTGAAAAGCCCCAAAATACCCTATTAAAAACAGAAAATCGTGCAAAACCCAAAATACTTTCTGGTTTGCTTGCAAGCCCCGTTTTCTGAGAGGGTGACGCCTTTCCGGATGCCGCCGAAACACGTCGACCGGAACAAGTTGGCGTGATTACTCGCATTGATCTTTCTCCCATTGCAAAAGGCGGCTTTTCTTTCTTGTATCAAAGGCGCTTTGGAAAGGCGAATGGTCATCAAAAACAATGGATTCGGATGACCATTGGTTGGATCTTCAAGCAGAGACAAAATTAATTGGGTCTTCATTGGTTGAAGCTTCGAATGAATCTATTGGCAAAATAGCAGGTGAAAAGGAGAGGTTTTGACAGCTCTGTAGCATTTTTTCTTAGGCTAGAGGTGGAAAAAAAAATTTGAATTTCAAAGAAAAAAAAACTTCTCAATGAGGTTCTGAAAACTCTTCAAGATCAACTTCCAAAAAAAAATCTGTTAAACTTCGTTGAAAAATATCTAATCAAGCTCCCGTTTTTTCGTGAAAACGTCGTCAGATGCGATGGAGGTCCTCTGGACGTGATAAAATATGATTATTGCTTTTTTTCTGGCTCGCAAGTTATTTTTCAACGTCAGACGCTCAAAGTGTGATAAATGGCAGCTCGTTTGGAAGTTTCCCTCATTTCGTGTTTGGCGGCAATTTTGTCAGCCAAGATAAAACTATCAAGATGAGTTGACAAACTCCGATAATGATAAAGTTCTAAACAGAGGAATTTTATATACAAAATCCAAAAGTTATTATAAAAAGGATTACTTTCAAAACTTTCATCATCACAAAAAGTGAAAAAAGGCCGTCCATGGAGCGCATAAGCTGCTTCTATCGCGGCTATTTCGATCCAGCTTTTTTATTTACCGAATTGAAGCGGATTCTGAGGGAAAAAGGTCACACAATTTAGGAAAAAATGCCTATTTATCAACTATTTATGGACTATACTTAAAAATCGAAATTTCACTCACATCCCAACCGAACATGGACTTTGTTCGACACAGCAACTCCAAAGATATTCGCGGCAAAACATTGATAATATCCCTGATTGTGGGGCTTCGACCGGTGGAAGAAAATCGAGCCGGATTGGCCGGGGCGTTCCCAATCGATGTCACCAGCTCCGACGCTCAACTGCCGCCCGTTTTTTACCCAGGTAAACCTGAAGAGGGAACAGTTCAGTCCTTTGTGAAACGAGGGAATTTTCTTTCGAGAAGGGGGAATTGAAGTCGTGAAGGCTTTTTCGTCGATAATAGAAAAATAGAGAAAATTCAAAAATTTGAATTCAGAACAAAAATTTCGCAAATTAATACTTTAAAAAAATTACATTTTCACTTATTTCAATTTGATTATTATAAGTAACTGCTTTCATAGATTGTTCAAGAAAAAGATATACAAACTTCAAAAAAATTTTTTTCCAGATTGTTACTTAAATATTCTAAGAAGCCTCATAATTCCCTCCTAGACTTAAAACTACTGTACTTTCAAAAAACTCCCATTTTTAAAACTTTCAAACATTATATCCTCAAGGTCCTATGAAGCTGACGGAGGTTAAATCAATGTAAATTGAAAAAAAAAATCGAAAATTTCAAGTGAGAGGATGTAAATATTTTTTAAAGCTCGGAAAATCGGAAAAAAGAACCCACGTGTCGGCATTTTCAGCTTCGCATTTCAGTGTCAACCTTCTTTGGTACTCCTCCTCGCCCAGGTGATACCAAACTTCTTCTTCGGGTTGTAATAATAATTTTGGGGGTCCTAAAATGGCAAAGGTCTAGTTTTCTTAATTTTAATCAAAAAATGCCCTTCATCCTTCTCAAATTTTCATTTCAACTCAATCAAAATGTATTATTTCCCAAAAACTAAACTGACGGAACAAATGAAAGGAAAAAGAATGTACGAAATAGTGACGTGAAAAAATCACATGGAATGATCAAAAACTGATGAAAAAACTTGATAGTTAAAAAAACTCACTGAATGAACATTAATTATTGCAAAAATGAGTCCAAAAATGAATATTTCTCATTTAAAAAATCTCAAAAACGAACCTATACCGCCATATGCAGCTGAAACTAAAGGAATACAGAGCAGGTACCACATTTTATCGCTTGGCGATCATTTTATTCTGAAAACAAGATGAAAATGTCGGGAAAAATGAATCGAAAATCGTCACGCAATGAGACATGAGATATGAGATTTAATTTCAGTGGAATTTTCGTTAGATCTCCTTTTTGCATATTATGTTATTTTTAACTCTTTCAAAATTGAGAAACTGTAGAGCAAAGTCTAAAGGGAGATTCACACTTTTCATGAACATGAATATAACACATATGATGAAGAAAATCTTTTGATTTGTTGAATGATAAGAAAGCTTGAGTTTATGTCAAAAAAAAAAAATATTGTGAAATATGAAAAAAAAAATGTGGGATTATTGAGAGAATGAAAATCAGTTGTAAGCATTTGGAAAAAAATGGAAAAAAAAGCATTTCTCATAAGTACATTTCAAAACGTTTCGGAATGATGATAAGACAGTAAAAAATCTTGAATATCTCTATCAATCTACGGAAATGCCAAACAGCCGAAAAATATAAACGGAAAACGACGGATTTTCACGAGATATTTTTTCACAAGAGCTTGAAAGCTGTAGAAAATTGGAAGAGCATGAAAAAAAGCTTTTTTTTTAAAGAACTTATTTCGAAACGTTTCTAAACGATCAAAAATTTGAATATATCCACTCAAAAAAAAAAAAATCAACTGAGAAAAAAGGAGTTTCGAGAAGTTGCAAGCATCTGAAGAGCATGAAAAAAAAAGCATTTTTTCATGAGTGAATGTTAAAAATTTTCTATTGATAAAATGACGACAAAAACCTCGAAAATTTTCATAATCCTTCAAAAATCCCAAACGGCCACACGAACAATAGGCTCCGAAACGTGCTTAACTCAGGTTGGCCTTCTCGGATTTGATTAGGCTAAAAAGGGGGCCACATGGCGCTAATTTCGTCCAACGCATACCAAACACCTTCGTCCATTGGTTCATTATAATTATTTACGCCAATTTGGTCAATTTTCGAGGAGAGATTTGCATTTTTGCACTCGGCGATAAACAAAGAAAGTAAGAGAAAATGAAAATGTCGGAAAAACTTCCAAAAAAAAAAATCCTTGACACCAATAATTGGCCCAAGAAAACGCTTGAATTAGTGTAGAAAAATAAACAATTTTTTAACTTTAAGCTATAATTCTGGAAAGATAAGGTAATATTAAACATAGTACGCTCACAAAACTTTCTGTAATTTTTTAAAGCGCGGAAAAAAAGGTTTCGTTAGAGCGAAAGTTTTGACAAAAAAAAACTGATTTTGAAGAAAATATGGCTCTTTCGAACGAATGAATTTTGATCATTCAATATTTTTTTCTCGAAAGTTTCAAGAAATATCGAACAAAAAAATGTACGGGGGGCGGAGGATAAAAAGAGGTGGGAATAAAAAGGGGGGGATAATAACGGGGCTCAAAATTCTAAGAGAAAAAAATCAGTTACTTGAATTTTTTTCACAGAAATCATAAGAATACCCTGACTTTTTACCTAGTAATTCAACCAATAAAGTTTATTTCTCCACTACAAATTCAAACAAAGCGAAGAAATGTACTGGGAGACGAAAGACTGAAAAATTGCAGTTGAAAATCGGGACGAGAAGAAAATACGAAAATGCGTCAAGAGCACAATCGGAGCAATCAGGAAGGGCTCCGGCCGGGTCTCGCCGAGTTTGTCGATGAGCCTTCTTCCGCCTTTTTTCTGTTTTGGTAATGATTTTGAACATCTTCCTGATTTTATTATATCAGAACACGGAAGTTGATAACGTCCATTCAAAATATTTTTTTGAAATAATTAAAGGAGCATGGACTAATTTCATGGAGGTCCTGAGGCGAATAACTTTTTAATAAATAATTTCAACTACTGTGTCTTCAAGGAACGTTATTGAACCGTTAAAATTATTAATAAGTATAACAAGATTATCAGAAAAAAGATTTTCCAGTCCTGATTTTTAAAATCTCTTGATTTTATCGTAGTTGTGTAACACTGGAGCTGATAAAGTTGATTCAAAAAAAATTGTACGGATTTTTTAAAGGACCATAGCCAAATTTCAAGAAAAGTTTCAAAGCGAAGAGCCTGTTTAGGTGTTAATTTTTGAGCTTTTTCCAGTTTGGAAATTTTATATTAAGAGATTTTAACCCTAACAATATTTTTAAATTAAAAAAATTTAAATCCAAAAAAATGTTTTTTTCCTGACAATTTTAAGCCATTTTCCATCATTCCATTAAACTGAAGCTTAATTTGAAATTTCAAAAAAACTAAATTAAGTATAAAAAAAGCTCAATATCGTGTCAAGGTGAGAAAAAGTCCATTCGATGGCTTGCAAGTTGATTTATCAGCCAATAAAATGTCTTTCAACGAATGTTTTAATGCTACTAGAGTGGTCTTTCGTAAAAAAAACTTTGAAATTATTTTTTTGATATCCACAAAATAATGATACCAGAAAAGTTTTAAAAATAGTAAGTTGAACCGTAATTTCCTTCAGAGCGCATTTGGAGAGTAAAAATTGGCCTTCTGGCATTTTGTAGCTTAAGGGATTTTTTTGATTTCGAAAAATAGTAAATTTTCAACATTTCTCATCAGAGCGCATTTGTAGAGAAATAAACGGCCTTTTGGCTTTGTGTAGCTCAAGGGGTTCTTTTGATTTCCAAAAACAGCAAATTTCCAATATTTCTCATCAGAGCGCATTTGAAGAGGCAAAAACGGCCTTCTGGCTTTTTGGTGCTTAGAGGGCCCTTTTTATTACGGAAAAATTTTGATAAAACACAAATTTTATTATCTCATCATCAGAGCGTTGTTAAAGAACCAAAAATAAAAATTTATTGGATTCAGTGATTTTTTCTACTTTTGAGAGCCATAATCGATCAATCGGGAGCAAAATTAAATACATAAAATCCTGAAAATCAAACCAAAAGTCACTTTATCCTATTGAGGCCACCAGGAAAAAAACCGAGCGATAAAGTGAAGAAAAAGCGAGCAAAAACTCATAAAGTTTCAACTGAAAAACGTCGCCGACCACTCAAAGTAATGAGAAAACAGGCGGTGTGAGGCGTTGTGAGGGGGACAAATTAACGAAGAAAAAAAAACCAAGACGCTTTGACCCCAACCAACTGGTTGAGCAGGAGGAGCATGAGCTGCTTCTCACTGCTCTGCGGAAGAAATGGGCGGAGCCTAGAGGAGGATGTTGCTCATCTTTGGGCTCGTGTCATTTAGTCGTTAATAAACATTTTCACTTTCAAGTTTTTTGTCAGAACTTCAAAAAAAAACCGTCAGGGTGTAAAATATGGTCAAATTTTTGAAGTGAAATGATAATTTTGCATTTTTCGGAACCGTTTCGAACACGGAGTAAAGTTTAGTGACCCCTTAAGTGGACAGAACAGTGACATGAAAAGATTAGACGAGTTAGTTAGCGCTGTAAAAATCGAAAAAAAGATTTTGAACCTCTAAAACCTTTAGTGACCACTTTTTGGTGCTTTTTTGGATTTATCAGGGCCCTTTTTTTTCCTTTCGAATTTTCTTCTGGATCCCTTCACATAAAAAAAAAACATAATCATTGAAAATTATCGAAATTTCAATCTAGGTATCAAGAAAATGAAATATTCTCCGTAGTCAAATTTCCGTTCTCTGATATTCGAGTGGTACCTTAAGTGATTTGCTGAGAAAAAAATTTCACTTTTTTTTCCTAGCAAAATGCTCAAATTGAGAAAGTCTTCCAGAAGTTATTTCATTCATAGAAGCTTAGAAATCGGCCTTTTTTCAAAAGTGCTTAAGATAAAAAAAGATAGATTTTGGTAAATTTGAGCTTTTTTTTATCATTAGAGCGCATAAAACAGTATGAAAACAGCTATTTTTCGAGTCTCAGTCCAAAAACCTAACTTTCTTTTCCAAGAACCTTTTTGAAAAATATGTTTGAAACATTTGGAATAACATTAGCTGTCATAAAACCATTATGAAGAGGTATCATTTTAAAAAAATATTTTTTTCAAAAAGTTTCAAAAATTTCAACACCAAGAAGCTTGGATCGAGAGAAGACATCCGAACAGAGTCTGCTCAAAAAAACTGGCAGGCGTTCTTTTTTCTTTTTTTTTTCATGGGTGCAAGACGAGAACAGCTGCCCGCGGTTTCCTGATCGAAAGAAGAGAGAGCCAGAATCTCAGTGGCAGAATTGATAGAATGAGAGCCAAAAATGGGGGACAATAAAAGTAAAAGAGAGAAGCGGGAAATGGTGTGAAACTCATTTTCTCTCATCTCCAAACGAGACGAAACGAATGGAATGGAATGCGAGGCTGTTATAAACCTCACGAGAAGGGGAAATCAGAAGGAAGCCTGACCGACTTCTTCTTCTTCTTTGGAGCACGTCAAGTGCACAAGTCACACCGCTTCCGCACATTTTCCCGAGTATTACGACGTCAAATGTCAAAAAAAAATAGGTTTGGGTTGCAAAACATAGTATATAAAACTTTGATTGGAGATCAAGTGGATCATCCGAATCTGGAAGTCTTGGTTATTTATTTCTAGTTTGAAAATAGCTACTTAGGTCCCTATAGGGGCTAGAGAGGGAATATAGAGAAAAAAAGCGCGTCCTGTAGGGGTCCCTCTAGAATTTTACGATCTGACTCCCTTTAAAGCTCAAGCGATCCCTATAGGATCTTTTTAACTTTTTTTCAGATACGAAAATTAAAAAAATACAAACTTGATCACCTAAAAACGTTATCTGTTGACAATCTTCATTCAAATAACTCTAATTTATTGAGCTTTTCGCATGAAAATGCTTCTTCTCGGAAAGCTTAGAATAATAACCAGCCTTCTTATTCATTTATAATTTCTAACTGGTTGTACAGTACTGCCAGAAAAGGTAAAAAACGAACTTTCGCTCATTACTTCCTTGACCTTTATGAAACTTCCCAGGTTTTTTCTGCAAACTGAAATTCCACCATGTTGTTACCAATAACATTCATCAAAACTCCAGCAAGTTTCAGAAAGATTAAACTCCATACATGAAAGTTTTGATCAAA